TGGGGATATATCGTTGATCCTCCAGCTGTCTTTTTTCACATCTGAGTTAGTTTGGAGTATGTGAAAAGGTGAACTGTGCAAATGGAACATTTCATTATTTAGATTTTTATCTTAAGCTCATCAGCTGCCAAAAATGCACCTTGCACCTTGCACTATACATTGCATAGCTCTGGAAATCCAAAGATTTGTACACTTTTTCTTAAAACACCCATTTATTTATTCTATAGTGTTCTTGTAACAGTTCCCATATATTTATATATCTCCTACTAGCTTACTATAAAAATATATATGCATTACCACCATCTCCTATTATTCGCATCACAGATTGGATCAAAGCTTAGAAAAAAAAGAAAAAAAAAACTACAAACTTGTCTTAACTAGCTTGTCTAGGATAGGTCCCATATTTTTTAAACTGAAAGGGACACTATAGTCATTAAAACAACTTTAGCTTAATTAAGCAGTTTTGGTGTATAGATCACGCCCTTGCAGTCTCACTGCTTAATTCTCTTCCATTTAGGAGTTAAATCACGTTGCTTCTGCACCCTAGTCACTCCTCCCTGCATGTGATTTGCACAGCTTTCCTAAACACATCCTGTAGAGAGTAATCTAATGTTTGCACTTCCTTTATTGCAAATTCTGTTTAATTGAGATTTTCTTATCTCCTGCTCAATTGATAGCTTGCTATGCCCTCCAGGAGTCTCCTGTATGTAATTAAAGTTCAATTTACAGAGCAGGAGAAAATATTTTAAGGTCAGTTACCTCTGATTGAAAGGGAAACCGTTTTGTTTTCACTTAGGCTTTGTGAGTCACAGCCAGGGGAGGTGTGGCAAGAGCTGCATAAACAGAAACAAAAGTGATTTAACTCCTAAATAGCAGTGAATTGAGCAGTGAAACTTCAGAGGCATGATCTATACACCAAAACTGCTTCATTCAGCTAAAGTTGTTTTGGTGACTATAGTGTCCCTTTAAGCTTGCTATAGTGCAGCTAAATTAGTTCTGATTGCCTTCCAAGTAAAACAGTTGTAACGAAAATAAAAACTCAAAAATTGTCGCTAACCTTCCCTCTTGATGTAACAGAATCATAAAAAGGTTCATATGGTCATCAATAGCATCTCACTTTCTGCTCTGTTGATTCTCATTGGCAGATAAAAAAATTTCATACATGTTGTGATAACGGAACTGTGGCCATACTTCTTCCCCTGCTGCTGACAGGTCATGGATGTGCAGTACAGGTGAATATATATTTAGGTGTTCAGTGATTTTATGAAAAGGCTTTTTCCAGTGATGAGAGCAGCACAGGTTTCTTTACTAAACTGAGAAATTGCCAGGAATTCAAAGTGACAAATAATGAAATTGATAAATTGTAAAATTTGTTTTCAGAGAGGTTATGGAATCTTTCATTTGAAATTTACTTTTAATCCCCACTTCCTAAATGTTTTAGAGTGTTACTCATGAACAGGGCAGGTTTTCAGAAAACTTGAATGTCAATAACTCCTATAAACCTATTGGCATCTCTTTGTTCATTAAAAGAGAATGCACAGAAATCTTAAAGGAACACTATAGGGTCCAGAACACTAACATGTATTCCTGACCCTAAAGTGTTTAATTCACCATTTAGGTGGCTTGCCCCCCCTTAAAAAAGGTGAAAACTCACCTTATTCCCAGCGCTGAGCGGGTCCGCTGTCCCTGGCCCCGTCCCCGATCTGCCTCCTTGGTGATATAATCAGAATTGCAGATTTTTAGCCAATCTAATGCTCTATGGAAAGCATTGGATTGGTTGAAATAAGCAAGGAAGCCGTATGGGGTCAGGGCTAAACACCATTTTAGCAAATAAGCACCTCCTCATAGAGATGCATTAAATCAATGCATCTCTATGAGGAAAATCCAGCGTCTCCATGTAGAGCGTGGAGACGCTAAGCATCAGAGCTGCCTATTGTGCAGCATTGCCCCAGGAATCACCTCCAGTGGCCATCTGAGGAGTGGCCACTTGGAGGTGTCCCTAGGGGGCAATTTAAACATTGCCTTTTCTCTCAAAAGACAGTGTTTACATAAAAATGCCTGCAAGCAATGATTATACTCACCAGAACGACTACATTAATCTGTAGTTGTTCTGGTGACTATAGTGTACCTTTAACATAATTAGAAAGTTTAAATTTTTTGGCATCATACCTACTAAAGTGTTGCAGTGGTTATGGTGCCAGGAGTGCCTGATTTTAGAATGGTTAGACTTCTTAACTAAGGTCGGCTGTGAGCCACTTCTCTATTCAAAAGATCTCTGTCTGATGTAAGCCTGGTGGTGGGTGGTTTAGTTCATTGGCCGAGAGTGATCAGAGCTTAGCTCAGAAGAGCTAATGGAAGCTCCAAATCCATGAAGGTGCTTTAGTGTGTCGTTCACAGCAAAATATACTGTCACAGTTCAGATAAATGGCTTTGAAGCGATAACCCAAGCACCGTTACCACTAAAGTGTTTTGAAGTGGTCATGGTGCAAGGATACTGTAAAAGTAGTGTTTCGGCATGAAATGCTGCACACACTTTCATACTTAATGTTGCCGCTGGAGGTGTAACTCACCTTCCGGCAGCATGATAATCAAGACCGCAACAAGAGTCTTGGCGTGTTATTATCAATTCAGTACATATTTCTTTGCACAGGTACTCATTCATTGACTGAGCGCGTTAAGCTAATATTCCAGCCAATGAATGACCATTTTAAAGTAGGATATAGTGGTAATGATGCGCAGAATAACTTGATTGTGTTTTTACTGCACTTCCATACAGTGATGCCAAGTATACAGGTAGCTAAAGCGACCCCTGATATCACTGGTTAGATTTGTGGGTGTAGAGAGTGAGAAATTCTATTCTTTGATAAGCAACAGATCCTCCAAAGTGTCCCTGGTGGTTGATTTCACTATAGCTGCCAGTGTCTGTTATCACCCATTAGGTAAGCATGCTACGACTTAAGCATTACAAAAAATATTACTACTGCAGTTCTTATGTAGAGCTGTGAGAACCATCCCCAGGATACCACCGAAAATAATTAGGGTGACCATACTTCTCCTTCCATAGGGGGCAAGTATTAAAGATTATTCATATATGGCGCTAATCTCAAGTAATCCTACTACTTTAACTATCCATAGAAAAATATTGTCATCTTAAATATAACTGTTTGTATACCGCTTTTCCCTGTGTTGGTGTAGCAGTTTTAGAATGTGGCTGTCCTTTTATTATGTTAAAATATAAAATACTGTATACATATATCATTTGTAATAAAAAGAAACTCTCTTATTGCAAGCAGGTTAAGCCATCCAAAACTTGTAATTGCGTTGGAAGAATCTGGATGACTAATTACTAATTGCAGATAACTTTGAAAAAGTAGTAAAGTGTTTTATTGTAATAATGCAGTAAACCTTTGCATTATTTTCTGATTTCAAGGATGATCTGGGAATAGATTTTGCTGTTACCAAACTCTAAGATGTTTATTTTATTGCCCTCACTAGTAGTCACAGTTTTTAACAAGTCCTGCAGGTTTTATAATAGTCAAAATATTTCAACCATATACACACTATTTACTGCACATGTTGAGTTCGGGATGCTTTCATTTCTTGTCTTACCATGAGCTGCCTTACGGGTTGTAGACCTGTTTATCATCACTCTCAGCAATGACACTAAAGATGTGAGGCACACTCTTATTTATTTTTTTAGTACTGTTTGTAATTCTAGAACAATTTGGTCATCACTAAGTTTGACGGACAACAGAAGAGTAGAAGCAATTTCTATGTGTATTTTAGTTGTGTCCCTGACTCTGCAAAAAATATAAATAGTATGTTCTTAAACTGAGGCACATCTAAAAGTTTTACACACAGGTTTAGAAGTTGTAGTCGATGTCTGTCCTATTAAAATATTGCGACTGTGGTAGATTGAAGGCTGTTCCCTCTTTGTCGGTAACCATTTAGAAAACTGAACGTACACAGCAACATAAACTTCTTTTAGTAATATTTCCTAATATAGCAGATGATGAAGCGCTAACACTTAGCAAAATTTTAACACATGCTGGAATGGAAGATGGAAAACAATGGAATTGGTTTCCTTATTGTGACATTTGTGGTTTTCCCCCATTGTCCGGGGTCACCCAGTAACTTACAGAACTTCCCATTAAAGATCTAAACTTACAGTAATATTCTGCTAGCTATGAAGTCCGGATCAGGCCTGACGCACACATAGTGTATTTTTGATATTCATAATTACACATAGCAGATCAATGGTCCAGAAGTTACAGAATGTACCCTCAAAGCCTGAACTTGTGTAGGCCACCTCAGCACCTGTATTCCACTTATAAAGAATCTGTGCTGACACTACCACATCATATATGTTATTATTAATCAGTAAACCAAAGTGCCTCAACACAGAATTCCATAGTCAACAGTCAGTAAGTCAATACTTTTGGTTAATATAACTCTGTCTCTTTGATAACCTTTTATCTCTTTGCTCTGCTACCTTCCAAACTATGGGATGCAGTCATTAAACATGGGGACAACATGGATTACAATTTCAAGCATGATCAATTATGCAGAGAGGTTATGGAACAGGACCCTGTATGGAAGAGTATTTCCAATAAAGGATTTCTTGATGCACAAATGATATATATCTTATTACAGTTAAATACAAAGAGACAATGGTGATAATGTCTGCAGGTACTTGTCTTTCACCAAATGTCTGCTGACCATCAGTAACTATTTTTATTATCCTCAACAAACACGCATGCAATTCACCTTTCCTTAGTTCGGTTCCTTTGTAAAGTTATAATGCAGACCCCAAAATATGTTGCTAGAATCTCCTCTTTGGAGTTCAGCCCCTGAAGAACGCTTTAATTCCAGGAGTAATTCTTCAGCAGTTGGAGGTGGATGAACTGTAGCAAGTCTGAGGTTTCAAAGAGTTTTCCTTAGGCACAGAATGGGGTGTGTAAAGTTTGTAATTGGGAAAGGATAAGATTTAGGCTTCCAGTTTACACAGCATTCATGTGAATTGCACCCATGGGGATTTCTGTAGCTGTCTCTGGAGTGATGCTCTTAATAAAGCGCTGTAAATACAGAAATAAAAGATTCAAACTTTTAGTTACAAAATGCACTAGTATTATTCAGTCAAACAGCTCCCCATGCCGAAACATAACATTTACTACAATTCTTCTTGGAAAAAAAAATAGCTGAAGCAGATAAATTGACCTAAATGGACCTCATTGATTAGTTTCAAGACATCAAAAAACAAGGTATTCACATAATTTAACTGACACTTGTACAAATTACTGTATTTTTGGTATATAGGATGATGTTTTTTTTACCCCATATAATATAGCGTGCAGTTTTCCTACAGGAGATTAAAGATCAGACTCAATAGCCAAATGCAGCCTTCTGTGGTGGTGGTGGTGGTGGTGGAGACCTATGAGACTGTACCCTGCACCTTCACTTGGTGCAGACTTAGAGTATTCCTCCCACGAGCACCAGAGGATTCAGAGAATTGATGGAGATTACCATGGCAATGCTCCAATACTTCACAATACCAGGACTTGCAAGACGCGCAAACTCAGTCTATACCCAGTGGAGGTGCAGGTCTGAGTTCCTCACCACCCGCACACAATATAACCCATATCACACCCCCAAATTCATGCACACACTACAACCACTGGATACACAAAGCACATCCCCAACACATTGGTTTGCCTACACATACACACATTTTAGCTAATCCCTGGCTCTGAATTGCCTCTAATTAGTATGTCTGCTTCAACCTTGTTCTGGCTCAGCCACTCATTGGCTCCCTATCTGAGTGAATGAGAAAAATGTAGCATCCACACATAAATTACATCATACAGCTTCCTACTCACTTTCAATCAATTAATTCAAACAGCTTGTACAAACAAATGCACTTGTTTCTTTTTAAAATCACACACTACCATGTGTGGTCCACTTGTTTAGGAACCAGTGTAAGATTTGACATTCTACAACATTTAGCAATTAGTTATGCTGTCTTACTTACCTCTTTTAATGAGCCTGGCGTGCTGGCAAGCCGATAAACCATGTACACCGGAACACAGATGAATGAGGAGGTCCCAATACTGTAGCCCAGCACAACAGTCCAGTTCGGATATTTGTAATTAAAAAGGCGGAGATCAGGTGGACTAGACAGGAAGCTACAAATGATGAACTGGAGATAAAATAAACAAAATTAGGGTATTTAAAAGCAAAAGCACAAAAACACACAGCGGTTGGACTAATCAAATGTTCTGTGGTAAGACAGATATTTGATCTGGTTTCCTAAAGAAAGTGGTTGGAATAGGCAACCGTCTGCATTCTAGAAATTGTGGACTGCATCTCCATTGATAGTAAACTGTAAGCTAATTAGAAAGGAATGATAGAGGTTGCCAGAAACATTTTTATACCCTGTAATGAATATTGAAATCCACAAGAATAAAAGGAAAAGTAAATATTAAAACGTTTTACATTTTTATATGATTATCCTTGAGGCAGTCCTGGATATATTTGGGCTATTAAGGCATTGTATCGAGGGACGTTTTAGCCGCAAGGCCAACAAGGCATTTGCCTTGGGTGGCATTTTCCAGGAGGTGGCAAAAAAAAGCCGCCCCAAATGCCCAGGGCAAATGTTTTGTTAGCCTTGCGGCTAACAGTCCAGGCAGGTGAGTGGCGCTGGCGAGAGAGCACTTTCCCTGAGCGCTCTGCTCAGCTCCCTCGCGCGCCGCAAAGTGATGCTGGGAGCCGGAATATGATGTCATATTCCGGCTCCAGGTGACCGGCATCACTCTGAGGCGTGCGAGGGAGCTGAGCAGAGCGCACAGGGGAAAGTGCTCTCTCGCCAGCGCCACCTGCCCAGCAGCCACTGGACCCCCAGGGAAAAGGAGAACCCCCCGCCCTCCCAGCATTCCCAAAGGTAAGGAGGGGTTGAATTTAAAAAAACAAAACACAAATGTGTGTTTGTGTGTGTGAGTGTGTGTGTGTGTTAGTGAGTGAGTGTGTGTCTGTTAGTGTGTGTGTATGTCAGGGAGTGTGTCTTGTAGTGAGAGTGTATGCGTGTCTGTTAGTGAATGTGTGCCTGCTAATGTGTATGTGTGTTAGCTAGTGCATGTGTGTCTAGTAAATGTGTGTGTATTTAGAAGGCGGGGCAGGGGGGAAGGGTGGGGTGGTGCAGGGGAGGTGGGGTGCCTGAGCTTTGTCCTGCCTAGGGCAGCACAAAACCAGGATACACCACTGATTGTATCCCTCCCCTTCTGCTCGTATTTTGAATGCTGGTTTGTTTCAGAACCATTATTAATTACTAACGGAACTAGGCACGGGTACCCCTTTCCCCCATTGCTTTATGTTTTGGCTCTAAAGCACCTAGCTGTAATCATTAGTGCGAACCACTCCATACACAGAGTAGAAGAGGTGGCAGGAAACCTAAATTACATTTATTTGCAGACAACATCCTCCTCAACCTTAATACAACCTCTTATTTCTCTCCCAAATCTCCATATCAGTTGCAAGAATTTGGCAAATATTCATATTTTAAATTAATCTTCTTAAGGACACAGGCCCTGGACTTTGGGCTAAGGGACTGAATGTTATCTCTCTTTTCTAGGAATTAAGATTACAAAGAATTTAGAAAACATATTTCAGTGTATCTCTGCTAAAATGATAAAATAATTTGCAGGGATTCTCAAGAGTTGGGAAGGGAAATTCCTGTTTTGGGGTGGGAGGATTGCAGTCATCAAGGTGTCCTTGCTGCCAACACTCTAATATCTTCTTAGAACATAACAGATACCCATTACAATATATGTTTGTAAAATTTATTTCACAAACATATATTGATTTATTATCCTAGACGTAAGATAAGGCCATGGGCTAATTAAAGTATTTAGAAAATTGGGGAGACTAGATAGGCCGAATTGTTCTTACCTGCCGTCACATTGTATGTTTCTATTTGGCAAAATAAGAAAGGGAGAGTGGCAACAAACCTTCTGCAGAGACCAGTAGACAGTGGGGGCTGAACCTTTCACTTTAAGGCAGCTTTTATGAGTCAAGTTGTTTCTTCTCACCCAAATTCTAATGGACCTCAATGGGTGAATGTTGAGTCATTTTGGACATGACCTAAAAGGTTTACATTATCTTCTGTGGTTAATACCTCATATGAGACTTTCACTGCGCAAATGTTGTCAACCACAGCACTGTTGCTTAAGCTGTGGGACATGTCTAGAAACTCTTTGTACAGATATGCCCCTATTGGACAGGCAACACCTCTGTATTCCCTGTCCCTAGGTACATGCACATTTTATAGTAAACCCTGGGTGACTCAGGAGATCAGACATCTTTATCAACTATTCTACGGGAGTACATTGCAATCTTTTTCTAACATAGAGTTTTCTTCCCATCTACCGAGTAACATGGTTTCCTCTTATCTCCAACTTAAATTGCTTTTAGTCACCACTCAACCTGCATAAGGGTTGTTCCCATCTGACTTGCCTTTGACCTCTTTTTAAAAACTTGTTTTCAGCAGCATCCTAACAAGAAAATGTGTGTGTGTGTTATGTAAGGTATATAACATCATGAAAGACAAATTTAAAAAAGGTTGTCTTGGTGGAACAATGGGCACTCCCTTACAACATACATTCGTCTGCCATATGGAGCTAGTCAGGAAGCTTCTGTATAGATGGTATTAAGTCTCCACCCGCTTGAAAAAATATTTTCACAATGCCTCTCCAATGTGTTGGAGATGTGACATTGATAAAGGAACAATATTCCACATTTGGTGGACCTGTCACTCACTCAAACAATACTGGAATATGATTGCAAAAATAGCCTCTACCCTGCTCAAATTACCATTCACACCCCGACCTGAGGAATGTCCACTAATCATGATACCGTTATTGTGTATATGTACTTTGTTCGATATCAGTTGTATCAAACCATTACAACTATGTCAATGTATTATATATTTGAGATGTTCTCCTTTGAAAACCAATAAAAATTGTCAAATTGAAACAAAAAAGTATATATTTATAAAATATATCTTGTCGTAAATACATGTTGTTAGGTGTAATGATAATAGCAATAACTGAGAAATCAAGACTTGAACAAATAGTAAGAATCTAAATAAGGACACACAGTGTAAAGTTTGTATGAACTTGTATTGGAACCAGACATAGAAGTAGCTTCTTCATTGTCTCTCCATGCTGTTATTTTCTGCCATTATTCCTCCAGCTTCTATGTCTACAAATTGCCAGTGGTATTAGAATAACACCAAACGACATGTATTTATCTTATGATTGGTTTACATCCATATGATTGGGGTGTTATTGATTACACATTGATTTTTATTATTAATCCCTGATTTTATCATATCATATAAATCATATAAAATTCAGTAAAGGTTATGTTCTAATATTTACTTTTCAAGGCTGCCTTCCCTTTTTTTCTTGTGTATTTCTACATCTCCCCTGATGCGTTGCCAGCAATATGGCTGTAAGAGCATTATGGGAGATGTAGTCCACATCATCTTGAATGACGACGGTTGCATACCCCTGCTCTAGAGGAGTTCAGTGCAGGGTCTGTCAGGTTCGCCACTGGAACAGAATGGGATTTGCATACATTCTCATCTCTTGGTGTGCCTCAAGAATAGAGACATGCGTCCATCAAGTTTTGCCTTTCTCACATCAGTTTTTGCTGTTGATTCGAAGAGGGCAAAATATCCAGTTTGAAGAGCTTTCCAATTTGCAACAAACTAGGAAAAAGTTCTTCTTGACCCCAGAATGGTAGTTAGATCCAAACTTGGATCAGGAAGCTGTTACACCACCTATTAAAAATTGCATATATGTGTGAATGTATGTATGTATATATACAATAGGCTTCTAGGCCCTGCAAGAGCCTCCTGTGTGTGATTAAAGGTCAATTTACAGAGCAGGAGATAAAAAATTATAAAGTAAGTTAACATCTGACTGAAGATAAAACCATTTTTTTTTCATGCAGGCTGTGTCAGTCATAACCAGGGTAGGTGTGGCTAGGGCTCCATAAATAGAAAAAAAAAGATTTAATTTCTAAAATTGGAGAAGATTGAGCAGTGACACTGCAGAGGCATGATCTATATACAAAAACTGCCTCATTAACCCCTTAAGGACCAAACTTCTGGAATAAAAGGGAATCATGACATGTCACACATGTCATGTGTCCTTAAGGGGTTAAATTAAAGTTGTTTTGATACCTATAGAGTCCCTTTAACTTTTTTATGTCTCTATTTTATTTCTTATTACTTGCATGTGGTTGTGCCTGAACTCAACTGGATTGTTATGTAATTTGCCAAATCTCTAATATGAATTTCAAAGAAAACAGAGCATCCCATGGATAAAAGGTTATATGTAATTTTAATTCTTTCTCTGTTTCTATTTGCAAACACATTTACTAGCTGTATGCATAGTAACCATTGTGAAAGCATATTAATCACCTTTACTCGGTGAAATCACAGATGCTTATGCAAAGCTTACCTGTTTATACTCAGTTAATAAAATGAAACAGATTAAACATCAGCCTCTGCAAGATTTCATATTACTGTAAACCTGTTCTTCTTTTTCTTTTATTATTAACCGAGGCGGATCTACCTAGTTTTAGAATATACGACAATGCCAGATATTAATAGCTCTTACTGTGTTTAAGGGCTTACTGTGTTTACTGTTTCCTAAAAGGCAAAGAGAATGTTGCCGACACTGTCTGTTTCCTAACAATGTTCTTCAGGCCCGTCCAGAGCATAATGTTTAAGGCAGAAATGTTAAAGCTAATTTTGGAAAGTAATGTACCATATAAAGGGGCTAAAATCAAAGCTGAGTAAATTCTGATATTTCGAGAGCTCTAGTGAATTGTTAAATCTTTTATAAAATATAGTTTCCCAAGCATTGAACAGTAAGCACATGGAAAAGTGAGATGCAAAAATACACACCTACATTATACATTTCATGGAGTACAATAATAAACTTGACATATTTTAGATATCTAAACCAACGATAACTGCAGAACATTTGTTTCTAAGATCATGGAGTAAGCCATTGTAATTTATCTATAGTATTTTGGACATCTACAAAGGTCGACTGCTGGACTACACAAGATCAGTGGAGGTTAGACGCTACTGTTTCAAATTTTTGTCTTGCCGGATTAATTGTATATAAGATAATGTATTCCTTATTTTTTTAATGATCCGTGTAATATGGGTTCTAATAAAGTTATACTCTCTTTATAACTGTTTTAAACACTACATACTTTTTTTGCAGTGATATCAGCTATGCACCAGTAAAAAGTCAAGTGTCGATATATGGACTGATTTATAACCCCGATTCCAAATAATATGGACTGATTTAAAGTCCCATCTCACAAATTACTTTATTGTTCTTGCATGACAAAGGCATTGTTAATTAAGCATTAACATGTTTGTGTGCTACAAGTGCTGACTCACCAGAAGAAATAAAGGACATATAGCCACCCAACATATCCTCCAGAACCAGCCAGGAGTAAAACCAAGCATCTCCTTTACATTGCGGCAGAACTGGTTAATACCTGTAAGAGATGTTAGAGGTTTTTTTTGTATGCAGTGGGATTATAACTACTACAACGTGTATACAAACAAAAATCGGTAGAAACAGAATCACAAATAGTACAATGAGTAGGATAACAAACACAGAACAAAAAGTAGCATATTCAATAGAATGACACAGTGCAAAGGGTAACATATGCAATAGAAACACAGACAATACAATAAGTATTGCAGTATAATCACACACGGTTCTTTCAGATAATGTTGATTGGCAGAATTGCCTCATCTACTGAGAAGAGTGTTGCATTGTTATCACATAGCACACATTGGTCATACATCGTAATCGTATCCCTAAGTCAGCTATAGTCCCTTCTTCTGGAACGAGAAATCTGATTGACAAGCTGGGACAAAGTTTCATTATGTTTGGCAGATATGGAGAAGACTCCCATAAATTTGAGGGCTATGATCTCACATTTTATTCCGATCTATCAAGGAATGCCTTGGTATGGTAGAGGTCTCTATGCCCCCGAGTCTTCTACTCTGATTTAACGATGTAAGGCATTATTGCAGCACTGACAAATCAGAAAGAAATCTACTCCTAGAGAATCTAGGTCTCTTGCCAGGTCACTGCTACTTTGCCAGCTCCTGAGAGAAAACTGGCACAGCAATGGGACCCTATCAAGTTCACTCCATTTTGAATCAATGGCCCGTTCTGACCCGCTGGGATTTCAACAAAACTTTCTTAACCATGTGGAATATGCTGCATTTTAAATGGTCAGTAAGATGCTCTCCGGTTTGTTTAAGTTCTACGTTTTGGACATTATGGCCTTGATCACAATCCAGCAACAGAATTCAATCAATAACATTTTCTGGCATTCAGTCAGGGTAGTGTGTGTTTTCAGAGCAATCACAACACAAAAGTTAGAAATGATCAATGTATTAATAAAGGGCAGGGCCAGATTATATACTCTTAAAGGAACACTCTACAAAAATGTAAACATAAAAAATAAATATATATTTTTAAATATGTATCTTTTTTGTTTAGATTACTGGGCTATAATGCAGGACTCCTGATAATACACATGTTTGTAATTAATGCATTCCATGTACTAATAAAGTGCAAAAATAAAATACATGCCAATAATTACAACTTGTTGTTGTATTTATAGTATTTATAATATATATATATATATATATATATATTTTTTTTTTTTTATTATTATTATTCTTTATTTTTGCTATGCATGGTTTAACATTCGTATATCAGTAATGCCACAACAGCATTCACAAACAGTTTACAAGCACTTATTTGCTAACTGCTGAACAGCATCAGAGAAAAACACAAATTTTTTTTGGTTAATAATACAAGCTAAATACAAGCTGGGTAACTACGTCTGTCGTGAATTATTTGTCGATTAGAAACAGTAGCTTAAGGTTGATTTTTTTGTTAAATTTGTTCAGTAACAGCATAACATGCAGTAGATAAGACATTAAATGAACATTTCAGGTTATGATAGATTATGCAGTGCTGACTAAAGAGAAGTATGCAGTTCTATTTCAGTTTCCAGCTTAGCTAATATTTTCATTAAAGCAGGGTGTCACCAGGCAGAGCATCACACATTCCGCTATCTCCCTCAGTATGTATTAAGCTTAAACAAAAATTAACTATATACAAGGTTATATGCAGAGGTTGTGTATGTTAGTCAACGCATACTGTACATTATGCTTCATATTGTGAACGGCTGGGGTCACCGCCAGCTCCAACTGAGCGCAAAGCGTGAGACAACGGGGTCATAGTCCATGCCTAGGTGTGGGGAGAGTTCTTGGAGATTACCCTATGAGATCCTATAGTCCCGCCATAGCTTCCCAGTTGATGGGCATGTTTGAGTGCCGTGCCTTGTAAGCCTTGGTGTGCAGTCGAGGGCTGTAGCACCGTGCAGTCAATGCTTGTGGCTGTTTCAGTTTATTCTCCCAGCACTGATCGTGGATGGAGCTTGCTCGGTCTGATGTGCAAAGAGTGCGCTTCGAGTATTGCCGCTTTGACACGGGTACGTGGAAGAAGTGCTGGCTGCGGTGGTTTTCACCTGTCAGCATGCATGTGCCAGTGTCGTGGGGGCTCAAGAGCCCTTAAGGACCTCCTGTGATAACAGCTCAGGTTGTGTGTGTGTCTCAGAGGGATTACCGTCCCAGTCAGCAAAGTTGCTGTGCAGCCGTTGGCCATTTTGATGAGCGTGGTAGCCTTTCTCCTATGGCTTCGGGCCACCCAGGTGAGATGCAAAAGCGGTAGCCTGCCTGGTGGGGGCCGAGATGGGGGTAACGGGACCAGGAGGGCGCCAGGCAAATGATAGTTGCTGTCGGGCGGAGAGCGAGGCAGCGGCCTTCCGCCCTACTCGCTTCCCGGGTAGGCCTCAATCTCCGAGCCCCAGAGTCTCTCACCAGGACCTAGAGCCACCCTGCTTCGGGCGCCCCAGCTACACCAGGACACTACAGAGCTTCTTGCCATGGACCCCCGGGTCAGTATAAGCCGGGTAAGGTGGTTATATACCCTGAGTTTCTTCGATTCCTCGGGGAGCCCTTGTGATATGCAGCCTGCTGGCATGGCTGCCCGGCCCCGCCCCCTATATATATATATATATATATATATATATATATTTTTTTTTTTAATGACCAATCAAATAATGGGTGGCTAGTAAATTTAATAATTAACCATTCACAAATTAGTAGTATTTTAGTACCAAAAATTTTAAATACACAGTATTGTCTTTATTTTTTTTTGTGATTATTCAACAGAAAGTTAAGTTTTACTAAATTTTAAACTCCCTGTAAATTTTTACAAGTATTTATTTAGCTGTCCCTGGTTAGTATAGGCCCCACTATAAGTCTGTTTAAAATATAATTCGCATTTACTTACCATAAAACCAAGACACAGCTATTGCCTCCAAGAATACCACGGTAAGTACGGCGGGACCTGTGGCATACTCCTCAAACAACTTAACCATATAAGCTCCTCCCTAGAAACAAATACATCACATGTAAAGAATTACTTGATTTACTAAGACAGGGCCTATCTAAATGGATACAGTAGCTAACGTTTTATGTACAGTATGACTATCTTGTTGCACAACCCATCAGTTGAAATGCAATGTACGGTTAGAGACACTCCAGGCTTGCATTTACCCATAGACCTTTTGGCGGACTACATAGATAAATATTATACAATTGCAATTATTACAATTACTATTATTCATATAACGCCAACATATTCCATAACGCTGTGCAATGGCTAAAACAAGACAAACAGTAACTCTAACAAAACATGTTTGAGAGATGGGAACAGTAAGTGAAGCGGGCCCTGCCCAAACGAGCTTCCAATAAATTAGAAATAATAAAAATGATTTGACTACCCGCTTGGTGATGCATGTATAGCTCAGGCTCTGTTAGAGAAGGTTTGGACTATAATGGATGTGGTCATAAATATTTAAAAGAAGTCTAGCTTCCCTTTCTGATGTATATAATTGGCCGGTTTATAGCGGCAGGCAACAGTATTTGCAAATCATCACAATTTTGGTGTGCAGGGTGCGATTGAGAGGGGACCTCTTAACACCACAACATAGGTTGTTATGGTGCTTTTTAGAGTTTCTTTAATGTTTTTAAAATTATCAGGACTGGTACTTGTGCCTTTCCACCAGCAGCTGTTCCAGTCAAGCATCAGAAACGCTACATATTATGTGGTTAAAGTAGCGAATAGCATTGCTTTTGGTAGACAGTCTCATAATAAGGAAATAATTGATTGAGTCAATATTAACAAAGCTTGAATGCTGTTGTATGTCGGCAGCACATTTAAGGTCTATTCAAACGACAAACAAAATACAATTATATTTGCTTTTTGTAACACTGTTACTTTGCCGTGTTGACTCTCACCTACAAACATATACATCGATGAAATTTAAATTGTGCAAATAATTGCATTACATTTTGAAAACAGCTTTCATATGTAAACAGAATTTTGTGATGATAAGCACCTCTGTGTCTCCTATCAGCGCTTTCTCATTGATACGCTCTGTGTCATTCTCAATGGCTATCATTACAAAGTCCTATCTGTACATGTTGACATGTATTGAGAGAGTATTGTGTATATACACTACACAAGGTATGCACTGTTTTATCCTTGTAGGGTGAACTTTATTAGTACCAATGCTAACAAAAATAAAAGAAACCCATTTTTGCAAGACGGCTAAGACTATTTTATGCATCATATATGATGGGTGCATCCAGAATGTTAGATCATTTTATGGCATTTCTTTCCTAAAATGATTTTTTTAATATGGCAATACGTCACAGAGAAGGAACATTAAAAAAGAAGGCACAGGCACTAAGCACTGTGGCATATATGCATGGTGGCAATGAAAGAGTTAATCTGTTTTGTCTGGGATTTGAATGTGAGGAATTTTACATCTTGTGGCAGTTGGTCATTTAGACAGGTATCTGGGCAGAATTGATGACACAACTGTTGCTGGGGGCTGGAGCTGGCCTGGGATTGGTTGAACGTTGCAAGCAGAAAAAGAGCGGGAAACTGGAACAGTATAAAAAGAAGCAGCACAAGTTTAGTCCTGTCAGAGTGGACTGAAGCAGGAATGGTGTGGACAGACCCCCTCACCCCCACTTTACTTTTATTTAATTGTATTGTCGTAGTGTTATGAAGCATTAGGGCAAAAGTCATCCTCAGGGTCAAGTTCTGAGGAAGGATATGGTGGTAAGGGTTTTAAATAAAAGGCGGTCAGGTTAGTTATGACTGACTGACAATATGGTGGTTAATAAAGTTAAAAGTTTTGAAAGTTGGTGAACCATATGTTATATGGTTATGGTTACAAAGTTATGGTTGTATGCCCCTTGAGCTTTGAATAAACACCACGGCCAAGCCCATTGAAAAGTAATTAAACGTTGTCTGTGGTTATTGTGTGTCTCGTTTTATTTATACGAATATTGCCTACCATACATATAGTCTATGCATTGAAATAGATCATTTAGATGGTAACTTAGATGCACCAAGTGGCATAGATACATCCAGTGCTATAATAACTTAGATACATTCAATATTACATCCTAGATGCGCCCAGTATAGTATCATCCATTGTTAAATCCTACATACACCCAGTGTTCTATCCTAGATGCCCCAAGTAGTATATTGTAGATACGCCCAGTGTTATATTATGGATGTTCCTATTATTATGTTGTAAATACACCAAGTGTCTCCTGACAGTTCTTATCTGCTCCCCATGACTCAGTATCTAGCCTACTCAGTGCATCCATGTAAGAGCTGACTATTTATACACAGACACCAATTGCAATTTAAAAAGCCACAGGTGTGGTAAATTAACCTTCATTTGCCATTTTAACCTGTGTGTGTCACCTTGTGTTTTTTTTTTATTATATGTATATGTATATACGAGATGCACCTATTCCAAAAGCAGTCAACAGTATTATCTATTTTGCCAGACCAGTCTTCCTTGTAATATGGTTATCTGGTTCTATCCATATTAGAGGTATGCTCAGTATTAGATAGTTAACACATTTTTTTTTCATGTTTTGTTTAATGTGGTTGCATATGCACTATAAGGATGATACAGTTAATCTCTGCATTGCGCAAGAAAATTGCTTCCAAATTTATACGTACAATTTATACATACCATTTTGTTTTACATGGAATATTTTAGTTTATATGCCTTATTATTTTACCTAAGCCTATCAGTATAAATGAAAGCTACATTAAAGCTGGGTACAGACTTCCATTTTGGATATAAATCAGATGAGATCCAATTTCTAGAATACGAACACCGTTAATTGAGTAAATTGACAAGTTTACTAACAAAAGGTATAATTTATCCCAAAAAGCCCCCTTGTTACTCTTATGTTTGTGGATGGCAGGTTTGCTTAAAGCAGCCTTTTTTACCCCAATCCCCAAAATAAGTATTTCATAAAGATACAATCTCTATGAAATACTCACATTGACTGCGTTGGAATTTCACTGAGATTCCGGCTCAGTCAAAAGATATACTAAGAGAAAATATGGATTACTTTGTCTTAGTTTTCCTGCACTTGACAAGCTTGGCAAAAAGGCAGAGCCATCTTTTGTCAAACCTTGTCAAGCACCCAGTAATCACTAGTGATGGCTGCGGGAAAAAGGTTCTGTCTCAAAGCATGCGCGAGAGTACAATGCTGATGGAGGCTTTTTCCACTTCAAGATCGACAGGAAGAGCATGGTGGCAGTCACAAGGGAAAGGTTCAGGTAAGTATAACTCACCTTCCTCTGCACAGTGTGGCAACAAGACCCCCAGCGGCAAAGTCGCTGTTCGGGGTCTTTTAAAATTATACAAAGAACCAAGATTGTGATAGAGCCACTTTAATGTTGAAGAATTAATACTGCTGAATCTGAATGCATAATCAAATATAAGTGCATTATTTATTAAATGCTACACAGAAAGGTCTTTATGGAATTTGTTTGTACAATGCTTACTTGTTCCGGAGCTCACTAATCCAAAGGTGGGACAGAAGCTGCACGCTATGCTTGCGCGTCTATTTGTAATCAGTCATGCCGACATCAGAACAACGTCATTTACAAACGAATCGAAAAAGTACTCAAATTCAGCGTTTGCCCGAATTTGGGTCTTCATGCGCTCCAAGGTTATGCCAGCCAATAGTTTTAGTGCCCTGGCTATATAATGCCAGGGTTTCCTGTAGCAAGTTGCCCTATTGTGGTTCTTGATTACCCAAGAGTGCGCTTATATTGTATTTGGAATCCTAGTTACCAACTTTGGCTTGTTTAACCATCTCTCTACTCTCTGTGTTCCTGACTTTGGCTTGTTTATCGTTTGTCCTGTTTTCTCCTACTCTTGACCTCGGCTTTCTCTCTGACCATTCTATAAGTTAAATCCTGCCATTCTTAGGCCCAGTAATACGTGGTATAAATTAGGTTCTGTGAGTGTTGGGTTCCACCACATAACCAGGACAGTAAGTGTTGGTTTCCATTACATAACTAGGATAGTTTCATTCCTAAAACTAATATTTTCATCTGCAAAACCCAGTTGTAATTCTGTATAGTACAAAGTCCATTTTATATTCCAAATAGAACAAAGCTTTTAAAAGAAATATTTTTGTATTTCAAGATCACAAGTTAAAAATAAAGTTGTGCTATTACTATGAGTAACTCTGTTTTTGGCAGCAAGTACGCATACGGGCAAGAACAAAATCTTGGCTTGTATGTTTGTCATTTTAATTAGTTCATATTAAACTTCAAAAGTTTTTTTTTGTTTTTTTTTTCTGAACGAAAAATGTTTTCCGTGTTATGAAAAGAGGTCATGAAGTTTAATTTTACCCTCTGTTGTTATTATAATAATCACATTGTTACTATGATCCTGAAAAAAAAAAGGTTAACTACATTTTAAAATAAACAATAAGGATATGACGTATGGTGAATAATAATTTTTGGGGGATCAGAAGTATATTGATTGTACTTACAAATGTTAGTGTTGACAGTGACCCAAGAAAGCAGACGGCGATGAGAAGAAAGACGAAGAGCTCCCTACGCTTCCCCCATACATGTGGGAATTCATCCAACACTGCGGTTATGACTCCTTCCAAACCTGCAAACTACACACAGAGAGACATTTTGTTTACTGGGCAATGCATGGAACAAACTTGTTAGTGGAGAGATATGTAGAACACTGAGAAGATACAAGAATATTTAACAGCAGTAAGCGTGCTTCTATGATAGGACTATCAGGTCATCTACACAGTATTATTTTTTATCAGATAAATAGTATAATTGTGGCCACCCACAATAGTCTAGTATTCCTAAGACTTGATCCCTTTCTAATTCCCCCCATGTAGCCACCAAATCTTGACTCTTCCACAGATGTTAAAGGGACACTCCAAATGCTATAAACACGTAAATACCTTATACATGGTATGGTGCAAAGAGATCCTCTGTCTCTCATTAATACTATGAACCTACCCCCACAATGGGTGGCATTGTTATTATTATTATTTTTGGTATTTATTTAGCACCAACTAATTCCGCAGCACTTTACAATATTACATCAAGGGGGAAGCTAAGCTAAGTAGTCAGTTTCTCTTGTAGCTTTCTATTATTAGACCTATGTTGTTGTTGCTAGTTGATGTATATATGTGTTCTACTTCACAATTTTAAAAAAAGGCTCAATATCTGCAACCTCGGTACTGGATCATTGTGAGAATTGTGGATATATGTCTGAAACTAAACTGCACTTAAATGCATAATTATGTCAAAAAGGAATGCTTGCAGTACATATTATACGGAGCTCACCATTGCTAATTCTATTAATGCACCATTCATACTCCTTCTTGGCATGAGTTAGTAAATGCCCACTTACTGTGCTATCCAGACCTAAAGTGATTAACATCAAGAAGAATATAACGGCAAAGAACGTGGAAGCTGGCATATTCGCAATGGCCTCTGCGTAGGTGATGAATAGAAGGCTGGGTCCTGGGAGCAAAGACAAAATTTTAGATTATTAATGGTAATTTAAATCCCAAACTGCATCCAACAGGATTAGTAACTAGCATTTTACTATCCTTGCCAGAAAGAGGTCAACCTTCTCCAAAACATTATGGCCTCGATTTAATATTGTTGAGTAAGCTTTCCAAATTATTTCATATTTTTGGATAAACTTTTAAAATTAATTTTCAAAATATAAAAAAAAGTTAAAAAGTTATAACATATAAACCAATATCAATATATAAAAAATATGATATCATTCCAAGATTTACATATTTTTCAGAATATGAAATCATGTTAAAGTTTATCAAAAATTATTAAATCATTTGGAAAACGTATTCAACAATATTAGGTCGAGTCCTATATATCACAGATAAAGCCGACTCCAACACAAAATTATACGTATCAGTCATACAAACATAGCTCACTGAAGGAGAGATAATAGACTTAAAATGACACCATATGGTCATTTACTGCCAGCTGTACAAGAAATCGCTGGGAGGAACAAAGAGCCTTCAAGATTACACTAACCGGTAACCACTGATGGTTGGTTAACCCAAACTGAATGTTTATAACAGAAGATCAGAGGTTTACTCAAATAACATTATAGCATTTTAATAATCATTTTAAATCTACTGCAATAACGTTCATACTATCTGCACATAATTGGGATCTCCATCCTCCAAGCCTGAGTATAAAAAATATACATAATGCATAATACAACTAATATTAAAAAAATAAATAAAATAAAGACATGGTGAAAAAAAATTAGGAATGAAGGACATCCAATGGATATGTGTTATTCAGTATCATTACTGGGAAATCCTTATGGAATGTTGTGTTTCCCAGTGATGCACTGTGATTGGCTCACAATAGAAGTAGGGTACCAAATGTTTGGTAAGGGTCTATAAATGTTACGGGCAACCAAAAAGCTTTCCTTTTTTAGATATTCCAGCCACTGGCCTAAAGGCTAAAGAATCTTTTTTTTATATCCATATTTTTGAGTGACTGTTTGAATTTCATTTTTATGTACTATAGAATATTTATATCTCATATTTTATTTATAGTTTAATTTTTTTTTTTTTTTTTTTTTTTATGTTGTGCACATATTAACATACAAGTTCGGTATGCCACGATAGCTATACCTAACTATAGTAATGCAGTCAAGGAACAACAGTATCATGGCAAGCATTTACATGGCACATTTTTCATTTTTAAGTGTTGTCGTTAAGGTGGGGTATAGTGTGACACAGACTATGTGTGATGGTAGGTATATGGTTGGCCCTCCAACTCCAGGCACTCTTATGCATCTCTGGTGTGTTGTGGCCTAGATCTAACTGGGTTACAGTGGTGGTGCGCTGCGTTCTGAAGTGTGTCCCAGCTAGTGTGTGTGCTGGAGTGTATTAGAGGTTCGTTGCTGGCTGCCTCCGGTACTTGTCAAAGCAGTGTTATAGGTACTTCGGTCTTAGGAGGTGTGTGTGGGGGGTAGTGTAAGTGGCTCAAGGAGAGCTGTCGAGCTTCAGGTGGGCTGTTTGTGGAAGAGCTCACTTCTGTGTACATGTCAGTAGGGTTAGGTTGGAACATGGGGCCAAAATGTGTATAGCAGGGAGCAGAAAAATTTGCATTTTAAACATTATAAACTGGTGCCCTAGGCTGAGCCTAAGGACGTGGTATTAGCGGGCTGTCCATCTAATCAATCTCCTCAGGTGATGGCCGCGGCAGTTCCTCCCTTGTTCTGCCGTCGGGGGGAGAACGAGATCACTGCGTCCGGGTTCCATTGGTGTGGAATGCGGCCTGCTGCCTCCGCTCCGGTAGATGACAGGGCGTCAAGAGGTAGGTTGAGGGTGGGTAGTGTGGCCTTTGCCTCTTCGAGATCTCTGATCTGGAGCTTGTTACCCCCGTGCTGGATCATTAGGGTACGGGATTGCCGCCACTGGTAAGGAATCTGCTTCTGTCGGAGGAGTGATGTGAAGGGTCGGAGCGATCTTCTCCAAGCTAGTGTACTCCCTGATAGGTCCGGGAAGAAGGTGAGAGACATGTCTTCAAATTTATATGGCACGTGGTCCCTGACCGCCGCCATCACCGCTGCTTTATCTTTCCCGCTCATTAGCTGGATGACCATGTCCCTCGGTAAGTCGTCCGGTGCTCTTGGGGATTTGGGTACACGAAAGAACCCCTCTATTGCCACCAGCTTGCCCTGTCTTGGGGTAAGTATAGTGCTTAGTAGGCACCTTAGGAGGTGCGGTAATTCCGCTGTCGGCACTTCGTCCGAGATGCCCCTAATTTTTATATTATTTTTCCGCCTCCAATCTTCCATTGCGGAGAAGCGGCGTTCAGCTTGTTCGCTGTGGCGCTGGAGCCCCCGAACCGCCTCTTGAAGTGTGGCAATCTGTTGGGCCTGGGTATCGGACGCGGCTTCCACCACCGCCAGTCTGCCCGTAAGGCCTTGTAAATCCGTGCGGATTAATGCAACGTCCGTCTGAATGTTCCTCTGGAGATCTGCCAGGAGTGCTTTCAGCACCGCCGCCGTCACTGGTGCGTTGTCTCGGTCGGTGTGCTGTTGAGCTACTCTTGGGTTTGCAAGTGGGATCTTGCTGTCCTCGTCAGGGGACATGTCGTCTGAGAGATCAGAGTACGTTGCAGGATGGTCGGCCATCTTTGGTCTCGTCCCTCCGCTGGCCTGCCGCAGCATGTCTCCGATATCGAAGCCCATCCGTGGCTTTTCTGGCCTCATCTTCTTTGATTTGCGACCCATGGTGTGTCCACTGTCTCGTGGGGGGTTCCCCTGTCGTGGGTAGCTTAATTTTAGGGTCTTGTGCGGTATTTGTTTGGGTTCCGCGGTCAGAGCTCAGACAATGTGCGGCCATTCAGCTCGGCTGCTTGGCTCCGCTATAGTTTTATTTTTTGACAATGTGTCACATAATGAGTAATTATTAAGGTTTTTTTTTTCTATTTTTATTACGAAGAAAGACCACCAATTCCTAATATTTATTATTTTACAAATAATGGAAGTGGGAGTAGAATATTTGACCAGACACAGGGACCCTTATACTGTAGACAATCCATCAGCCATTAGGGGTCTTGTATGAGTTTCTGTGAGTAAATACGTACTTAGACTGATTTGTGGTTTAATAACTCCATAGCTTCAAAATTACTGATATAATTCAAGGTACAACTTCTCAATTTTTGTTTAACTATTACCAAAATAATTGTTGAATGTTTCTGTACACTGAAGGACAATCACATTCAACCCTTGAGATTGTTTCTTTCTCAGACAATGAGGGATTTTGTCAGACTGATCTGGAGATACTCACTGTCCTGGAAATTAATTCAGTTTCTTAGTGGAGGATTGCGAGGCACCTCATTAGCAGCAGTCAATCAGGGAACTCAGTTTACAGACCTGTCATGGCTTACTGAGATATTTGAAATAGTTTGCAGTTCACTAACTTTGCTGATGATCAGTGGTTTAGACAGTGAAATTTGCAGTTCTAGCTGTTGGGACGAGAGCCTCAGAGTTCAGTTTGTTTTTCAAACTGCCCATAACTTCTTTTTTTTTCACCAAACATGAATTCATTTTCTGTAAATCTTTGTGTGCCTGTGTGTGTCGGTGTGTGAAGTGGGAAATCAGAATAAAGATACTCCGATAAACTCACACATGGCACTGTCAGGTTAAAACTCCTTACCTCTGTTGCCCTTGTGTACTCGTTCTACTCAGTTTGTAGCTTGGGGCCTGGTACAGCTTTTAAGCTTTAAGAAAAATGATCATATGCGGACATCTGCTATTCTTCCAGCGCACTTTAACATGATCACAGCAAACCCAGGCCATGCTTAGGTATTCCCACAGGTTTTATTAATTTCATGGAATGCAGTGATATATGTTTTTATTAACCATTTGAGGGTAAGTCAACCAATGACACTCCAGGATGTATTTATAAAGCTATTTTTTTTTATTAATATAGTGTCGACATGTCCTGCAGCACTTGTACTGAGGGAGGCTGTGAATGAAAAGACTTGGAGTTCAACAAGCGAGGGTAGTAGTTGGTTTTCCAACTTTAGTGCCAAACGGTTGTGCAATAGTAATTTCAAAAGATTCAGTTGAATTTAGAGAAAGATTTTTACACATGAAGAAGCATACATTTTTCTTGTATGGTTTGTGCTGAAAAAGAACTCCTTGCTTTCATTACTCTATATGATTTACCTGATCATCAAGCATAAGTTTGAGATAATTACAGATTATTGAAACTTTAAATTTTTTTGAAGTCTCAATAAAACTGTGAACATAGGCGTGTGTATGAGGTGTGCCCCTCCGCACAGCCTAATACAAGCCAAAGCTGTGCTCTTTTTTTTAGTATTGTTAATCTCATTCTTAATTTAGGATTTTATAATTAAAGTTTAAATAGTAATATTTGGGTGCATACCCTGATGCATTGTGGTTGTGTTGACGTTATTATGGACCAAAGGTGTAACAAAGATTAAAGGTCATTGTCTGTGAATAATTTTGGGTAAGTCAATGTCAATTTTTTTACTGTGATTATTAAATTCACAAAGTATCATCTGATTTTACAATGTTCAGAGTTTCTGCTACAAAGCTAGATCACTCAAATATAAGAGAATTTAAATAAATCTCAGATCATTTTCATTATTACCAACTGTGGGGAAACAGGTGAGAATGGGGGTACCCAGGTAAGGTAAGTTCTCAGAAGGACAATGTGAAGGAATACCCCTTCACTTGGTTCGGCATATTTTGTTAATGGGTTTTCGTTTATTTTATTCGTACCCACCTTGTTCGGTTCCCGAATAAGGACCACCCCAGAACCTCATTAGAACATGAAACACTGAACTGACAAGTACAAAAGCCGCAAAGTAAAACAATTAATAGAATGCTCCACTGGGCCATCTTGTCTCCCGAACGCAGGAAGTGGGACTTGGTCTTCGAGTGTCTGGAACTGAATTTGGCCAGGCACTTCCGTGAACGCTGGTGAAGATAGACCTGCTGTCCGTTCGAGTTTCCGACCACCTATATGAACGGCATTCGGGAGCTATGAACTACCAAATGAGGGGAGCATTCTACACTAATCAGATTTTGTATGAACAATGTGGTTTTCGTACAGAAACCCTGCGAATGGAGACCGGTTCTTGCCACAAATTCCCTGGAACTAATTTGGGCTTCAACCTCGTGGCAGACCGGTCAAAACTTCCCTACGATGGCAATCCAAAACTACTGAACTGATCTGAGCGATTTTTGGATATGATGGTCACTCAGATCAGGAATATCCGGGGATGTGACTATTGTGGGGTTTCCATGGATTTGGGGGGTACTTTTGGGGTGTTTGAAAGTTTGATCTTTTTCTGTCCCTGGAGATAATTGAGTTTGTACAGTTCCTGACTCAATTATCTCTCAGGCACAGGGGAGGAGTTTTATACATGTATAAATTATGTGACTGTGCTTCCATTAAACAGTTCTACTCCCAGCATTAAGCCTTAACTCATGTGTGGGGGGATATGTGATACTGGTGATATTTTACTTCAGGATTATTGGAACTGTTTTATTCGGGGAAAAATCGATCCGTGGTGGTGATATATTGGCGGACCGCCACTGTGATATATTGGCAGACCACCACAGACAAGAGAAGATTATTCAAGGGGAAGCATTTGATAGAAAAGACAATCACCAGAAACCAACATTATCATTTGTCACTGACCCTTAATAAATCCCAACAAGTGACTCTGCTCAGTCCCAAATGTTACCTGTGTCTTTGGCCACTTCAGAGACCTCAAGATTCCTCATTTCCGCCATATATCCCAAGACAGTAAATATGACAAATCCTGACATGAAGCTGGTCATGCAGTTTACTGTACTGGTCACAAGAGCGTCCCTAAAACAAAACAATAGTTCAAATAATTGCGAATTACAGGTATATCGAGGTTCTAAAAAACTTGCAATTTTGTAATTTACTCTGGGGTAATTATTTGGACTAGGGACTTTAAACTTGTGTCAAATTAAGTAAAGGAAGTGGGAAAAGTTACATCTAGCTCAGTGTTTTCAGCTGAGCGGCAAAAAGGAAAAACGTACATATGATACTAACTGGTAGCAGTTGTTGTGAAACTTATTGTAGCTGGCGAAGGCAAGTAACACACCAAATCCTGGGCCAAGTGAAAAAAATATCTGAGCAGCTGCATCAACCCAGACCTGCAATGACAGAGCGAGACAGTTATAAACATGAAACAAAGCTGAATTGATAACATTCCTATTGTACATGACCAACTACTGATAAGCACTGGAGATGTTGGTCACTAGCAGCATGTAAAAAAGGTGGTGGCACTCATGGGACAAAGAGGGTAGACAACAGAATATGAGAACCTGGAAATAGCACTAAGTAGTTTTCACTTATTTTTCTTCAGCGGAGCACTTTAGAAAATCATTTTACTAACCTCCTCCTCCATTATGTGCAATAATAAAAACAATATTTTACTTATTTAATCAAACTACTCGCATATTACATTAAATCTAATACTATCATCAGGGCCTTCCTGTCCCACTGGAATATCAGGATATTTCATGGTGGGATGCAAAACCTGAGGCCAGACAGTGCAGCCAAATGGCTTAGAACATTATTTATTAAGTTCACTTAAAAGAAAAGAGAAGAAGACAAAGAGAAATGGAGCCAATGGTTGCAAAGCCTCCTAGTTAGGGGTTGACCCCTGTTTATTACAATATACAAAAAAAGAAAAATTGGAGGATGCAACACCTAGCATATAGGAATGGAATACTAAGATGGTAAAATACCATATAATTATGTATCATGGCATCAAACAACTTTAACCGTTTTTGGTGCAGAAAACACCCTTGACACTAGCAAAGTAATATAATATGGACGACTGTGCCAAAAGTTCAATATTTCCTGCATTCAAAATTTATGAGTGCAGAAATATAGTTAGTTAACCAATTTCAATATTAAATGGTATCAATATTGCAACAATTGCGGCAACAATTTATTAATATAGTAGCAACAGGAGATGTGTGTAGGGAATAGGGAGATGGAAACCAAAAACCTGGGACCAAGGTGGCTAGTACTGAGCCCAAAACAAACAAAAACTGTTCTATACTAAAAGATAAATTAATGTAAACTACCCACAAGAATAGCTAATGTCGTAAGGAATATAGCTCGTCCTATATCAATGGTATATAAAATATCACTGGACAACAAATAGTTGAAATAACTATTTGTCTAATGGTGCTAGGTAGAACTACACATTATACTCAATCTTATCTGTGTATAAGGATAGAGCGCAAAAATATCGTGAGCTAATCAGCTACAATACTAAGTATAATAAAATGTTGCAATGATACACACAATATGATAAAATAGTTGCAAAATACTATAATCGGTCTATTCGCTGCATTTAAAAATAATAGTGCAAAGATGTCACGAGTAGAGTTGAGCGAATCCGAACTTTACCGAACATTACGATTTTTTGACCCTGAACCCGAACCCGGACATTTCAGTAACAGTTCGGGTTCGAGTTCGGTGTTCAACGATTTAATGGCGCGTTTTGAAAAGCTGCAGGGCAGCCAATCAACAAGCGTTTGACTCGTGTGCCCTTAGAAGCCATCACAGCCATGCCTACTAATGGCATGGCTGTGATTGGCCAGTGCAGCATGTGACCCAGCCTCTATATAAGCTGAAGTCACGTAGCGCCACACGTCACATGAGCTCTTATTAGTGTAGAGAGAGGATGCTGCAGCTGTGAGGGACAGATTAGGAAAGAATTCTGGTGTTGAATCTGCAAACTACAGCGATTATTTTTGTGGGTGATATACTACATTTTTGTACCCTGCCCTGAGCCCAGTGCCACAGAGAAATAAGCAATCAGTCTGTTTGTTAGGTGGGCATTGGCGGCCATTTTTGCAAGTACAGTGCACTTGCAACTGCATGCGTGCCAGGCACATTACTTTATTCCTGTTCTGGTAGCTCAGTGGGCAACATCTAGGCATTTGTAAATACTGTGGTTACAATTCCCATTTTTTTTGGTGCTAAAAAGTAAATTTGGGGCGTGCACTTCATATCTGAGAGTCAAATAGAACCATCAAATACTGTGGTTACATCGCACTTTGAAAAATTCACATTTCTTTGATGCTAAAAAGTTAATTTGGGGCGTGCACTTCATATCTGAGAGTCAAATAGAACCGTCAAATACTGTGGTTACATCGCAGTTTGACTAATTCACATTTTTTTGGTGCTAAAAAGTAAATGTGGGGCGTGATCTTCATATCTAAGAGTGAAACAGAAACGTCAAATACTGTGGTTACATCGCACTTTGAAAAATGTAAACATTTTTGGTGCTAAAAAGTTAATTTGGGGCGTGCACTTTATATCTGAGAGTCAAGTAGAACCGTCAAATACTGTGGTTACATCGCACTTTGAAAAATTCATATTTTTTTTTGGTGCTAAATAGTAAATTTGGGACGTGCACTTCATATCTGAGAGTCAAATAGAACTGTCAAATACTGTGGTTACATCGCACTTTGAAAAATTCAAATTTTTTTTGTGCTAAATAGTACATTTGCAGCCTGCGGTGCATTTCTTGCAGTCCAATAAAACCCTTAAATACTACTGTTACATTGTTGTTTGACAAATTCACATTTTTTTGAGACAGTGAAGTAACTGTATTAATTACGCCTGTCACACTGTTGTGTGACCTCGAGAAAATTTTTCTCTTTAGGACACCGACACTGCCTTACTGTTAGTGAACTTAATTGTTGACTATTGGCGGTTACATTGTCACCTGACATAAACCATTGGTGGGTTAACGCAAAGAATGAGGAGAGCGTCAAATAAGGGACGTGGCCCTGGTCGTGGTGCTGCTGATGTTGGTGGAGCTCCTGTTGCAGGGAGAGGACGTGGTCGATCTGTACCAGCTACACGCACAAGTGAAACACCTTCCTCAGGTGCGAGTAGGTGACAGAACCTTCATCGTTATTTGGTAGGCCCGAATGCCGCTCTACGAATGGTGAGGCCAGAACAAGTACAGGCGATAGTAGATTGGATGTCTGACAGTGCCTCCAGTTCCTTCACATTTTCTCCCACCCGGTCCCCTGCTGAAAGCTCAGAGTTGGCACCTGCAGCCCATGGCCATCTGTCTTTCACCTCATCCCCTTGCAAATCAGCCAAGCCGTCTGAGCCACAAGTCATGCAGCAGTCTCTTATGCTTTTTGATTACTCTGCTGGCAGGGTTTCCGTGGGCCATCCACCTAGCCCTGCCCCAGAAGTCGAAGAGATTGAGTGCACTGATGCACAACCACTTAAGTTTCAGGATGTGGACAGGCGAGGACCACCGCAGCACATCTCTGATGATGATGAAACACAGGAGCCAACTGCTGTGGCCTTCTGCAGTGTGCAGACCGGCAAGGAGGGCAGGGTTGAGGAGTGGGTGGAAGATTATGTGGAGGATGATGAGGTCCGAGACCCCACATAGAATCAAGGTTATGCGAGTGACGTGCGCAGTTTGGAGGAAGAGGCGGTGATCGCACAGAGGCACCAGCACAGCATAAGAGGGAGCAGGGTGCAAAAGCGGAGTGCATAGACAGTATGCCTGCTACTGCCCACCACACCCAGGGTGCGAGCACACCAAAGCCAGCTCCAAGGAGTTCCCTAGCGTGGCAGTTCTTCAGACAATGTGCTGACAACAAGACACGAGTGGTTTGCATGCTGTGCCTCCTGTTGCCTCCTCCTACTCTGCTTCCTCCTCCTCTACCACCTCCTCATCTGGTCAGCGTAACACCTTCACCACCAACTTCAGCACAGCCAGGGGGGAAACGACAGCAGGCTTTTTTAAAACTTATATGTTTGGGGGGGAAAACCCTACACCGCACAGGAGCTGTGGACGGGCATGGAACAACAGACCAATGAGTGGTTGTTGCCACTGAGCCTCAAGCCCGGCCTGGTGGTGTGCGATAATGGGCGAAATCTCGTAGCAGCTCTGGGTCTAGCCAGTTTGACGCACATCCCTTGCCTGGCTCATGTGCTGAATTTGGTGGTGCAGAAATTCCTGAAAAACTACCCAGATATATCATGGCTGCTGCATAAAGTGCGGGCCATCTGTGCGCGCTTTCGGCATTCTCACCCTGCTGCTGCTCGCCTGTCTGCACTGCAGCGTAACTTTGGCCTTCCCACTCACGGCCTTATATGCGACGTGCCCACCTTGCACATGCTGGAGAAACTGTGCGAGAAGTAGCAGGCGATAGTGGAGTTTCAGCTGCAGCATGCACGGGTCAGTCGCTCTGCGGAACAGCACCACTTCACCACCAATGAGTGGGCCTCCATGCCTGTGTGCCATGTTGCGCTGTTTCAAGTACTCCACCAACATGGCCAGTGCCGATGACTGGTAGACACGCTGCTGAGGGCATTCCCAACTGACACCGGGGGCTCAGTGGAAGCACAAGGAGAAGGCAGAGGAGGAGGAAGAGGTCGCCGCCAGCACCTCAGAAGGCAGGGTTAGCATGGCCGAAATTTGGAAAAGCTTTGTCATCATGCCGCAACAACCAGCACCACCAGCTGATATGGAACGTCTTAGCAGGAGGCAGCATTTCAGCAACATGGGGAAACAGTACGTGTGCACACGCCTACACGTACTGACTGATGGGTCTGCCCCATTCAACTTCTGGGTCTCCAAACTGGGCACATGGCCTGGGCTTGCACTTTATGCCTTGGAGGTGCTGGCCTGCCCTGCAGCCAGTGTATTGTCTGAACGTGTGTTTAGCACGGCAGGAGGCTTTATGACAGACAAGTGCAGCCGCCTGTCCACAGCCAACGTGGACAAGCTAAAGTTTATTAAAATTAACCGGGCATAGATCCCACCAGACTTGTCTGTACCTTGTGCAGAATAGACATTTATACCGGCCTCACCCAGCCATTGTTATACTCAAGTGCACTTATTCTTTGTTTTCTTTTTTATATGTCCCAATATTTTGGGGGCTACCCGAATTAAAAAAAAAAAATACAGTGTTGGCTACCTCCTCCACCTACACCGCCATGGTCACCACCTCCTGAACCTCCTACTCCACATCCACCTCCTCCTCCTAGTTCAAGATTATTATTTTAAATTTGTATGTATTTTATGTTATTTTAGGTTATTTCCCTATCCACATTTGTTTGCAGGGCACTTCTCCTACTCTTACCCCCATTTTACTTCCTTTTGCAGCCCTCTAGCCCTTTCCAGGACTTTTTTTGAGCCATTTTGGCATCTTCCTCTCTGCCTAATGGTTCAAACGTCAGTTTGAATTCTGTAAGGAATTCCTGGTAACACTGAGCGATACTCCTATTACTTTCCCATGATGGATTAGCCCAAGTTAAGGCATTACCTTTAAGTTGGTTCATCAGATACCCAATCTTAGCTCTATCTTAAGGAAATGAACCAGGTGAGGCAGGAACATATTAGCCGCGAGGCAAACAAGGCATTTGCCTTGGGCGGCATTTTTCAGGGGGCGGCAAAAAACGCCGCCCCCAAATGCCCAGGGCAAATGCCTTGTTAGCCTTGCGGCTAACAGACATGCTGGGCTGGGCGGGCGGCTGGCGAGGGAGCACTTCCTCTGAGCGGTCTGCTCAGCTACCTCGCGCGCCGCAGAGGCTGGGAGCCGGGTTGATGACGTCATATTCCGGTTCCCAGCCTCACTCTGCGGCGCGCGAGGGAGCTGAGCAGACCGCTCAAAGGAAGTTCTCCCTCGCCAGCCGCCCGCCCAGCAACCAGCCCATCAGCCCGACCGGCAGCCACTGGACCCCCAGGGTGAAAGAGAACCCCCCCCCAGCCTCCTTACCTTTGGGAGTTAAATAAAAAAAAAAGTGTTAATGTGAGTGATTGTGTGTGTGTGTCTGACTGTTTGTGTGTTTGTGTCTGACTGTGTGTGTGTGTCTGACTGTGTGTGTGTTTGTGTCTGACTGTGTGTGTGTGTCTGACTGTGTGTGTGTGTTTGTGTCTGACTGTGTGTGTGTGTGTGTGTCTGACTGTGTGTGTGTTTGTGTCTGACTGTGTGTGTGTGTGTGTCTGACTGTGTGTGTGTGTTTGTGTCTGACTGTGTGTGTGTGTGTGTGTGTCTGGCTGTGTGTGTGTGTCTGACTGTGTGTGTGTGTCTGACTGTGTGTGTGTTTGTGTCTGACTATGTGTGTGTCTGACTGTGTGTGTGTGTCTGACTGTGTGTGTGTTTGTGTCTGACTGTGTGTGTGTGTGTGTGTGTCTGACTGTGTGTGTTTGTGTCTGACTGTGTGTGTGTTTGTGTCTGACTGTGTGTGTGTGTGTGTGTCTGACTGTGTGTGTGTGTGTGTTTGTGTCTGACTGTGTGTGTGTTTGTGTCTGACTGTGTGTGTGTATTTAGAAGGTGGGGCGGGAGGGAAGGGTTGGGTGGGGGTGGCGCGGGGGCAGGGGGGCGTCTGAGTTTTGTCCTGCCTAGGGCAGCACAAAACCAGGATACACCACTGAGGTGAGGCCTCAAAGTGGTACTCAATCTGACTGAGAAATCCCCTACATTTCTGGATATTACCAGAAAAATGCGGGGGAGGAGATAAGGAGATCATAGGTGCCTTATATACTCCAGGTGGAGGTACATTAGGCAACGGTGACATAATCAGAGAAGCCTCAGATTGTAAATGAGCCGTCCTAGTAAGGAGCGTGCTAAAAGCCTGGGCAAATTGATCCATACAGTGATCATTCTCCTCTAGCTTTCTCTCGCAAGCTGACACAATTCTTTAGGATGTATGGCCATGTCGTAATGTCAGGATTACAAGTTGATCCAGCACGCAGACCTGTGTCACACCTAGGACTAAGAATAACGTATAACCGGACCTTAGAATGGCCGGACTTAACGTATCCAAGAATAGTCAAAATACTTGCAGAGGTCAGGAACACAGAATCAGACACAACGATGAGGGAAAGCCAAAATTCATGGATACCAGAATTCAGAGAAGTATTGCTGCCCAGTCACTTGTGCAATAAGGGAGGACCTGGCCCAGGTTAAATCTTGCTGCATGCCCCTACCTGTGCCAGGTCCCCCGTGTAGGGGCATGTCATTAGAACCGAATATAAAAATCTGTATTTTACATAGAAGTGATAGAGCGCTACGGTAAGAGTACATGTAACCAAAAGTTATAGTAAAAACTATAACAATGTTGCAATATGAAAAAGTAGCTATTTAGACCCGCGAGTAGGGGCATGTCGCCTTAACAGCGAGCAGCCAATGGCTATTGCTGCCCAGTGACTAGTTCAATAAGGGGGGACCTGGCACAGGACCCCCTGTTCCCCCATGGTGGGGAACACAAATAACACAAATGGAGGGGGATATTAATATAAACGGGGGGCCTAATTAATTAAAAGGGGGACTTGAGTGGCTGGTGGGGACCCTAATTAATTAAAGGGGGGACCTAATGTCCCCTTTGGTCTCCATCCATGAGCGGCAGGTGGGGACCCTAAATAAATAAATAATAGGGGGGACCTGCTTTCAATTTGAAAAGCAACCAATCACAGTGTTATGAGTCAAATTACACAGCATGGGAAAATTCCAAATAATGTTTTTTTAAAGATTCTTCATTTATGATTTTTTATAAGATAGTCTTAAAGAAAGGAAAAGCAATGAAATCTAAACGCAGTCATAACATCAATCTAATTGTTTGTTAACATGGCACATTAGATACAGTTTTCATTATTGTGTGATGTGGTGTTCAGTGAGAGTCTCTCGGGTGGTGAGAGAGCAAGGTCCACCCGTCATAACTCCTTTATAGGCGGTAGGCCTGGCCAGGGCGTTGGACCTAAGAGGAGTCAGGTACCAGTTTAGTTCAGGATGGTAATGCCAGCTAGTGGTATTGTTTATAAGGAAAGTGTTCCTTAGGTGAATTTGTCGGTTGACTTTAGGGGGGAACCCCAATGAGGGTTCACCTGTATCGGGGGGGGGGAGCGAGAAAAGAGGGGGGGGAGGCGCCGCTAGCCCGGAGACCCCCCCAGAACCTGGTGGGAAGGTAAGGGGAAGAAGGTAGGGTGGGGAAGGTGGGTGGTTGGCATCCGTGTTACTGGTTCGGTTCACAGTGATCGTGGGTGTTGTAGGCGCATGAGGGTAGTGTGAGCCTACCATGGGAGAGCAGTGTCGCCCTCCAGCCATGGATCCCAGATTTTATGGAATGAGTTTGGTGTGTCATATACTTAAGCCGTTAGTTTTACCATGTCGATGCTGTCATATTTTTTGTTATGGATTTGAGAATGGGTCGGTATCAGAGGGGTGGACCATACTTCTGCTATTTTTCTACAGGTAGCTAGGGCTACTCAGGCGATACACGAGTAGGGGCATACACGAGTAGGGGTATGCAGGAGGATTTAACTTCCCTTTTATTAATATGGAGGTCACTAGGTTTTAATGTGGGGGGAAGGGTAGGAATAGTTATTTATTACAAGGAGGGAGCTGGTAACGGTGCCGGCTCCCTCTTTGCTTTTTTTTTTGTTTTGCGAATGGGCAGTGCTGATTTTTTTTTTTTTTAAAGAATGGTTTGTTGACGGAATTCAGGATTGACAAATTACATTTTTATTTAGTACGAAATCATTAGTACGGAACGAAAATTTCACTGGTGCAATAATCTCCCTGTGCTATTTGCAAAATAGCATCTTGCTTCTTTCTCTTAAGGGCACTGTAATCCCATCCCTGGTGCTATGAGAAAATTATGGCCCCTGAATAGAGAGGGCAATAGCATGCCACCACTCATGGGCAGCTGACTCTGCTCTGCTGCCCAAATGGTAACTCAATGGAAATTCTGGAAATTCCTTCCCTAAAGGACACTAGGCATGTGCAAAACCTGCTGAAATAGGGCAGATTTCAAACCAGCCCCTTTTTAACATGTCTAGAAGCTCTCAAGTAAACTTCTCCAAACAGCTACCAATGAGGGTGGAGGGGCCCTGCAGAATTGAAAACTATTACAGAATTATTTTTTTCCCCATATTTGTTTGGCATACCACTCTCCCCTGCACAAAAAAAGAATCTTAGTGTTTCTAACTACTGCAAATACATTTTTTCCACACATAAAAACTGGTTTGGCGTTGCCCCTATGGACGAGCCTTCCCAATCTACAGACTATCAGGTGTCCTAAAATCATATATCAGCAGTCAGGCAAGAACAAATGGAGCATACAGAGGAACAGCCAACTACAGAAATGTCTCAGTGGTGACCTAGTTAGGTAATGCATTGTATGTGTGGGGGTCAGTGGGTGAATTTGTGTGTGTGTGTGTGTGTGTCAGTATAAAGTGGGTGTGTGTGTGAGAAAGAGCTTGTGTGTGCCAATGAAAGTGTGCTTATAGGACAGTGAAGTTGTGTGTCCTTAAAAATATAAAACATTTTAAATAAAAAAATAGTTTCACTTACTTCACGTGAGTAAGAGAGTGAGTGTGTGTGTGTGTGTGTGTGTCAAAGAGCTTGTGTGTGCCAATGGAACAGTGAAGTTGTGTGACCTTAAAAATATAAAAATTTTAACTACAAAAATAGTTTCACTTACTTCACGTAATTTGTAGTAAAATGCACGTATACATGTATATGCACGTAATTTTATTATATGTGTATTGAAGTGTACAAGTCGTAATACACAACATTTAGGCTGATTGTAAAAAGCATGAAATTCCATCTATATATTGTGCTAGCACAAGTATACATTTTAATTTAAACCTCTTTAAAAATATGGTTCTTCTACCTCTTCTCAAATCCTCGGCATTAGACCTGTGTGCCAGTGAAATAAGGGCAAAAAGCATGGGTGTAGAAACCCCGGGGATTGGGGGGTACAAATCAATACCAGAAAAATCATGTCTCATTGCTTAAGAAAAACAAATACAAGTTGGTTAGATTTATATACTCCCAGGTGATAACAAATCATTTTACAAATAAAAAACTGTTTGCTCCCTACTTGTGGCCTGGATTGCTATGAAAGCCTCCTCCCAGAATTTTTTTATTCCTACATCAATGATCAAGAGAACTCTCCCTGTTGCTGTGTTACTACTCCTGCAACCTTTACTTGTATGTATCAGTATAGGATGCACTGACAACGATGTGCATGGCATCAGAATGGTGGATCGCTCTGCTTGGGGAAATGTCCCCAAGAAGGGCCCGTCACAGCAGACGGGGAGCAGCACGGAGGGTGGGTGTTATAGCACTGTAACACCCACGAATCATTCATAATGGTGGATCTGGAGCGAGGGGCAATATACAGCTCCATATATGATTTATCACTATGATAGATCACATATGTTGTGCCTCGAGACCTGCTATATGTTCAAGTAAACCTGCGGAATGTTGGTGCATAAATATCATTGTAACTGTGGTGACAAATTCACTTTAAATAAATAAATATACGTATATTCACAATAACAAGCCACTCTTCCTAAAGTAGTTCCAAAAATAGATACTTGACTTGGTGCTAACCGCATTAAACACGTCACAAAAAATAGGGACCACTCACAGATCTTTGTGAATGTGGTTTTAATGGTGATCGTTACAAACACCAAATGGATCAACGTTTTCACCTATGCATTTTAATCTCAAGATCTCTCTCTATATATATATATTTCCCTTTATTTCCCCGTGTGTTTCGTGTGCTGTACCTTGTTTCCCCGTTCGGGAGCGTTCATGTGAACGGAACCCATTCGTCTCCCGAATGGGGACCAGCCCGGTGCCCCATTAGAGTGTTCACACCAATCAATTGGAATGTTCACACCAGTAACATAAGTGCGAAACCACAAGGGAAGTAATTCATGAGTGCCCCCCTGGGTGGCCGCCAATTCATACAGAAGAACGCTTTCCTTGCCAGGTGTTCACACGAGGGTCTCACGGATGAAGACCGGTCGGGAAATGTACTGTTGTGGGGGTCCTGAGGTTGGTGGGGACATTTTGATGGGACTGGCTATGCTGGCGGTGAATCGCCCTACCTGCTCCTAAAGGAGACATATTCACTGTCCGGAGGAGATCCAGGAGACTCCCTATCCAGGAGCTATGGGTCCAGGCTCATAGCTGCCCAAAGAGCGCGCTCTCCGGTGCTACCTACATGCAGATATCCACCTGAGAGAGCCACAGCAGAATGCCTGGAGCTGTGAGGCGGCTTCTCGGCTTCAGATCCCTGCTGGCCGCCTGGAAGTCCGTGGCGGCCAATGGGAGAAGGGCTGCCATTCAAACTGGTTTTGCGCTCTTTCTCCTGATTAGCCAGTGAAACACCTCCCCGCCCAAGAATTGATTGGCGCAATTTGGTTTCACGCCCTTTTCCTGATTGGCTGCCACTTGGTTTAGGCACGAAGTTTGAATTCGGCTTAAACAAAGCATTTCCATGGAACTTGTTTCGGGAATGTACAGAGCCCCAAGCCCAGACTTTACACAATGATTTCTTGGGCTCTGTACATCCGATAGCCCCACTATTTGCAGGGATCCTAGCTGGGACATGGGCCTATCCAGAGATATATGTTCCCTGTGTGTGCCCCATTTCCTTCCCAGGATGAGGAGCCCCCTAAGTTCCCCAATGTATGTAATGTATCTTACTGTTTGTAACTGTTGTGCTGTTGGTATTACCCAGAGCGGGAGATGGTGATCTGTAAACCACCCCCCTCAAGCTGGGGACTTGTACTGAATAGAAAGGAGACCCCCTATAGGGGTCTGTGAATAAATGAAGTCTGTACCAATAAAGCATTGTCAGTGTTGTACTCACAGAGCTCTGTCTCGTTCAGTTACTGGGGGGAAATGGGTCTCTTGCTGTGCTAAGTGGTTCCTGAGCGGAAGGAAGAGGGTTAACCGACCATATGCCCACCCCGTTAATAACATCAGGTGGAAGGGGTTTTCAATCACAATTTTTTCCCCACCATAACCTTTTTGGTTTTCAAGCACTTCCAAGCCTCAATAAGCAAACCAGTAACCAACCTCATGCTGATGATTTGCATTAACAATGAAAAAGCTGTCCATGAGTGGTTCACTGGCTTTGCATCTTTTCCTAAGTTGTGTTTCAAAGCTGTTGTATACCGCAAACACAGACTCAAAGGAATCCATGTTCATAATGGAATGAGGCAAAAATGTGATTCTTTGTTAAACTCATTTGCATATGCCAACCCAAAATCCTTTGCAAATTTGTGATTTCTGTGGGAAAAGCGAGTCTTATGGCTTGACTGATGTGCAGATTTTTGTTTAACATTTAATTATCTATCTATCTATGTCTGCGCTATACTACATAATTAATTATAGGGCTGGCATACTAAAATTTTCAATCCTCTACTTTCAATCTTAAAACTATAACCACTATAGGACGGAGACAATTATATAAGTTTTGAACCAAAACAAAATCTAGAATTTGAGCTCTATGTCTGTTCAACCATAATTTACCTTTTCATATTTATATATGAAACATAATTAAGAAATGTGTTATTTTTCAAGTTCTGCATAGTATTTTAACTATGAATGTCATAATACACATATTTGTGTTCGCCAATGTCTCACAAGTACAACAGTAGCCCCTTGTACAGGTTTTATGGGGTTTTGGAAAGTTACAGGTTCAAATATAGGGCTGTCACCTTTTCAGTTTATACACATTGAAGTTTACCAGATTGGTTTGTTGGGCCTATGTTGCCGATGTTGCTTTCGAGACAGTAAGGCAGCCCAGGAATGACAATTACTCCATCATGTCATACCATTTGCAAAAGTAGACAACATAGGGCAAGCACATCAAAATGTTAAAGGCTAACACGGGCCAAATAAACAAGGTTTAAGTTTATGTGGGGCACATAAAAAGCAAAAAGGTCAGTTTTCATAAAAACCTAGGTTTGTTTTGAAAAGTACAGTATAAAAAAAGTTGCCTAACTGACACTGGATGTCTTCATGCTCGTAAGGCTTCAAAGTAAACAAAAGAGCAAGTTTATTTTAAGGAGACGTGCATTTGCATATAGCCAATGTTTTAGTCCAACTACCTTGACATTAAGAAAAGTTTGCTAATAGGACTGAAATGGTGAATATATGCTGTTGCACAGCTGTAAAAAAATTAAAAAAAAAGTTATTATCTTGTTGACTTTAAAGTCCTATGAGTGTATTCTGTACTGTGGCTGAGCTCAAACTTGATGATCTCAGCCAATCCAATGCTTTCCCATGGGCTATTGTGCATGTGAGGCAAAAAGCTGCGCGGCCAGTCAGCATCTCCATGGGTAGCATTCAGCGCCTCTATGCAGACCCAATCTAACACTGCCCCTTTTCCATTCTAATACACTGCCCACAAATCCAATACACTGCCCCCTCCACCCAATCTAATACACTGCCCCTTAATCTAATACACTGCATCCCCTCCCTCCACTCTAACTTAATACACTTCCCTCCTTCCCCCCAATTTAATACTCTGTCCTCCCCCCCAATTTAACACACTGCCCCCTCCCACTACTCTAATACACTGCCCCCTCTTTCATCACTCTAATACACTGCTCCCCTCCCTCCCCAAATTAATTCACTGCCCCTCTTCATCCCCCAAATTAATACACTGCCCTCCCCCCAATTTAACACACTGCCCACTCCCTTCCCCAATTTAACACACTGCCCATTCCCTCCCCCAATTTAATACACTGCCCCCTTCCTTCATCAAATAAATACACTGCTCCCCCACCCCCTTCCTAGTTTAATACACTGGCCCTCTCCCTACCCCAAATTAATACACTGCACCTTCCCTCCCCCAAATAAATTAACTTTCCCCTCCCTCCCCCAATTTAAAACACTGCCCCCTTCTCACCCCAAATTTAATACACTGCCCTTCCTCCAAAATGTAACACACTACACAGGAAGGTCCCCCAAGCCTCTTCCCCTACCTGAAGATGATCCGCCCGTCCTCCAGTTCCAGCTCTGCTCTTCTCTGCTCAAGCAGGCCAGGCGCTCCTCTGGCACTGCGAGCAGGAAGGGGGAGTGCCTGGCCTGCTCTGCAGACAGTCAGCCACTCTGTGCTCTTGCGGCCGTGGGAACACACGATCGGCCATGGGAGGGACAACAAGAATCAGTCGCAGCACAAAGCAGTCCCAGGGCAGGTGGGCCGCGAAGTTATTCATTTTGGGCCGCAAGTTTGACATGCTTGATATAGGGTATTCAAAATGGGGTATGACCAGTCTTTTTTTGGAAACCACTAAGTCACAAATGCTGGCCAAAGTTAGTGTTCATATTATTTTTTTTTTGCATTTTTCACACACAAACTGCCATTTTACAAAATATATCCTTATCGTTATATGTTTTACTGCTCTAAAACACTCATATTTGTGTTCACTAGTACAACAGTACTCCCTATGTACACGTTTTATGGGGATTTCATAAGTTACAGGGTCAAATATAGGGCTTGCAAATGTAATTGTCTGGACTATTTGCCTGGATTTTCACATCCCCCAATTTATAATTCATAAAATAATATAATTATATATAAATAAAATATAAATACACTTAGAATTAAATTATATATACATATATATTTCATTCTAAGTGTACTTATGTATTATTCATGTATAATTATGTTATTTTATGATTCATTTACTGGGGGACCTGCCTGACAACCCAGTCAGAAGGTCCAGAGAATTTAATGTGCATAGCACGGCACAACATCAGGAATGGAGAGGTAATACTTACCAAGAGTTTTACTATTATGTTACTGTATCCCTTATATGTTACTAATAAGTGTCTAAAATTAAATGTATAATCCACACTGCTGTATTTAACTGCTGTATCCTGGAACTGAGTGTCTCCATCTTGGTTTCCTGTCATTCACTGTTATAAGCGCTGTCTTTATGTTTTTCCTCCTCCCTGGCTGTGCCAGGATTAAACTGGATTGTAATCTCAGTTGCTAAATATTTAACATGTAATAAAACAAAGCAACCTATTAAAAATGGTCAAGACACGTTATAGGCGACTCTCAATGGTCCACAGAAGTGACCATTCCCTTTGAAGACATATAGCGTCTTTTTTTTTTAAGTATTTATTGTACGCATATTGTATGATAAAAAATATTGTGAATTTAGTGCTGCATTTAAAAGAAAAAGAGATGTGCATAAAAAATGTTCCTTAGGCAGCGTTCCTCCTTTCACTGATCACATTAATAGGAGTGACATTTTTGTGCACTCTGTGTGACATACAGCAGCTGTACCTATAGCTCATGCTATGTAATACCTAGAAGCCCTGCCATATATATATTCTGATCTACTTTCGAATCGAGCATCTTTTATAATGTATAGAGACAAACATACGAACAGAATTAAAATAAATGGCTAGGAACAGTACAAACAAGTTAATATCACTGGGGAAGTTTTGTTTATTTAAAAAAAATTGATTTATTGAAAAAATAAAAAGTTCATTATTTGTTAGGAATAGACAATTGTTGGGTTTTTCTTTATTTTTTACTGGAGGATGGGGGGGAGTTTATATTTCTAAACCTTTAAAAACAGAATTCAAATACACGTTTGTTTCTATATATATAGATCTACATTCACATTTTTCCATAAATTATATTTGTTATTTAATTTTAAACAAAAGAAATTTTCTAAAATCAACATAGTTAATTTTGTTTTGTTTTCTTACCTGAGTGGTTAGAAGCTTGTCCCATTTTGGTTGCAGGTAGAAAATTACCCCCCTCCAGGCACCGGGGAGTGTGGCCCCTCGAATTAAGAGAAGGGTGAGTACAATGTAAGGAAAAGTAGCCGTAACCCACACCACCTGGCACAGGGAAAATGTTAGATAGTGAAACCTCAAAAGAGGTGGTGTGTGAACATTTTGCATCATAATGGATAGATATATTGATTCATTTTAAGGAACATACAATATATTCTACGCTGTTTTGTTTTATTCACAGATAACATGACAAGATAGGTTTTTCTATAGGAGCGCTGGTATTGAAGGAACATGACCACAGTAAGTTGGAGGGCATGGGAAATAACTTGGAGATACATTTGGTGCTCATCTCAATCTGCTGAATGGTGCTCATTGGTAGTTCCTTGTCCTAGATTTGTTGGTTTATGTTGGCCTCTAAAGCATATGTTCTAAGCAACATTAATTAGATGTATCAAAATAGGATTTAGAAAATTACATTTAAAATAAAAGCTAAGCAATTGTTGGCGATGCTCCACAAGGTTATGCCGAAGAGTCAAATGGGCAAGGAGCTCAAGTGAATTGTAAATCTTCTGCACATATTTTGTTCTCAATTAATCTCTCTTTTGTCTTCCACCCTATTTTCCACTCTCTTTCCTTGTTTCTGTCAACATGTGTGCTGTGCTTGTGTGGTACCCAACCTATTCTTCAAGGAACAACAGTTCTCCAGGCTCTCCAGGTTTGTCATTATCTCCATTGGAATAGATTTGGGAAATTCCTAAATTCTGGACAGTAGATATGCTTTAAGTCCCGAGTGAGGAAACCCTGCTCTATGAAATATATTTAATACCTTGTCTTTTTTTTTCACTGACCTTTCCAGATGTCTTAACTCCTTTCCATATGCTGAAATAAACAACAGTGAAGATGAAAAGCAGGCAAAGAGTCAATTGCCAGCTGATTCCACCAAGTTCCTGTAGACCTTTTGACTTATGAATCTGCAGCACTAGCCGGCTGAAAAACAGGAGAAATAGCCTTCACTATAACCCTCTGAGCTAATCTACCTTACAAGACGTGAAACTTAGGCTTTAGGTTTCTGCTAAAACAATGGAATAATTAGATGAGGTAATAAGGCTTAGGACCAATACTTTCTGAAATTACTTTTGACATCGTAGAGTAACCATGATGGACTTTGAAGGAAATCATTTGTAAAACATGGTGTTATTCAGAGTCTTCATTTTGTACTTAATGGAGAAAAAGATTTAGTAAAGAGGATTTAGATCACAGATTTAAATGTACTGGTATGGAATTTATGTCAGAGTCTATACGCAATCATCATTTTGTTCCGAGACCCAACCCTCGTGATTTGTACTGGGTTCTGTTGTCAATTATTCATTGAGCTGATTGTTGGTTTTTTTTTTTTTTACTTTTCCAACTTTAAACATTTTAAAAATCTGTTCTCAGCATCACACCTAATGCGCCCTGGTCCTCTAAATGACCTCACATGAGCATGGTGGATGAAGCAGTGTCAAACAACCTCAACAACTTGTTCAATAACAACTGCTCAAATCCAAAATGTGGAATACAATACTGGGTTATCAAAAACGCTAAGATATGCTACTTATCCATGCAGGTAAGAATTCAACCCATTGTAAACAATTAGCAGAGAAGGTTTTGAAGGGGAACATTTTTACTTTTATAAAATGGATGTAAAATGAACTTATACTGGAAATTATAAAATGTTGGCACAAGGCAAGACTGCACAAATACTGGATCTCCATCAAGAAACATTTTTGAGACTTTTTTTGATTTTAAGAAGTAACTGTTGTCATTATCATTTTACTATGAATACAAAGTGTATACATCTCCGTTGCCAATATTTACCACGTCAACTGTAATTATATTTGGTTGTCTTATATATTTTTCCTTTCTCAATGTCAAATTCAATTCTTCTCCTGTCCCATCTCCCTTAAGGGCCCATTATTCCTCACCACACTTACATGCACTTACGTGTAAAACTCCTCTGCTGGGGAGATGGAGTTGTTGAACCACGTGACGCTGCTGTTGTGAAAGTAATTTGTGCAGTTTTCAGTGTTCCATTCGTTATGGCAGCTTGTCCAGGGTAGTTCACCCCGGAAGGAGAACATGAGGTAGTAGAGTGCCCAGGCTATGATGGTGTTGTAGTAAGATGCTACATAGAAGGCTATTATGCAGATAGCATAGCCGATTCCTGGAGAAAGTAGATATTAATTATAAGATCACACTACCACAGAGGTCCCCAAACCAAGTTTCATTAATATAGGGACAGAAGCAGGGACATTCCTAAAATTTGTAATGTAAGGGTGCATATGGCAAGGTTTGGAAATCTCTCAAAACACCCCATAACATCACATTAGAGGGTATGGGCTATTTTTATATTTGTATAGACAATTATCCTCATATTTTAAGACACGAGATTAGAGTTACAATAATTGAAACATTTGGGCTGTTTCGGTTTCCCCAGTTGACAGTGTTCATCTTTCTTACCTTTAAATAAGGGGCAGATTTTCCTCCATATAGATATACAGCCACTCCTGTGGTACTGACCCAAAGCCAGTTCCATATAAAATAGAGGAATCCCACCAAAGACTGCCATGATCACATATGGGATAAGAAAGGCTCCTGAAAATAACAAGGTGGTTAAGCACAAGAAGGAATTACCATTCCATTTTACCAATGGTTAATGTTAGACTCCTGAGGACAGAGATAACTAAAAAAAAAAAAACTTTATGGTACACTGCAGACATCCACACAAGCTAGATGCAATTATGCATTGCTAAAAAATTTTTTATTGTGCTCTGTATAGTGTGTATTGACATGTTGGGGTATGTGTCCCTACGATTGAATTTTTAAGAAAATTGATTGGTCTAGCTTAAAATAAATGTTAAATCCAGACACCCTAACTCTTAGTTCGGTGTCGTGTTTCACTATGTAACGTATTAGTATATTGTGTTAACTATGGTAATAGACAGATAAAGACAGACTTCAGAAAAGGTGTAGTTCATCTAGTTAATGGTATGGCCCATGTGATTCTCTGCCATGTAGTTTAACATACTGTGCTCTAAATGTCTGAGAATGATACATAAACTCAACTGAGCAAATGATATCAGAACATAGCTTTGTATATATATAACTAAAGATGTCTACACACAAAATCAATTCACATATATATAGAGATACACAGATATGGATCTGTAATAGTAACAATAGAATGTGAGACCCTGTCATACATAGTACAAAAATACCTTTTCATAATTCAGTTTATGGAGAAACCTTGTATAGGTGAATATATGACTGGATATTTTTACTTTATTGACAAAAAAACATTTAATTATTGCTCAAATGTATTCATCGTATTAGCACAATTGAAGTAGATCCTGTAATATTACTATAAACCAAATCAAATGAATGATCAATTAGGAATAAAAAGATAAATTTCCCAAACAAATTTTGACTCATTATAAGGAAGTATATAAAAAAAACACTTCTGTTAACAGAGCTACTCGTGAGAATTTCAGAGAATTCTTTAGAACATAATATCCACTGTATAAGAGGTTGAATAGGTGCTCACTTTATAAGACTAAGCAGCACAAAATATAATGTTTTCACCAGAGCCAGGAAAAGCCTGGCTACTTGTGGCCTGAAGCGTAATTTTACCAACCCACCACCGATAGACAAAAGTACACAAACTAAATAGATGTGTTGGTAAACATACGTGAAAATTGAATAGAAAGAATTAAAGTGCTATGCACTTGGGCATTTAGATGTGAAAAGTGGTTAGAAAGCAGCCCGGGAGCAATTGCCCTGCACACTTGGTACTTGGACATCACTAATCAATAAGGGAGATCTCCCCAACAAGGCAAGCATTTATTAAAAGGAGTTCTGAAGGATTTTCTAGTAAGGGAAAAATGCATTAAATACATAAACCCTGTATATCATGTCAATGAGCCATATGTGCATCAAAAAAGTTTGCCAGTGCTATCTGTGTCCCCAAACAATCTTCCAGTGCCATTTTTCAGTCAGCACCCTCTCTGTACCATATCTCTGCCCCCACCCTCTCTGTGCCTGTGTCATCTCTCTGCCCCAGCAACTTGCACAGGCACCCTGATTGCATGCCCAGCACTTGCACTGCACCAAGATGCCTGGTATTCCCTGCAATTACCCCAGGATTCAGATGGCATCTTCTGCACTTAACCCAGGAACCAGATGGCATCCTCAGGACCTCCCTTATGTCTAGTTGAGGCTGCCTCTCGCACTCTACGCATGTTTGGTAGAGTCAGAGGTTGCGGGTCACATAACTCAACCTCTGACGTCCTGAGACACATGGGGAGCATAAGAGGCAGACAGACATGAAGTGCACAAATACAGTGCACAGGCACTGCACTCCCTCGCCCTCCCCACAGAGGTGGCTGACTGGCTGCCAGCCACAAAATATACCGGTAATGCTACTGGTATGGCTCCAATTTAGGACTGCTTGGGGGCAATTGCCCCCTTTCCCTGGTCCAGCCCGACCCTAACCTGAGCTAAACAACCAGGAAGTAACAGACATGGTTGTCTGCTTGAAGACCAGGGGGATTTAACAAGGTTAATTTATAAAAGTTCAAATTTCTATGAAATCTACACTGTTTATAAAATGAAAAAAAGAGGACACTCTCTTCACACCTAAATCAAATCAGCAAGCTAAATGCTTTAGCCGGTGTGTGGACTCTGTGGAGTGTCCCTTTAAGTCTGAAAAAACTATGATATCATAGTATTTTTATATGATGTTTAAATACCATAACTGTGTTTAATCACATTATGGCTTCCAGAAAACAATACAAATTCTGTCAATTATTAATAATACACAGACATAGGTAGGCACGTTGATATAAATAGTATAAATACAAGTCTCAGCTGGTTGTAATAATGCAAATGACTAACAATGGGGCTTATTATCCGAACACTGAATTGCAGTGAATAAAAAATTGAACTGCAAAATTTAGCCAAAATATTTAATTTGGAAAAAAAATCTCTAACTTAACCTGTCACCTCTCCCTCTACCCCATTTGCCCTCAGTTTTTTCTCTTTCCTCCTTTCTGCTTAGATTTTCTGTCTTTTTTAGGTCTATTAGTCTAGCTAAGTCTTTTCCATGTATAGTATTTATTGTGCATATTGATTATGACTGACGTAAGTAAATGATATATATGTCGTTCAAGTGAGAAACATTTAATATATGCTCAATAAACTATGAATGAAAAAATATTTACAGCTATAATCACAGTTTGGTTATTTTAGCCTACATTTGTAATTTTTATTTTGTTTACTGTTTAGTGAATAAACCCCACTTTTTTTGTACTAGAAAATAAATTAAAATTAAAGGGACACTATAGGCACCCATACCACTTCAGCTCATTGAAGTGGTCTGGGTGCATTGTCCCTATTGCACTTAGTGCTGCAATGTTGAACAGTGCAGTTCCAGAGAAACTAAGTCTGCCTCCAGTGGAGGCGATACTGGATCCAAATGGACCTTTGGTCCGGTATCTGACACGTGACATCCTCATGACATCGGGCGTCAGCTATTTCCCCATAGAAAAGCATTCCTATGGGAAGGCCTACTGCGCGTGTGGCACTGGCCGTGCATGTGCATTAGTGACCGCTCATCAAGGGACGTTGGAGGGGGAGCCGCGACCCAGTGCCCAGGGACATCGGCGCTGGGATCAGCTAGGTAAAGACGCTTTTTAACCCTTTATTCTCTGACTGGGAGGGTGGGGGTGTTAGGGAGCGGGGAAGCAGGGTAAGCTTTAGTAACTGGAATACAGCTTTGTATCGCTGGCACTACAGTACCCCTTTAATCTTGAAATAACAACCATAGAATATAATTGCCAGATGATTTTTAAAATGATGTATTAAATAGTAAAATCATGTTTTAAAAAAAAATGTTTTTATCATGCATATTTTTTTTTTTTATTCACAATGTATTTTAATTCTTTCACTTTGTGGTGTATTTTTCCATTAGTTGTATGCATGCTAAAATGAATTAGGTTAGACTTATTTAGGTTAGGCTACTAAAACAAATTAGCAGACTGCAGTACTAAAGGCCAGCACTTAGAGGGGATCTTTGGTAATCCCTTGTTTCAAACTATCTATTAAGAACGTTGCTCCTTGCCTGTTGCTGAGCAAGTGAACTTCTGTAATGACCTATTTAACACTGAACAGCGATGACAGGCTGGGAGCAATGGGGACAGTTATGATTTCCACCCAAAGCTGGACAGGTTACCTTCCATCCTGTAATGTCAACATTTCATCCCCCTTACTTTTCCAACTTTTTATCTGCACCCATCCACCCCATGTATCTGTTGAATACTGATGTTGTTTTATACTAATTCAATTTTCAGGGTGCAACACTCTATGTACTAGGGAATGGCATTTGCAAGAGATAGGAAAGAATCCACAAGGTATAGGGAGATACATTTACGAGGATAGAGATAGACACTGACACCAACACTGTTACTAGTTTGACTGTAGCTATGTTTATGTATAATGATTACGCACTTACAGATGATATGGTGAGAGGGACACATGTGGATATAGGGGGAGCATTTTGGTATGTCAACCTCGGAGCCATATGTTGTAAAAATGTCCGTACATCAAGCTTTTTTGTTAGCAGCAATTGTGTTACGCTCATGCTTGTACAATAGTACAAAACTAGATCACTATAGTATAAGCCAGGGAAACATTGTAGAAAGTCAGAGGTGTAGATTCACTGTGCTCTTAAAACTTGAATTACTTACCTGCTGCCATACAACATCTGGCACATCAGTTGCTACAACTCACAGTGTGCTAAGCCAGGTTTTTACTGGCCCACCCTGCAACCCATTAAACATGTTTAGCACCGGGCTGTGGAAGAGCAAATTCCCATTCTACAAAGAATAGACAAATCAGCAAATCTCTTCTCAATTATCTAGAACAAAATGCTCTTGGAAGCATAGTTCACTGCAATCTGCAGAGATATGGTTATAAAAAGAAAACACAAAGGGTTACGTGTACTGACCTCCTCCATTTTGGTAACAGATGTAAGGAAACCTCCAAACGTTTCCCAGGTCCACTGCATAGCCAATAACCGAAAGAAGGAAGTCTATTTTTTTACTCCAAGTTTCTCTCTCCCATACCTCTGCTTGCAAATGCTGCACCTCGGCTCTGCATGATGGGATGACAGTGAGTGTTTGGGTTGAACTTTCATCCACACCATTTCGGGTACCATTGCAGGGGGCTTCGGGACTCTGAACTGCTAAGTATTTGTTGGGCAATGGCCCAAGCTCGGCTCTTTCCCCCGGACTAGGATGAACTTTATTTAGCTCTTCAGATAGACGTAACGAAGGCTTGCAGTTCCTCAGCAACTGTCCGTCCTTTTTGCATTCTGAACGGGTCCTACAAGTCAAGGGCTCCTTTTCAGAGCCCAAGGATGGGCTCTCATTGCAGGCTGGTTTCCGTTCCATCCTTCCGTTTAGTTATGTAGAGTTGTGACGGAGGCCCATTTGCACTTCGCGGATATCCTTTGTCTGAAGTCAGTGAATCTAAGGTGAATAATTTTCTGAATCCAGTTCATCCAGTTCTGCAAACATGCAAACACACACAAAAAGAGTATAAGAAAATATACTGAAAGTAATTTTTTTTCTATTTTTTTGTTAGAACTCTCTGTTATTCATTAAAAGTTTGGAAAATGTGCTACCTTTTTCTCCATTCATCTTGTACAGGCTGTACTTATTGGCTCCTGCGGTTTATGACTAATATTTAATTTCTAAATCATCCATATCAGATTAATTACTTTCTTCCCGTATTCAAATGATGATATAAAAAACCACATGTTCCAAAGTCAGGGTTCAAACTATACAATGTTATTCTAGTTAGACCACATACAATGTGGACAATATAAGCCAGCCAACCACAGCTGAGACCAAGTTATCTGCGTGTTGCTGCGTTTAATGCATGCCTCTAAGGCAGCGATAGGCAACCTTTGGCACTTCAGATGTTGTGGACTACATCCCCCATAATGCTCTTACACCCATAATGCTGGCAAAGCATCATGGGGGGTGTAGTCCAAAACATCTGGAGTGCCGAAGGTTGCCCATGCCTGCTCTAAGGCATTTATTTGTGACTGAGTTGTTTAAGATGGTACCTCGATTATTGAACTATCTCCTACAAAAAGTCAAGTTGTGACATTCCTTTATTTATAAAATATTTTACCAGGAAGAATACATTATGATTTCACTTGTTTTCAATTATGTCCTGGGTCCACAAACATTGCATTGTTACAATAGGGTACAATGTTATATTAAAAGTACAAAATAATATTAAAATACATGCAATTTTTATTAATATAGATTACTAATTAAAAATATATATATATTTTTCTATATAGTGCATATTGATATGTTGGGGTATGCAATGCACTACATGTGGAATATCCATCTATAAGCCAATGTAATGCACAATGTGCACAACATATTTCATGTGATTTTCAATATTTGTTTTATTGGACTGTAAAATATATAACATTTTAAAATAGATACCACGATTAAATCATATATTTTTTATTATTACTATTATTAATAATTTGTTGTCAAACTGTCATGTAAAATTTGCTTTAAAATACCAACTTCAAAATTAAGGAACGCAATCCATAATTTTTACTCTAGAGCTAACTAGGTGCATACACAGATTTGTCACATTTCTTTAACTTTATCGCCCACTGAGTTTGTCCAAAAGTACATTTAACACCTGAGAGGGACATAATCTGAGACAAGGAGTACAATTTGTCCTGGACATACAAGTTACACCCCTTGTGCATGTCTATGTGTGTAAGACCGTATAGCAATTGTTCTATTTGAGAAATGCTTGCTCCAGATGTTACTGCAGGTTTCTTTATAAATCTATCCAGGGATTGGATATTGGACAGCGCAAGGAATTACACCTTGTAGTAGCAGACGAGCAGGCCAGAAAACGGCACAGATTATAATGTTCTCTATAAATGTATTTTATACATATTTGTACATTATGTCATTGTTTAAATCATCAAAGTGTTTCAATATATTTTTATGTAACTATAATTTCTTGTTTCAAGTGACACGACTGGATTAAACAATGGTTATTTTATTAGTTTTAAAAGGAAAGATATATATATATATATATATATATATATATATATATATATATATATATATGATAACATCAATAAAGTCACTCCTTAGCAATACAGCTAACAAACACAGGCTTCTCCACTTGGGATCCTATCATGTCAGGTAGACATTTGGACCACTAAGTAATACTCTACAGCAGTGTATGGCAAAATCAGGCTACATGAGATATCCCAGCTTTTATTGTGAAGTACAGATTATAATAAAGAATGACTCACTGAACTGGAGAGGGGGAGTTTCACCACATCTGACAAAAATCAAATTAAAGTGAAACTAATAATTTTTCATTATTGCTTAGAATAAAAGATCAAATTATTCTAGCCTCTGTGAGTTTAATTTTTTTAAAGCGTAAATAAAAGTAAATATTGCTTTATCTCCCGATTTAACCTTATTAAATGGGAGCAACAATCTTTAAGTAATTTATTTTACCAGAAGTGCATCGTTACTGACGAAAAACTGCACAAATGATAAAGAGCTAATGTGAGTTCACAAACCCTAACATCATATGCAAGCACAGGGCATCCAAAAAAAGGCACTCATATTCTGTAATCTAAGATAAGTGGTGTTTCCTACTAAAGTGGGTCTCCCAAGACATGGTTTCACCCGTTCAAATATAGTAAAAGAGAAAAAAAAAGAGAGTCAATTTAAAGCAAACAGACCCTAAAGCAATGGAAACAGACTCTATCCGGTACATGTCTATAATGACATTCTGCAGATATGAATTCTAAACACAAATTCGTGTTGAGTTGCTAATCCAATGAGGCGTAATGGGGAGATCCCTTTTTTCTCCATATCATGTTTTGTATGATAATATTTACTGTCCCATTAAACTTCTAGAGGCTTTTTGTACTGTGTGTATTGTACTGAATCAAATACCTGTCAGGTTAAATCAGTGTTTCTTCTGTAGACATTACCCATCGAGAATTTTTTGTGTTTGTTGTGCAACTCCTACGCATACTGTGTCTGCGTGTGTTTTCTGTGTCTTAATGCATTACTGCTTTTATCAGTGGCTGCGATGTTTAATGGTCTTTGACATGAGACGTCAGATCAAACGAACATACAGTGCCCGGCAATTAATCTGCATTCTCCTCTGGTGTGTTGCCCATTCTCAATGCCATCTAAGCAGACGGAAACCTCATTTTCAATCACAGTTTGGAAGCAACAGGTGTTTCTAAACAAATTAGCCAACAACTTGGCAACACTTATCTTTTTGTAAGTTCACTTACAATAAACTTCAGACTATTTCTACATATAGAATGTGCAGTGTAGAACTTTTACAGTTGCCAATAATTGATCTTGCCAACAAACAGGTTCAAAGACATCATTTATAGTTTGGAGATTGTCCAAAGGGCCAGTGTAAATATTACGAGCCCTTAGAGTAAGTCATTACTTAGGTGAATAAATGTTCCAAATAAAATTCCTCTGCAGCAGTGCAACTTGCAGAGTAATGGCAATGATGGTTTATGGAGACATTATAAACTGTGAGATTAAAGGATTGTGGCATATGGAGGTCTCCAGAATGGTGAGATGCAATATTTCCCCTAACACACAGGACATGAATAAGACATACAGCGTAATTGCTACTGTGACGGAGGGAATGAAACGGTACTATCAAATCAATGATCAGCTTTTCACTCCCATAACTGGTGAAATAACAAGTATACTAACGGGAATGTATGAATGAATAGCCATGCATGGGACAGTATGTAGAAGGTGGTAGAAAAAGGATGAGAACAATGGTCAAACTATTGAACTAAAAAATTTTAAAGAAAGATTACAATTTTAGCTTTATTAATTAATTAACATATGACAAATATTGCCAACAATGAAGGCAAAATAACATTTCCTGTACCTGTTAATTAAAGGGACACTCCAATCACCATAACTGCTCTTTACAAAGTGTGTAGAGGATTCCTGCCTCCCTGCACATAACTTGTTATAAATGAAGTGATATACAAACATTGCAGCAGCTGTAATGCTTCTCCCTCAATAATAGTACCCACACGGTATCTGTCTCTCAGTACCCACACTGTATCTCTCTTCAGTACCCACACTGTATCTGTCTCCCCAGTACCCACCCTATATCTGTCTCCTCAGTACTCACACTGTATCTGTCTCCCCAGTACGCACACTGTATCTGTCTCTCAGTACCCACACTGTATCTCTCGTCAGTACCCACACTGTATCTGTCTCCCCAGTACCCACCCTATATCTGTCTCCTCAGTACTCACACTGTATCTGTCTCCCCAGTACCCACACTGTATCTGTCTCTCCAGTACTCACACTGTATCTGTCTCTCCAGTACCCACCCTGTATCTGTCTCCCCAGTACCCACCCTATATCTGTCTCCTCAGTACTCACACTGTATCTGTCTCCTCAGTACTCACACTGTATCTGTCTCCCCAGTACCCACACTGTATCTGTCTCTCCAGGACCCACACTGTATCTGTCTCCCTAATACCCACCCTATATCTGTCTCCTCAGTACTCACACTTTATATGTCTCCACAGTACCCACACTGTATCTGTCTCTCCAGTACCCACACTGTATGTCTCCCCAATACCCACACTGTACCTCTCCCCAGTACCCACCCTATATCTGTTTCCCTAGTACTCACACTGTATCTGTCTCTCAGTACCAACACTGTATCTGTCTCCCCAGTACCCACACTGTATCTGTCTCTCCAGTACTCACACTGTATCTGTCTCTCCAGTACCCACACTGTATCTGTCTCCCCAGTACCCACCCTATATCTGTCTCCTCAGTACTCACACTGTATCTGTCTCCTCAGTACTCACACTGTATCTGTCTCCCCAGTACCCACACTGTATCTGTCTCTCCAGGACCCACACTGTATCTGTCTCCCCAATACCCACCCTATATCTGTCTCCTCAGTACTCACACTGTATATGTCTCCACAGTACCCACACTGTATCTGTCTCTCCAGTACCCACACTGTATGTCTCCCCAATACCCACACTGTACCTCTCCCCAGTACCCACCCTATATCTGTTTCCCTAGTACTCACACTGTATCTGTCTCTCAGTACCAACACTGTATCTGTCTCCCCAGTACCCACCCTTTATCTGTCTCCTCAGTACTGACACTGTACCTGTCTCCCCAGTACTCACACTGTATCTGTCTCCCTAGTACCCACACTGTATGTCTCTCCAGTACCCACCCTATATCTGTCTCCCCAGTACCCACACTGTATCTGTCTCCCCAGTACCCACCCTTTATCTGTCTCCTCAGTACTCCCACTGTACCTGTCTCCCCAGTACTCACACTGTATCTATCTCCCCAGTACCCACACTGTATCTGTCTCCCCAGTACCCACACTGTATGTCTCTCCAGTACCCACCCTATATCTGTCTCCCCAGTACCCACACTGTATCTGTCTCCCCAGTACCCACACTGTACCTCTCCCCAGTACCCACACTGTATCTGTCTACCTAGTACCCACCTTATATCTGTCTCTCCAGTACCAACACTGTAACTGTCTCCCCAGTACCCACACTGTATCTGTCTCCCCAGTACCCACACTGTTACTGTCTCCCTAGTACCCACACTGTATCTGTCTACCCAGTACCCACCCTATATCTGTCTCCCAAGTACCCATACTATATCTGTCTTCCTATTACCCTGTCCCCTTTTCTCGTATACCAGTAATGGAACAGAGACGAATAAACAGTAACAGCTACAATGCTGTTGCCCAGACGTATAGCGTCTAATTAAACAGGCCGATACATTTATATTTCATGCTACGTTGTTATTAGGCGCATTACATTGCACCTTGTCAGCCAAATCATGTTTCAGTGTTTTTAATGCATGATGTGACATCACTTAACATGCTAGATTAGGATGTGAAAACACAACGTATCTTTAGAATAACAGGTACATCATGCACACTATATAACTGTGTGCTAGTGCTAGTGTTACTATTACTAATAAACACACATCTTCAAAATGAAATGAGCTCGTTCATATCCAGAGGCTGGATTCCATTACCAAACGTAGCTTGATCTCTGACATATAAATAACAATCGTCTTGAAGAATTGCTATTTAATTACCAGAGATAAACCTGTGTCTGGTCATAGAATTCTGCCCCAGGTCACAGCAAGACACAACTTCCCAGTGCATGCTGGTAGAATACATCTTTATTTTTATAACTGCTTCATCTCATTGAAGTGGTTATAGTGTCTGTAATTCCTTCTCACCATCCTTCCATTCAGCATGAAACTTTTTAAATTTTTTAAAGCTAACCGTGAGTCCGCACCGCCATCTTCTCCATGCTGCTTGGGCTAATGAGGAAGTATTAACCTGAGCAGCAATGGAATTGTTGTGATTGGCTGAGAAAATCAAAGACTACAATCAGCTGATCAGGGCATCCATTGCTTGTATGAATTGGTATGGCTAGAAGGAAGTGTGCAATCTCTGCCCTAGCCATACTTCCTGTGGGGGCAGGGTTATGGGAACGGACGTAGCTCCATACTCCAACCGAGTACCTCCGCCAAGGTCTTCCTCGCTATCAGGGACCCTGGAGCACTTCAGATCCAGTCGCCGAGGCTTGACTGGGATCACTGAGGGCCTTTTCCATCCTGGACCAAACACCAGACGACAGTTCGTGAAGGTTAAAACAACAACTAACTTTAATAGACATAGATCACACATTTAAACCCCCAACAGCCTCATTTACATACAATAGGGTACATAGAGCACTACAGTCCAAGGAAGGGTGGGATCAGACAATAGCAAGGGCTTATAGGACATTGAGGAGGGATGGGACAGTAAGTTTAAACTGTGCTGGCAGTGTCCCTGGGACAATGCCCTGCTGGGGAAACAAAAAGGGAAAGCAATACATTTAACATACCCTGCACCAATAATGGGCACAGGGTGACCAAAACACAAAAGGAATCTGGGGACCCACACATTACATTGAATATCCTCCTTATATAATTTTTCCAAACCAGACTTTTACAGGGTCATCAAAAATAGATCCTGATTAAGTCCCTATTATCACAGTCTTTGCAGTAATTTGATGCATTCTTGACATTCATTTTGGAATCCTACCTTAAAACATTACAATATTGTGGGAGCAAGGACAGAAAAGCTAGCTGTGTGCCTCCAGGTATATGGTCAGAGAGATTATCACTTTGCCTCCAGGCATATAGTCAGAGAGATTATCACTTTGCCTCCAGGTATATGGGACTCCACGTGACCTGATTAAGAAGTTGTATGTTCAGCATTATGCGATCAGAAGTAATGAGGTATGCTACAATGATATTATGGCGACTGACCAAGACTACACAGGTTGTGGCCTCTGTAGATGCTGCTGATGTCAAACCCACATCCCCCTTCACCAGCCATAGTTGTAGTTAATTGGAGGGTGGGAGGAGGTGAGCTCTTCACGTGGTATTTACAGAGGTGAAGAGAAGCTCGGTAAATAAAAGACAACCAGCCAAAGCTGATAAGATGGATATGGATATAATGGATATGAGAAGTCATACCTTGAAGAAATGGTTGACAAAGATGAAGTATATATTGTATATTGTAAGGTTATATTGTGTAATTAAGGGAAGACCACTCTTGGTAATTGAGGTCAATTTAATAGAACAGTTAAAATCTCTACGGGAAGACCTTACTTTAATAGGAAATAGGAATCAGATCTGGACTGGATCTCTGACCAGGAAATTAAACAAAAGGTGTCCAATATTAGCTCAAATATTAGCTGTCACATTGCTTCCAAGGTCCTAGAATCCACATACTCCTTTCTGACACAGTTCTAGTGGGGATAAGGGAGATTTCTGAAAAGGATCATACTATTTTCTCTGCTGCTATTATGCTGTACCATATCAAAATGCCAATTTTGAGATACTAAAAACAACTTTTTTTGAGACACCTTTTAAAGGAAGCAAAACGAGGAATTCCAGACCTTGTCCTTGATTACAGCGTGGGAGGAGGGGGTCAGAAAAACATGTTTGAATAATTAATTTGAGTCATTAATTTGGCTTCCTCTGAATAAATCACTACTCCCTCCTCTACATGCCTACTCTCGCTCAAACAGGAGTGCCAGGGGTGGCTGACTCTGGTGGTAACCTTGCACAAAATGCTGAAGGACATCCTTACGTTGCCCTTGTTAGTTCTCTTTTGTTTTGTCTGTTTTACTTTATTTTGCTGATCGGAGTAATGTCTAATATGCCTACTCTATGCTGTTTCAGTGACTTTACATATAAGTATTTATGCTGGTGTCTGCATTTTACTGATAAGCATTACATATTATAACCTAAAACAAAACTCTTGACATGTATCTTATATTTTCTTAGACACCTCTTTTATGTTTTATGATGGCACGTCTAAAAATTACAAAATTATTTAGCTCCCTGTTCCATGCTGTCACCATTGCATAGGCAATCTAACTAATGTATTGGGTCACTGAGATATTATTGCAGTTGAAGAACAGGTCACAATGTCATTTACTATCCTATCAAAGAGAGTAAAGAAACCTTGATATAGGCTAAACCTGCAATTATACAGAAGGTAACATAGATATCAGTAGGAAGTGAAACCGGTATGTTATATGAAAAGTCATAGAAAAATGACGGTGCTATGCATGCTGTTACTGAGAAAGTGTATCCTTTATATTTCATTAACATCAGCATTGTTATTCACAGTTTATTGTTATTATTATTATATTAATATTTTGTTCAGCCTCACAGTGTTGGAACGTAGCATATAAATTGATCCTTGTACAGTAAGTAGAAAGACACACTGCATCTAATTATTCTTTTTTTTAAATCTCTGATGTAGCTAGCAGTCATGTAAGGAAAGGATTAGATTAATTCTATAAAAAAAAATTACATTGATATCCAAATACACAGTGCTGTGGTATCTGATAACATTGTGACCAGGAAATTCACTAGACTAACTGGGGTAAAGATTATAGGAGAAATGTTCCTGCCCAGTTATGATGCATTTGCTTAAAGAGAAGGGTACCCTACACGTGGCCAGTCCCTTGGAGTATGGAGTTATCATTTTACTTTAAAATACCTCTCACCTATTTTCATTGTCAGAGATCCATGTTAATAAGGCTCACACTAATGCATGGTTTGTATGAAGGTGTCACAGTAATATACAGGTGGTCCTCACTTTAGGACCTACCTGTTTTAGGACGGCTTGAACTTACGACCAGCTCTCTAGCGCGGGGATTCAAGGGATTCCCCACTTTTGAGAGCTGGTTTATGTTCGGGAATTTTCCCCTAACATAAATTAGAGGGATTTCCTGCTCTGGTGCATATGTCTACGTTCGGGTAAATTTCCCCGAACATAGACAAGTGCACCAGAGCAGAGAATCCCTCTAATCTATGTTCGGGGAAATGTCACCAAATATAGAAAAACGCACCAGAGCAGGGAACCCATCTAATCTATGTTCGGGGAACGTTCCCCGAACATAGATTTGAGGAATTCGTAGCTCTGCTGCCCTTGTTTATGTCCTGGGAAATAACACCTGCACTAGTGCGCATGCTCTGTAGTGCATCCTCACTTACCGACCAATTCGTTTTACGACATAGTCGTAAGAAAAGAACCCAGTTGGTAAGTGAGGAGTGCCTGCATTACAATGTACTGTGTTTCAGTGCATCACAGAGCTCCATAGCATGAAACCTCAACATAATGTGCTCTGTGTATCAGTGTATCACAGAGCTCCACAGCATAAAAACTTACAGTGATGTACAGTTTGTATGAGTGTATTACAGAGCTCCATAACATGAAACCTCAACATAATGTGCTCTGTGTATCAGTGTATCACAGAGCTCCACAGCATAAAAACTCACATGATTCCAAAGCAATAAAACCCACAATTATGGACAGTCTATATGAGTGTATCACAGAGCTACAAAGCAATAAAACTCAAAGTAATGTGCATTGTTCATGGATGTAACGTAGAACTACACAGCAACAAAACTCACAGTAATATTTTTCAGAGCTGTATACAACAGTTGTCCTGCTGCACCACCAAATAACTGGCAGTGCCCCTCTCGTGCTGATGTTCTGAATTAGGGATAGAGATAACTTTTAATGGATGCCAATGAAAGCGCGTGAACCATACCTCCCAAGTGTCCCTATTTTGAATCTAAATCCCTCTGTGTCTTTTTTCTAGTTTAATATCCCTCTTTTCTAGGAGCTCCCTATTGTTGGTGTGTCTCATTATATAACAGAGTTGTACAGCGTTAATATTCACATGAATGTGTCTTTAAACTACAATAAATGTGTTTAGTAATCACTCAGCCTGTGTAATTAAGATACATTCTTTTTGTTCTAATTTATATTTTACCAAAAATTCACCTAAAATTTCTCAGAATAACCCCACCCCCATCCATACACCTCTTTGTCCTTTTCAAACGTTGGGAGGAACACAGAGCAGTAACACAGAGGCAGAAAATGGGGCTAGGATTTGCAACATCTACCCAAAATGGTCTTAGGGTGTCTTGGGCTTAGGCAGTCAATCTATCCATTGCGATACTATCTTGAATTTTCTTGCCAATTTTTTAAAAGGAAGGGGATTTATAAGTTGCCCAAACTTTGGCTATCACTCTATGAGTGGCTATAGAGATATTGATGGCTAATTTTTTTTTGCTTCTTGTGACAAGGTCAATGGGATTTGATAAGAGCCGGACCCAGGGTTCCATGGGGAATGGTTTGTTTAAAATTATGGATAGCAGTGCACTGTTACTTTTCCAGAGGGGTGGAATTTTAGGGCAAATCCACCAGCAGTGGAGGAAAGTACCACCTTCACTGCATTGTTTCCAGCAAAGCTTGGAGGGGATTCTCTGCATGGAGGCTAAACATTGAGGGGTGAGATACCACCGAAATAGCATTTTGTATGCCTTTTCCAGGTGGGTAATGCATATGGTAAGGAATTTAAATTTAAAAAAACAAATCTTTATTTTTGCTGTATATGAAAATGACAGTCAATCAACAGCACCTCAACTGCAATGACACAGACATAACTGAGTATATAGCAGAAACAGTTGCATGGCTTTCCTCTAAACTGCACAATTTTGGTATTAGGAGAAACAGGCAAAGTTAACATGTCTAAAGCTGTATCAAGCTACAAAAGGAAGATCTGGTTAGAAATAGGTAGAGATGTGTGTAGTCTACTACGTGCACAACTGAGGAAACATAACAAGTAGTAAGGACTAAACATATTATTATTGTAAGTTATAAGAGTAGCTTCAGACCTGGATTGTACACATGTTAGGATAACCATTGGGACTGAGCACCTTTTCAAGTGAGGGCTCCAACCATTATGAGAAAAAATAAAGGCAACAGACAACAGGTCAAAAGCAAATATAACACTGGGTAAGATGGTGTCCACTAAAAGCATGAGAAATGAGATCTTAAGCGGTATGCTTTTATGCAGCATGAGTCTCCAGTCATCCGATTCCCAATATTTAGAGGCATCTGGGATTTGCAGGAGAATAGCCAAGATCAGCTTCAAAACAGAATTGAAGTGGGGCTTCCCCTCTGCCCCAAGCTGGTGTGTAGGCCATGGAGGCTCTCAGACTCCAAGCTGAAGGCCCTGATGGTCGTGTGCCGCCAATGGCTGTTGATCCTCCGCTGGTGTGGGCACTGTGTCGGGGCCAAACCCTGTGTGGCTTTCAGCCCTGGTGGGCTAACAAAAGGAATTGCAGGCACTTAAACAAGTGCTGTACCCGGAAGGGGCCTACCCACTACTTGCTGCACATTACTCTGATCTCCTGCCAGAGGTAAGTGTCATGTTGCTTCTGTGTGAGCCTTCAAAACTGCCCAGAACCACTCAAATAATTCTTCCAGCTTACTGAGGGAGGGCTCAATCATGCCAGATGGAGCTGTAAATGTCTGCATTGGATGCGTCCGCCATCTTTGCTTTTATGCCCATAAGCAGGAGCAGGTAGGAGCAGCTGTCAGAAAAGGAATAGATGTAGGCAGAACAGTCCTGTGTGGGCTGGGATAAACCGGGATAACGGGACTGTAAAGGAATTCCGCTGGGGCCGATGCTACGTGGACCAGGGAAAGCGGCCGCCTCTCCCGCCAAGCGCGTTCACTGGGCCCCACTGTAAATCTGATGGCAGGCACGATCAAGTACCAAACCAGAGCACCAAGTGTGTATTAGACAGCATGCAGGTTTGTTTCAATGCTAGATTAGAGTGCTGTGAGTTGGATAATGCGTCGATAGTGATATCAAGAGTAGGAACACTAGCTAGATGCGTCGTGATACTCAGGCCCCATCCCAATCAATTTAACTTTTAACTGATAAATGTGCTAAACTTTAAGAAAACTGTCCATCATACAGAAGAAATTGCGGCCCTGATAAAGAAATTATAATCTAAATAACGAATATATCTATGTTCTAGATTACTATCTGTGGAAAATAGGCGGGGTTGAACAGAACTCACATTTCCTACAAGTTCTTTTGAAGTGTTCTGTGAGAATTATTTTTTTTTGCTCTAGCTCTATAATGTTATGCAGAGGGAACTGAATATGGGAACTTTGGAGGGATGCAGAGGGACAAACTTATGAGAACTGTCCAGTATAAAATAGATAATGTTAAGGTGACTTCATGCTGCTTCTGTCCCATCGTGTGATAGTGAGGCATGTTCACCTTTTTATCTGCCTACACTATATATACCAGGATTAGGTGTCTGCCTGCTAGAAAGAAGAGAAGGAGATGAGTGGAACAAGTGAGTGCTGAGGAGAGTGGATTGAAAGCTTGTGACTAGTGAGAGAGAAAGGAGATTAAAGCTGTGAGGCTTGTGGTGTAGACTAGGATAGAGAGATGAAAAGTCAACATTGACATAGGGCATGTGTAGGCAACCTTCGGAACTCCAGATGTTGTAAACTACATCTCCAAAAATGCTCTTACTGCCATTAAGCATCATGAAAGATGACTGACATAGGGTATATAGGATATGTGTAAACTTAAAATGTATCCCGCAAGTATCTCTCCAGCATTGCGTTCACCAGATACAAGACACTCTGGATGTATGGCAGTTTTAGTGTTTCCCGACTATAAGATTCTGTAATTAGGGCCATCATATTCTTCAGCACCAGGCCCAATAGGCTCTGACTCCTGCACTGCGCATTACAGTTCACAGCCCGTAGAGAGCCAATAAAATGCTTCCACCAACTGCTGTAGAGCTACAAATATTGTAAGTCTGTCCTGAAGACATAACAATGGAGGGACTGACAGTCTCAATCCAGACATTCTATATTTTGAAATGTTACCAGAGCAAAGCAGCAATAATAACTGTAATATCAGCAAAATAATCACTTAACATGTTAATGAACCACAACAAGTTCTTAACTTCACAAATGAACAAATAAAAATGTGATGACGCAACTGAACTGTTTAAGAAAATGATTTTCAACTTTGGCAATAGTTAAATTACATCGTGCAGGATACGTGCACTAAAAAAAAAGCATGCCCAGATAATCAAATTTAATAACTATACAATTTCTCAAAAGCAATTATGTTGAAAGTTACAATAAATTATATGTCTGTGTTTAATTCTGGGCACTTGGAGTGCTCCAAGCTATTATTGTTTTGTAATTATTTTAGTTTATATTTATTTTCATCCTACAACTGTAGATAAAATAATAAAAGTCTTATTAGAAACGTACATACTTTTTTCCAGAAATTAAATTTTTTTGGGTGTTAGAGTAAAACATCACCAGTACACATAACGTACAATCACAACATTTTAAAGAAAAAGGTTTAAAGAATGTCACATTAATTGATTGAATTAAATTTGAAATATGTTTTTTAATCTTCAGAATTGCATATCTATCTATCTATCTATCTATCTATCTATCTGTCTGTCTGTCTGTCTGTCTATCTTTCCTTCTGTCTGTCTTTGGGCCTTTTTTTATTGAAGGTTCCTCATAGTGTTGTTTCTCAATCCCCAGGGGAAACGTTGCCTTGATCCTGCGCCTAACCAAATTATGAAGATGAAATTGAATTTGCCATGTTGAGATCTAAAACAGAAGTCACATTAAGGGGCTTGTTTAAAAATAACTTCTATATGTCACTTCATATAACTATATGCATAAAACTGAAAACTAACAGAGGATAAAGGATATCACCAGAATGAGGCAATCATATAATGGTTCTGTAAGCAAATCCTTGGAAAAATGAGGGAAACAGCATATGATAGCATTGGAAATCAACATAATGCATGCTCAAGCGTTATTTAAAGAGATACTTACTGTCCGTGATATTTAATATTACATTTGGAACTCTCTATATTTTACAAATACGTACTTGTGAGTTGTGTATAAATGTAGAAATCAACACCTCTTTATCCTGCAACTGAGTGCCTCCATCTTAAAGGGGCATTATAGTCACCAAAATAACTTAAGCTTAATGAAGCAGTCTGCTCATGCAATCCTGGCTGTGACTGACACAGCCTGCATGAAAATAAAATGGTGTCATTTTTAAGTCAGGTGTAACTTACTCACTTACAGCTTTTATATCCTGCTCTGTAAATTGAACTTTAATTATATATAGGAGACTCCTGCAGGGTCTAGCAAGCTAATAACAGAGCAGGAGATAAGAAATTCTCAGTTAAGCAGAATTTGCAATAAAGGAAGTGTAAACATTAGAGGACTATTTACAGGAAGTGTTTAGGAAGCAGGCCGGACTGGGAACTAAAAGTAGCCCTGGAAAAAAATTCTATACCAGCCCAATAATGCGTCGCGCCAGCATAGTGTGCTGATATAGAGGGTGAAAAAATAACTTAAAATTGAAAACTATTACTAAAACGAAAGAACGCATATAGGGCTTCAAAATAAACAAAAGAGTGCCTTTAATTTAAGCAGACGTACATTTGCATGTAATCAATGTTTCAGTACAACTACTTTGGCCTATTAAGGACATTTTAGTAATGGTACTGAAATGCTGAATATCTGCGGTTGCATAACTGAAAAACAATGAAGTTGTTTTGTTTATTTTGAAGTCCTATGGGTGCGCTCTTCACTTTGAATATGTTATTGTGCTGGCGTATGCAGCAGGACTAGGCCAATACGTGCTCATTACATATATATATATATTAATGACAATTATGTGTGTATTATGCATATATAAATGTATATTACTATATGTGTAAATATTATTGGCATAATGATATATGTTACTAATACACACATCAATATACATGCATATATATGTGTGTGTGTATTACTGTCAGGATCACATCAATTACGTCTATTACGTTTACCTCGTTTGGTGTACCTTGTCTCCAATTGTCTCCTTTTTTTCTCTTACAGCGACCCTTGTGTATCTTTTACTTCATCCCAGTCCCTGTGTGTTTCTTTTTACCCTTCTCCAGCCTCTGTATTTCTCTTTCCCCCAGCCCCTTTTGTGTATGTCTTAGCCCCAGCCCCTTTGTCTCTTTCTCCCCTTCCAAATCTCATCTGTGTCTCTTTCTAACTCCAGACTCTGTGTGTCTCTTTCTAACTCCAGACTCTGTGTGCCTCTTTCTCTTCTCCCAGCCACTCTCTGTCTCTTTTCCCTCAGCCAAGCGCTGCCTCCCACAAATCTTGTGTCATTTGTTCCCCTTCCCTTCTGTATGTCTCTTTGTTCCCCCCAACAAACCTTCTGTGTGTCTCTCTTCCCCATCTCCTCCCTGTGTCTCTTTTCCCCATATTCTCCCTGTGTCTCTCTCTTAGCCCTCTGTCACTTTGTCCCCCTTCCCCTGTGTCTCTATTACCCCTCTGTCTCTTTGTCCCCCCCTTCCCTGGTGTCTCTCTATTACCTCATCTGTCTGTGTCCCCCCTTCCCCTGTGTCTCTCTATTACCCCACCTGTCTCTTTGTCCCCCATCCCCTGTGTCTTTCTATTACCCCTCAGTCTCTGTGTCCCCCCTTCCTCGGTGTTTCTATTACCCCTCTATTTGTCCCCCCCTTTCCCCTGTGTTTCTAGTACCCCTCTATTTGTCCCCCCCCCCGTGTTTCTATTACCCCTATTTTTCTGTGTGCCTGCTGACCTTGTCACAGTAGGACTGAGGGAGGGGGCGGAGCTAACTACCATGCTCCCTTGCGGTTCCCATATTTCCCAGCATCTACACATCATACAGGGAGTGCAGAATTATTAGGCAAATGAGTATTTTGACCACATCATCCTCTTTATGCATGTTGTCTTACTCCAAGCTGTATAGGCTCGAAAGCCTACTACCAATTAAGCATATTAGGTGATGTGCATCTCTGTAATGAGAAGGGGTGTGGTCTAATGACATCAACACCCTATATCAGGTGTGCATAATTATTAGGCAACTTCCTTTCCTTTGGCAAAATGGGTCAAAAGAAGGACTTGACAGGCTCAGAAAAGTCAAAAATAGTGAGATATCTTGCAGAGGGATGCAGCACTCTTAAAATTGCAAAGCTTCTGAAGCGTGATCATCGAACAATCAAGCGTTTCATTCAAAATAGTCAACAGGGTCGCAAGAAGCGTGTGGAAAAACCAAGGCGCAAAATAACTGCCCATGAACTGAGAAAAGTCAAGCGTGCAGCTGCCACGATGCCACTTGCCACCAGTTTGGCCATATTTCAGAGCTGCAACATCACTGGAGTGCCCAAAAGCACAAGGTGTGCAATACTCAGAGACATGGCCAAGGTAAGAAAGGCTGAAAGACGACCACCACTGAACAGGACACACAAGCTGAAACGTCAAGACTGGGCCAAGAAATATCTCAAGACTGATTTTTCTAAGGTTTAATGGACTGATGAAATGAGAGTGAGTCTTGATGGGCCAGATGGATGGGCCCGTGGCTGGATTGGTAAAGGGCAGAGAGCTCCAGTCCGACTCAGACGCCAGCAAGGTGGAGGTGGAGTACTGGTTTGGGCTGGTATCATCAAAGATGAGCTTGTGGGGCCTTTTCGGGTTGAGGATGGAGTCAAGCTCAACTCCCAGTCCTACTGCCAGTTCCTGGAAGACACCTTCTTCAAGCAGTGGTACAGGAAGAAGTCTGCATCCTTCAAGAAAAACATGATTTTCATGCAGGACAATGCTCCATCACACGCGTCCAAGTACTCCACAGCGTGGCTGGCAAGAAAGGGTATAAAAGAAGAAAATCTAATGACATGGCCTCCTTGTTCACCTGATCTGAACCCCATTGAGAACCTGTGGTCCATCATCAAATGTGAGATTTACAAGGAGGGAAAACAGTACACCTCTCTGAACAGTGTCTGGGAGGCTGTGGTTGCTGCTGCACGCAATGTTGATGGTGAACAGATCAAAACACTGACAGAATCCATGGATGGCAGGCTTTTGAGTGTCCTTGCAAAGAAAGGTGGCTATATTGGTCACTGATTTGTTTTTGTTTTGTTTTTGAATGTCAGAAATGTATATTTGTGAATGTTGAGATGTTATATTGGTTTCACTGGTAATAATAAATAATTGAAATGGGTATATATTTGTTTTTTGTTAAGTTGCCTAATAATTATGCACAGTAATAGTCACCTGCACACACAGATATCCCCCTAACATAGCTATAACTAAAAACAAACTAAAAACTACTTCCAAAAATATTCAGCTTTGATATTAATGAGTTTTTTGGGTTCATTGAGAACATGGTTGTTGTTCAATAATAAAATTAATCCTCAAAAATACAACTTGCCTAATAATTCTGCACTCCCTGTAGAGTAATCCCTACTTTATGATATGTCCATGCTGGGAATTATGGGAACCGCAAGGGAGCATGGTAGTTAGCTCCGCCCCCTCCCTCAGTCCTCCAGTGCTGACAGCTATGCTGCTGTCAGTATCAGTGAGTGTGCCGCTGGATTGCTTAGGCGGCCGCCCGGCACACTCACTGATACTGCCAGCTGTCAGCGCAGGAGATGGGGCCGCTGGCCGCAAGGTGAGTAATCACCGACATGCGGCCGGGGGCCGCGATATTATTAAAATATAGGGAGCAGGGCTCACTCTCTACATGCAGCCCCCCAGGTGCCGCGGCCCACCGAGAAATTTCCCGGTATCCCGGTGGGCCAGTCCGGCCCTGTTAGGAAGACTGTGTAAGTCACATGGAGGGAGGTGTGACCAGGGCTGCATAAACAAAGTGATTTAACTCCTACATGACAGATAATTGATCATTGAGACTACATAAGCATGACCAAAACTGCTTCATTAAGCTAAAGTTCTTTTGGTGACTATAGTGTCCCTTTAATTCCATGTCAATCATTGTTATAAGCTCTGACCTTTACATCTGTCAGTCAACATAGAGGAAACATTCTAAAGAAGAGGACGGATTAAGCAATGTGTCTGTTTCTCCTTATTTGCAATGTTTGCAATTACAACTGGATTGTAATGATATTAGATATATTTAATAGAAAGGTATAGGCGATTTTTAAAAATGTTATACGCAATTGTGTAATTACAATAGAAGTGATTGCTACCTTTTAACTAAAAAAAAAAAAAAATAACAAATGTAAATGAAGAAGGCATTGAGACGTATTTACTAATTGGACAACTAAACCTGAGCCTAAGGAATGGAGGAGAGTGGTGAGGATGGCTGAATATGTTGCCTCCTCTCGGGTAAGGTGCGTGCATCATTGTGGAGGTTACAAATAAGTCCAGGGTACACTCCCATGTAATATATGAGAGACAGCTGCCTTCACTTCACTGTCAGTGGCTACAGGCAAACTTAACCGTGAGTCTCCATGTGCTTTTAAACGTATTCGTTCTCTGTTTGTTTTACCATTTTTAATTTGAACAAAACACTTTTAGGTGGTTTTGCCATGTCTGTGTCATATTTGTTTCCCCAGCCCCCACCATCACTTTTTATATCGGAGCACTCTATATAATATCCCCCAAATTAATTACTTTACCATGTTCCAGTTCAACCATTGTACACTAAACAGAGATGTACTGTATGAAAACATGTTTGACAATTACTTTTCAAACATATATGAATGTGTTTTATATGTAAGACCTCCATATAGTACCTACATATCTATGTATAAAACACAATAATAGACACACATATGAAGTCACACCAACACCAATCAAAAAGGGATATACATGCATTCACACACTAATATTACATCCATGCTCACACACACACATACAGTCATATATTATACACACATGCCTCTTTACCTATACTAATTTCAAAAACTATCCCTAATTCCTAATCCCTTACTTTACCAGATCATTAACCATGGTCTACCCTTTCCTAATACATTGACTTTTAGTCAATATGAATATGAAAGATGAATGGCAGTATAAGATGTGCCAGTTTAAGAATTCTGTGTTCCTGCACAAGTGAATATGGCTGCTTCATGTGACTAACAGAAATTAGTAGCATTGAAACATTGGTCTTGAAATTAAAAAAAAAAAAATTATAAAAAGTATTGGGGCAACAAATATGTTTTAATTTCCTGTAAAATGATGCTTTGTAATCTCATATTAAACCTTACAGTGACCAACACAGGACAATTCATGGCTAGTTTGTTTATTGTATGGATTCTCCTTGTAGAATTTGGTAGATTATGTTAACGTTATAAAGAAAGCAGTGATCATAGAAGGGAAATTATCTACGGTTACATGGATAAGACCAGGCTCCCCAAACTCCAGCCCTCCAGATATTGCTGAACTATAACTCCCATGATTCTCAGCCTATTTATTTCATTCATGAAATCATGGGAGTTGTAGTTCAGCAACATCTGGAGGGCTGGAGTTTAGGGAAGCCGGGATAAGACAGTAAATTATACATTTACACAAATGGCGAACCTTTCATGTTATTGCAATGGTAAAGAACGAAGGGACCCTACTTTCTAAAGGCTCACAAAAGCTGTGTCATAACACCAAAGAGATTAAGTCCTCCTTCTACTTTTTCTAACAATGCACATTTTTGTAATTTTACTGTTTGTCCATCATATTACAAAACAAATCCAGGCAGCTAACCTTCTGATAATGCTACTAGGAAGAGAAGCCCATAAGCATAGCCCTCCTAGCAATCATCTTGGTGTAGTTTGTATTTAGCCTTCCATATGGTGAATTTCATAAAATAAAACATAATGATTAGTGTACAAACTAGGTCAAATCAGAGAGTGTGTAAACCATTGTACCACAGCCTAATGTAATCTGTGTGGTTGTTTAATTTAAGTCCAATCATGCTCATTTTTATCATTCTAGTTTGTATACAAGTGTCATAACGTTGTCCTGTACCTAATTATAGCTTCTATGTGTATATAGACATATTGACTTTAAGGGGGGATTCCCGAGGTTTTGTGTACTGAAAAACCTGTACCTAATTACAGTATGTTTGGAAATATTTTGCTAACATTAAATCTATACATTGAATGTCTGTAAAAAGCGTAACTCGTTGCATAAGAAAATGCAACCCCTTAATGATCATCAACAACAAGATGAAATGGATGGCATGTCCCTGCCCAATAACATATTGGACCCAAAAAGAAACACATAATGTGGGGGACAGAAGGGGTTACATATACTAGCATCCCATTAAATCTTCGGGGGTTTCTTCTATTGACACCAAAAAAATAATACATATATATAAGACCCAATTCAAAATTCTGGCGCTTGCTTACAAGTCCCTACATAATGCTGCTCCAACATACTTATCCTCCCTCATAAACAAGTATGTCCCGTCGAGACCCCTGCGCTCAGCCCAAGACCTACGCCTATCCTCTGCCCGGATCCCCACCTCAGATGCTCGCCTTCAAGACTTCTCCAGGGCTGCACCTATTCTGTGGAACTCCCTTCCCTCCTCAATCAGACTTTCACCCAGTCTCCACTCACTTCTTCATTAAAGCGTATCAATTAAACTGTCAGCAGGTTTCTCATCCCCCACCCCATGACTCCGTTCCTGCAACTGTCAAAAATGACCTAACAAGCACTCAATAAACCCTTCTCTAACAAACTATTTAATTCCCCTACTTTAACCCTTTGTGTCACCATACCCCACTCCCTCTAGCATGTTATCTCATCAAACAGGGCCCTCAACCCCCTCTGTTCCTGTACCTCCAGTGGTCTGATCTCAATTATGTGTCTGTTAGTCCACCCATTGTACAGCGCTACGGAATTTGTTGGTGCTATATAAATAAAAAAAAATAATAATAATAATAATATACCAAAGTCCCCATTGAATGTGACATTTCAAAATAGATAACATGCTAAAGGAATACACCAAACCTCTGTCACTAGTAATATCTCCAACACCCCATTAGGTACAGTGCCAGAGGGTTGCCCACTCCATCTGGCATATATAGTGCCGCAGACCATCAAGTTAAAAGCCAGAAGAATGCCCAACATCTCTGGAATAAATAATGCCGTCTATAAATCATGTGTCTGGAGATGTTCAGATTTTAGCTCCCCTAATCAAATGCCCAGCGCCTCTGACATTAACGATACCATCATAAGTAAATTGCCAAAATAATGCCCAGTCCATTTTTTTACAATCTGTCTACTTTGGTCTTAATTCTGTGCAATTCCCTGTTAAATTCTTTCTTCAGGACTCCCAGTCTATAGAATAAAGCTCCTTTTATCATGGTCAAAAAGTTGTAAAAATCACTTTGTTTTTAATCCTTTCTTGTCCTAATGAGGCTACTTTTAGAATACAAGAGGATTAAAGAATTGTATAGCAGGTAAGATTGAGAAAACCTCTCCAAACACCATGGCGTTTCCTTCTATTTTAACTATGATTTTGATCATCTCGATTAAAAGAAAACAACCATAAATCTCTGCATTACTCTTAGATTCATTTCTGTAATAAACTAATTACAGATACAAAAAGCATAAACAAGTTCAATCGTCAAAATTCAATCTAAATCTTTCTTATAGGTATCCACAGCATCACGATCTAACAGATTACCTGTTCCTGTAGAATCCTCACATATGGACTTAGCTGAAGATGGTTCCGTATTGATTATTAAAATGTTTACAGGTACTCTTAGATACAGGAAATACAATGCATTGTGTCTGCTGAAACCTGTGTTTGTCCATTTGTAATCAATGTCTTCTAGTGATTTGTGTGAATCAGTCTGAACTTGAATTAGGTACAGCAGTGCATATTTTAGTTTCATCTTGAAATATAACTCGTTTTTCATGCATTATTTAATTTTTTCTTTAGTGTGTATATATACTCTATCCTTTTCATCTTGAAATATACGTGAGTCCGACAGGTATTACTATCTTACAATGCAACTGCGTATTCCTCAGCGCTGTATACTGAGCAAACAGATTAAATTGAGAATTCAAATACGCAAAAAGAAAGAAGGTCCACCATCTAGGTGGACCATCTAGGATTCTACAGGAACGGGTAATCTGTTAGATCGTGATGCTATGGATACCCATAAGAAAGATTTAGATTGAATTTTGGTGATTGAACTTGTTTATGCTTTTTGTATCTGTAATTAGTTTTTTATAGAAATGAATCCAAGAGTAATGAAGATTTATGGTTGTTTTCCTTTAATCGAGATGATCAAAATCATAGTTAAAATATAAGGAAACGCCATGGTGTTTGGAGAGGTTTTCTCAATCTTACCTGCTATACAATTCTTTAATCCTCTTGCATCTAGAACATGACTAAAAACATTGAAGTCTTATGCTACAAGCCACCGGTTAAAAGTCACTGCCATTGCAAGCCATATCATACACACCAGGGGCAAATTTATACTTGCCAGGGCTACATTTTCATTTCCCAGTGGTTCTACAACATTATCATACAATGTCTTCCTCGAGCAAGCCTACAATTTTGCATTTACATAGCACTTAGTGTTGGATCGTAGTCATCAGCCTGTATCAGTCTGGATGTCAACACATGTAATGTGAAATTATTTCTGAATGATATACTGTAGTGTACAAGCAGAAATAGGTAAGTTTGCCCAAGGGATACAGGTAAGTTTGCCTCACATGTCTTCTACAGACCTAGCCATAGGGCTGCTTATGAAGGGTCCTAACTGTAAATATTTTGGGTTATGGGACTATAAGTTGTTGGAAAGAGCTTTGACTTTTGGCTCCCAACGTTTTGTAGAAGAAGGACCCATTTGTTGCCTACCCTCCGTTACTTCCCCATACTGTCCTTTTTTTTTTTTTTTTTCTTCTTTGTATATATTTATTAAACCAAAAAAAGAGACAAACAAGCAAATGCAAATCTAGTTCTTAAAACAATAATACTATCATACAAATATACATAGAAAAAGTATGTCTTGTGTTGTTATATATAATAAATAACACATATATATATATATATATATATATATATATATATATATATCACAATATCTCTTACATCATATCTATTTAAAAAAACCAAGTGGCTTCTGAATTAATTTACATGTTCTTCTTGTGGTTGTCCTTGTTTTTTGTCTTTATGGTTACTGTCACAGCTTTGGGTTGGATATACTGTGTTTAATGTTCACACTGGCTATTCATGTCTATGTAAAAGCTGTGACCATGTCTGACCACCCTCTTAGGTGTCTGTTCTTATTTTTGGAACTGGGTTTCTTGGGTTATAAGGGAAGTTAGGCATGATGATTAATCATGTAGTAAGTAACCTTATTCTCTCTAAAATAAAATGAAATCTAGAACTTCATTGGCCTTTTCATTGTGTGATACAGCTTGTACTACCTGACGATTTGTCACACCTCAATGTCACAATGGAAAACAAGTAAGTGAATCTCCAAAATGTAGCAGAATACTCTGTAGGCACAGGCTCAAGTTGAATCATGATTCAAGTGAAATTGTGAATGTTTTAGACACCAAACATAGTAATACTACTGAACTTGCAATTGAAATATGTCTCACTCAGGGACTCTTTGAGGACTTTACTGGTTAACAGATCTTGCTTTCCATGACTACCCAAATGCTGCCATACATGTTCAACAACAGCTATAAAAAGACACAATGTGTCCATGTTGGTTGCACATACCATACAAGCGTTTGATCTAGAGCTACTAATCTTACCTGCACAAAAATCCTAGGACACCTTTATCCCAAAGCATTTCTAAAGGACTGTAATTTTGAAGACGACACAACCATTTAACATGTTACATACATGTCAAAGTACAGTATATTTGGTGAACCATATTATGATGGCTAAATATGCCACATATTTCTTGGTCCTCAGATTCTGTAGAAGATTAAAAAAATGCTTAGTAGGGCATCTTCAATATCCACATAACTCGAATCGGTGGACTACTGATCTTTCAAGTTCTGCCTGTTTGCAACACAAGGTTATTAATGTCTAACCATTTACCCTGTAATAATAAATTGATCCTAGAATACATTTTCTTGATAGTTCCTGGTCTATATATGAGTCTGGTTGCCTCCCTTATGATATATTCTAACTTTTTGCACTCCAATTGAAGTGAACTACATCCTCCATGTCACATAGTCGGCAACATCTGGACTGCCAGAAGATTAGGCAATGTGCGATGGACTCTGTATACCTGCTTTCTTGAAGTTTCAACTAATGGATGTTTTATCTAGACCTATTTTTCATACTGTTCAGTTCAAAGTAAATTTCAGATTTAGTCCAAAGTAGCCAAGCTACCCTGGAGAATTTTTGCAGTTTGCCTTTCAATTTGAGACATACTGTGATTTCACTTTCAATTTACAATAATTCACTATTTAGTGAATAACTATGCCTTTTTTTTTAAAATTGAAGTTGAAATATCAATCTGCTTGCTTGTTTTATTACTTATTGTTTCTCAATGACTACCAAATTATATAAATTATGAAAGAAAGATAAGAGATGCAAATAAATGTTATCTTATTATATCCAATATACACTCTGGCTAGTATTTGCAAGATCAAAACGGCGGTCTGTTAAGCAGATGTCTAGCGTTTAGTCTGTTTGTCTGTCTCTCTGTCTGTCTGTCTCTATGTCTGTCTTTTCATTACTTTCAATGCCAATTGTTGCTTTATTTTTCTGAACTAATTGATGTATGTTTAAATTAAATAATGCCTTAATGGACTTGAATTATGAATTCTCTAAATGTGAAATAAAATATGACAATGTAATAATAATGACTCTATATTAGAGGATTTTCAAGACTCCTCCAGCAATGAAAATGAAGTTTGTGTAGCATATGTCCTACAAGACTAATGATACTGCAGAAGTGAAAAGTGACTTCGACCCATTTTGTACCAAAATAACTACATTAGGAGTCCAGCAAAAGAGGAGAATGTTTCCAATTCAGCTACTTTGATTGCAATATAATAAATTTAATGTTTAGGTCAACCCAATGCACTATTTTATTAACACATCTAAATATTTTAGTAGAGAATTAATGTGACAATCTAATTAATTCCCGTCTTGCAAATGGTCAAACATTTGACCTTTTGCACACCATCACGTGAACAATTCAATTTCTCAAGCACCAAAATATCTACTGGTTTAATTCAGTCTACATAAAACAATCTACACTTGTGGGATTATTTTTGTTTTCAATACAACTTAAAAAATTGATAAAATAATGGAAACGAGTGTTACGTATCTAAGAAAATGTTTTATCCAAGTAAAAAAAATGAAACATTAAATTTTTATTTTTTTTAAATCAGTATGATATGAGATTAACATTTTTAACAAAACAAAATATCCAAAGCTCTTAAATACATGAGTTTTAAAAATCGCAGAGCTATTGAGACACGTTCAGATGTGCAGATGTTGTACAGTTCATCTGCTCAGTCACAATTCAGCCAGATGTGAGGCAAACCGAGCCGGCTGTTTATATTAAACTTTCCAATCTATTAATCATATCACTACTAACCCTTGGACTAATTGTAAAATATCACCTACTACATCAGGACATGTCCATTTATTACTAAGCAGAATGCTCAAGAGATTTAATGGATGACTCATACAAAACTGTCTGACTTATTGTGTAATATGATGCACACACCAGCACTATCACATTTCACGTAGCACGGCTACATAAACATTACACAGAGAAGTAAGTATTACCTAACTGGTCATGATCAGTGTTCAAATGGATATCAGTCTCTGGGTATGTAATAGTTTACAGTCATGCAATTTACATCACAGAGTTTGATCCATTACTACAGTTAAAGCTGCATTCACATTCTCTCTGATCTTAGTTACAAGTGTATAGACAGTAACCCCATGGTAAATAGCACACGAAAATCAAAAACACAGAACAAAAAATAAATGTTTTTAAAATTTTAAAAAATTTAAAAATAAAATAAAAATAAATTCATAAAATAAAAATAAAATTGTGATGCTATACCACTTCTGATAATCAACATCACCGCCCACACTCATGTTCATGCTCAACTGCCTTTTTATTGTCTTTAAAAAAAAAAAAAAAGTGCAATTTCCTTCACTTTCCACTTTCCATGTTACTGTTTCCTAATGTATGATGGTTATAGGGCTTGTTCATGCTGTTGTGGCCGTGCAAGCCAGTTTGTGATCTTTTGCACAATACAAAATAAAGAATAAAAAAAAAAAAAATTAAAATAATTCTATATATCATGAGCTTTTTTAAAGAACACTTTTGCAAGCGCATAGAATAAAAAATACAAGTGGATATCACACTGTATGAAATATCACTTTCTTATTAAACAGTTCAAGTATATTTCCTAATACTTTAGCACAAGTTGGGGAGGATTTATCAATGCGAAGCAGCGATTATTCTGGGTGCAAAATGCTAAATGTTGTGAGACAGTCTATTGGTTTCCTTGCTGATTGGCATTTATTTAACACTTTACCCCAGAATAGCATGTTTTCGATTCGATAAATCCCCCTTACCATTATTTCACTACCTTAGCGCTGTGCTATATGTTTATTTAGTTTACAAATCTGCTATTTTTATATAGATCATGTAAATAATTATATTGACACAAATCAAAAAATAATCAGTAAGGTACAAACTTTGTAGGTGTAAAATCTGGGATGTAAAATAGTAACCAGAGTTAATTTTTGAGCTCAGCCTGTGCATTGAATGAGATGGACTTGTTAGACTACATGTAACTGTGCTTTATGTAACCTTCTAATTCTATGCCCTTTGTACTATGATGTGTCAAAGAATGACAGTGGTTTGCTTGTTACTTTTGGTTTTCAGAGTTTGGAGCTGAGAAAAGAAGCCCAGCTTTGCAGGATCAAGACCACAAACCAAATTATACTGGACTTAATAGCCACAAAGTGCTTACATTGCCCAAAGAAGAAGACAGAGTAATCCACAAAGTGTTGGCCAGAGGAATGGGGATTTTCTAAATTCAGTTTCTAATCACAGAGTGGAATAGCCCACTGACATAAACAGTAATAATGGAATAAATAAATGAAATAAACATATAAAAAGTTCACAATGTAACATCACATACACAGCACACCCTGCTACAATATCTGTGTCTATACAGAACTGGAATAGGACGTTACCTGTTTAGTTTGGAGTAGGCAATACCTTGAAGGTATCAGAGATTTCTAGAATGGGAATTCCTCAGTCTCTCATCACCTGCCCGGTGGGATTCCAGCTGTTAAAGTGCAGGGATCTGTATCCAGAGCAGCTTTTGTACACCAAACCCCTCTCACATGGTCTGATTTGCAGATAATTCTGCTGCCAAAGGCTCTTTAAGACATCTTTGCGTCACTTTCACTCAAGTAAACTTGACTTTCACTGAAAGATACAACCCTCATGCTCCCTCTAGAGGCGGTCGATGGCATTACATTAGATGGGTCAATAGTTAACATGCAGTCTGTTTAACTCTTCCATTGCACCCTGTTTGCCACTTTCAGAAAATGGCCAAGGTTTTAGCAATATGTTGTGTTTTTTTTTTTTTCTATTCATATAGATATATCAGATAAACAGTTATAAACAGGAATGCTTAGGAATTAAAAACAAATCCCCTGATGACATCACTCACAAATTTGCCTGTAATAAAAGCAATTTGTAAAGGACTTTCCCATGGCAATGGAATACCTAGAGATAATTTTATAGTATACTTGTTTATTTGATCAAGTGCTGTTCGCTCTCTGCGTAACCTTTCATTTCATGTACAGGCACTGCCCAATGGCAGTTTTAATCCCAGCTATGTATTAGACTATTCTTGATTATGAGATGTTGAAACCCACCCAGATATATAGTATTGTTGCCAAATCCAGTGATTGTTCAGAATTTCAATTCTGATGAGCTAGAAGTCTGTTTGTTATCACAGACCTCTCGTTCTTTCCTTCTCATCCATCCTTCCTACACTTTTATTGTTGTGTAGTTCATAAATCAATTAGTTCCATGTAACCCTCCTATTAAAATGCAGCCAGATTTGGGCAAACTCATTTCATTGTCTGTGCCTCCTAATATGATAGCTAGGGAGTATGAACTCAGTATCTCATAGCTTTAATTATACCTTCCTTTTCAAATGTGTCCTGTAATCTCCGCTGCCCGTATAATAATTGATCTCCTAATCCCTGGTCTCCCCTTCCCATTAAACTTACATCACCCTCTTCTTGATTTTATGTCTGGGCTCATTGCAAAAATGTATCTCTCCCTCCACTCACCAGCTATAGAACACCCTATACATTTTACCCCCTTATTGCCAACGTACCCCTTCTCACATTACAATTTCTGTTTTCTTTTGCTTGCTGTTCTGCAATGTCCATTCACCCTTTGCATTCATATCACCCATTTATTTCATATTTTTTTTCTTTCTTTCACTTTCCCTGATTTTATTGCTGGACTCGTGGTCCTGTGACCTGCATGACTGCACAGAACGCACATAGAGATGGGGTGCCACCACACTGGCAATGAGAGACAGAATGTGAAATTCAAATATGTCCACAATCTGAGCTCTGATAAATTGTACCTTAAGCAGCCAATTATCAGGAGCATCTCGCAAAATACCCAGCAACCCAACACGCCATCGCCTGCAAAGCATCTCGCAGATCTGGCAGATGCCATTCTTTTAGCCCCCAGACACAAAAACCAGACGCCGAGGCAGTAAGGCCTGCCATGTGGGCAGACAGCAGAGAGACTTTGCTGGAGAGCTCTGGCCGTTGAGCATCTTCAGTCTGGAGGAGACACTACTAGGCACATCGCAAAAATCGCCCGCACTCACCCCTGTAGGCCACATGCGGGCCCTGACTCCCGAGAGGCCTCCCCACAGCTATCAGAGGAGGGGGACCCACAAGGCAGCCCCTTACCGAGTCCCAGACCTCAAGAGCTCCCACAGGGCACACAGGACTGTACAACAGCTTCAAAAAACGACATACAGGCCATGTTAACAGGCCTACAGCCTCAGGCAAATTTTGGGAAGCAGACCTGGCTGTACTAATCACCAAAGTGCAAGCGGTGACCACACGCACCCAAGCTACCGAAGAAGAGGTAAAAAACCTAAGACAGGACCTAAACACCTTGGGGAACAATGTAAGACTACCGCAAGCCACTCAGGCAACCATGGACAGGCAAATCAACATACTTGATGACCGGGGCAGACGCAAGAACGTCATGATAAGAGGGGTCGGGGAGTCCATACCACTAAAAGAACTATCTCACTTTATCAGACGCCTAGTGGTGGCAGTACTGACCAACGAGACAGGATCTATAAATCACCATAAGCCCCCAACACAGCCCCAAGGGACCTTATCTTGCGGTGCCAAACGATGACAGACAAACTGGGACTGCTTGCTGCTTTAAAGGGAAAAACACCCTTTGAATTTGAATCGTGCTAACAATATTTTTTTCAGGACTTAAGCAGGGCTACGCTACTGTGGCGCAAGAATATGCGATCAATTACTAAACTGCTACAAGCTGCCAGAATTGCTTACAGATGGGCAACACCTGGGGCAATATGGATGACAAAAGAAGATCAACACTATAAAGCCACTGATCCAAGAGAGGTCCAGACTTGCTGGCAGCATTGGGACTCCCCCAACAACATGAGAACTCAATGCCAACAACTAACCCACAACCACAGACCACAAGCACCACAGCTCGCACCAGACCCGGGAGGAGCCACGACCTGAGCCAACTCTCACCAACACCAGCTGTTCTTCAAGTTGACCGCTGCGGTCTGCTGTGACACCCTATTCACCAACTCAGTTGTTTAAGTTAATTGTATCTTATGCTTTCTTTGTTTCTTGCTGATTTTAATATGATTTACTTGCTAAATATTGCATTGCAACGCACAAGCTTCCCTACAACAAGCTTTAATGCTCCGGTGCCATAACATCACCCCATTCCTTATCGCCCCATGGATATGGGGTTTTACTATCATAGGAGCGCATCCCTCATGATCCACACACAACCAAATAGCGACATCATCCCTAAGATGGCTAATCTAGGCTTTGCGACCCACTAACGCTCCTCCTCGACTAGACCTCCACCACTAGTAACCTACAAACAGACTACACCACACAACATTTCCTTGTCCAGTTTAATGTAGGCATCATTCTCTAGCACACATCACGTCAGAAACCAAAGTGATATTTGCCATGCCAACCGAAGTACCCTCTACTAACCAGAGGACTGGCAATTGCACACGACCTTCCAATGGCACAGCTAAAATAGGACTCTATACAGACTAGACTCACAAAATTCTCATGACAAAGAACATACTCGCCACTAATCCCAAAGGTCAAGGAACACCTACGACACATAGTCACCACATTCAGTCCTCTATATCTCCATGGCCACAAGTTCACAGATGGTGGCGCTGTTAACACACACAGATGAGTGGTCCACACTCTCCCAAGTTCAACCCACATCCCTCGTTATAACTTCTCAGCCCATTTAACCCACAAAAGATGCGAACTGTAAATCCATGATGCCTTGCATTACCTATGTTATATTATTCATAACATGTCATTACTGTTGTATGTCTTTGCCTTGCTCGCATGAAAAATTAAGAATTTGTTTTAAAAAAAGATGTCCACAATCAACCTGGAAGGAGGATGTGGCCAGTCGGCTGCCCACCTCTATCTCTCTGGCTGCCCACAGGAGTTGTAGCTTGCCCAAGAGACATCGCTGCGGATTTCTTCTCAGCTTTAGCACTATGTGCACTATAGCGAAAGGCAGGAATTTTGGGTTATACCTTGTCCCTGCCCCTTCCGTGACAGCACTCCCCACTCAGAGAACTAAGGCTGAGAGGGAATAAGATCCCAGAGGGCCCCAGGCATCTTACTGGTTGCTCCCACCTCACCTTTTTTCCCACTGGAATGGTGAATGGGACCAAGCAAATGCATGGTTTCAGGCCCCATGTCTAACCCCTCGGCCCGTGGTGACCCCCATGATGTCAATTTATGCGGCACTTACCAATCAATGACATTACAATAACTATGGTAGAAGATAAACATAACTTGGGGAGATACAGAGAAATAGCTAGGGGAAGGACTAGGGAGACATAACATGTGTGGGAGGGCTAATCAGAGATAACTAAAGTAGTGGGAGGGGGGTGGAAGAAAAATATATAACTGTTAGGTGGGTTGTAGGAGCTAACTGGGCTGTGAGAGAATTTACTGGGAGCTTGGGAGAGACAGTGTGGTGGGGGGATATGAATGGATAACTATAGAGGAAGATAGAGGGACACCTAAGAGGTTTATAAAAATGAAATGATGCACTATTCCCATGATGCTCAGTCAACCCACAAGTTAAAGCCTAAGCTCTGTCAAATTAATGTAACTGGAGTATTTCTCTCTCAGTACTACTGGGGACTAGGTGCTACCAGTTAAATGTCAACAATAGATCTGGGGCTTTTCAGGAACCAAAACAGGCTTCCAGTTGTATTTTCAGGAGTTAGCCAAAGTTCTGAGGGAGATGACTGAAAACTGAAACAAAACTGGAAACTAAACACATTCATGTCACTAATGGACGCTTTCTTAAGATCCTCAACATTGTTGAGAAAGCATCCAGTAGTTTGGGGTTTTGACGATCTCAGACAATTCAATGCGTTTTATAGGTAAAACAAGACAAACTATTCCTTCTAAAATAACATGTTTGACATACAGCAAGCATGTCAAACTCAAAGGCTAATATGGGCCAAATAAACAAGGTTTAAGTTTATGTGGGCTGTAAAAAAATTGGAAAACTCCAGTTTTCATAGAAACTTGGGTTTATTTCGAAAAGTACAGTATAAAAAACATTGCCTAATTGACACTGGACGTCCTCACACTCATAGTGCTTTAAAGTAAACAAAAGAGAAAATTTATTTTAATGAAATATGTATTTGCATATAACCAAAGTTTCAGTCCAACTACCTGGACATATTAAGAAACGTTTGGTAATGGGACTGAAATGGTGAATGTATGCTGTTGCACAGCTGTAAAAAACAAATGACGTTATCTTGTTGATTTTAAAGTCCTATGAGTGTGTTCTTCATTTTAGCTGAGATCATCAAACGTAATGATCTCAGCCAATGCAAAAGCATTGGGAGGCTATTGTGCATGTGTGGCAAAAAGCAGTGCGCCCAATCAGCATCTCCATGGGGAGCATTCAGCACCTCCATGCAGACCCAATCTAATACACTGCCCCCTCCTCCCATTCTTATACACTGCCCACAAATCCAATGCATTGGACCCAAATTCAATACGTTGCCCTCTCCCAAATTCTAATACACTGCCCACAAATCTAATACATTTCCCCCAAATCCAATACACTGCCCTCCCCCCAATTTAACACACTGTTCCCTCCACCCAATCTTATACACTGCCCCTCCTCCATCCACTCTAACTGAATACACTGCCCTCCTCCCTTCCCCAAATAATACACTGCCCACCCCCAATTTAACACACTGCCCCCCTCCTACCACTCTATTACACTGCACAACCACCCTCCTCCAAATTAATACACTGCCCACTCCCCAATTTAACACACTGCCCCCCTCCCACCACTCTATTACACTGCACAACCTCCCTCCTCCAAATTAATACACTGCCCACTCCCCAATTTAACACACTGCCCCCCTCCCACCACTCTATTACACTGCACAACCTCCCTCCTCCAAATTAATACACTGCACCCCTCCCCAATTTAATTTACTGCTCCCTTCCCATATTAATATACTGCCTCCTTCCCTTAAATTAATACACTGCCCCCACACCAATTTAATACACTGTACTGTCCCTCCCTCCCACAAATTAATAAAATCCCCCCTCCCCAATTTAATACACTACACAGGAAGGTCCCTCCAGTTCCAGCCCTGCTCTTCTCTGCTCAAGCAGCCCAGATGCTCCTCTGGCATTGCGAGCATGAGGGAAGGAAGAGTGGCTGGCCTGCAGAAGCACGCAATCGGACATAGGAGGGAAGACAAGAATCAGACAGGAAATATCTTTCCTGTCTTGCGGCTGGTCTCAGCCACAACACAAAGTGACCCCAGGGCACGTGGGCCACAAATATATCCATTGTGGGCCGCAAGTTTGACATGCTTGACATACAGGAACAGAAGGTGAAGATGGCCCTGCCCAAATGATTTTACAATCTGAAAAAAACACCACATGCAATTTCCAATATCTTTTGTAAAGTCTAGGTGTGGAAACTTTCACATTTAATGGATGATAGTTATAGGATAAATGTATTTTAGCTATAGTTTCTGTTTAACATAACAGAAGTTGTCGTGGTAATAGTATCCAACCAGAAATAACTCGGGGAAACAAAGGTAACATTTTGACTCTTTTAAGGAAGATTGATGTTTTAACAAAGAAATATAAAATGTGGATTAAACAAAAGGATAGCACATTGTTAAATCCCGCTTATTGGTATAAGGATATAATTTATAATAACTATCAAAGCAAACAGTCAAGTCTCACATTTTAAAGCAAAAGAACAATGAAATTAGGATTTTAGTTGGAATAGGACGAGGTTTAAGTGGAAACATGCTACTGGAGCTCTGCAAGACAACAATTTCCTTGAAAATCTCCTCAATTAAATTATTTTGGAAAATGTTGCCTTTCAACTGGGTACCCAGTAGTCAAACCTTGTGACCATTTCAGCCTGGAGTGCTACAGTAACTCCGTGGAAATTTGTCTGTATTGTGGCCTAGTTGAGATGACTGGTCGGGAGAAGCGTTTGCTTTCTCAGACTGATGGACATGAAACCTATCTAGCAGCCCTGCATCTTGCCCCTGTCTTTATGCAGGAGTACACGTTGACTGTTGATATATTGTCATTTATTTTTCAAAATTTGTTTTATCAATCCTCCGGTAGTATCAGATGTAAAATGTAAGTGAAATTATACTTCAATTACAATAACATATTCTTTCATTCCTTCCTTCATAGATAAAGGATGTCCCATTTTTTTACATTTTGGAATATTATCGCATGTATTAATATTTTATAGCCCTTTTTAATACATCCAATCTAACAACCGTGAGAGCAGAACTTACTAGATAATGAATCCTACATAGGTTGTTTGTTTTGGTTAAAGGGATACTATAGTCACTAAAAAAAACTTTAGCTTTATAAAGTGTTTTTTGTGTAAAGATCACGCCTCTGAAGTTTTACTTCTCAATTCACTGCCATTTAGGAGTTAAATCACTTTTGTTTCTGTTTATGCAGGCCTAGCTACACCTCCCGTGGCTATGATTGACACAGCCTGCATGAAAACAAAATGGTTTCAATCAGATGTAACTTACTTTAAGGGTTTTTGCCGCCTGCTCTGTAAATAGAACTTTAATCACACACATTAATGCAGGCTCTAGCAAACTATTAACAGAGCAAGAGATATGAAATTCTAGAACAGAATTTGCAATAAAGGAAGTATAAACATTAGACAACTCTTTACAGGAAGTGCTTAGGAAAACTGTGTAAGTCACATGCAGGGAGGTGTGACTAGGGCTGCATAAACAAAGTGATTAAACTACTAAATGGCAGAGAATTTAACAGTGAGACTGCAGAGTCATGATCTATACACCAAAACAGATTCATTAAGCTACAGTTGTTTTGGTGACTATAGTGTCCCTTTAAATCATGTAATGGCAATTGGCAAAGTAAATCTGGGAGATATTAATTTTGCAATCTTTAGCTTAGATAAAATTGCTCAAACAAAATTGCAAATGCATTTGGAGCTCAAAAGAAAACTATCTTCACATTTCAGACTAATTTCTAAAGAAAATGGCAATGAAGTTATTTTGGGTATTTCTTTTCCTGTATATATCCTTGAAATAACTTTTTGAACTTGCTATGTAACTATTCATTTCTTATTTTTTTTAATTACACTTTGTTCTGCTTCTCAGAAACATGACTTTCTGTATACATTGGTTTTGAATGCGAGGCCCCATAGAGAGTTTGTCAGAGTTTATTGAGTCTATCGTATGACATTTCCAAGGCTTGACAAGGGACAGTGGTGTACAGAAATTGTAAGGAGTTTGTGGATAAACTTGTGGAATATGCCATGATATCTGCAGGTATATTGATAAGTTGTCCATCATGTGATACAGACTATCGTACAGGTCAAAGTAGCAATGTCATCCATTACATCCCCACATGAGCACTAAATCTAGGATGTGCTTTTTTACCTTAACCTAGGAGGTTATATTACTCACAAATGGTTTAACCCCATGATCTGCTCTGCCTTTTTCAGAAATTCTCCTACAGTATCTCTCAGATTGCCGGGCAGGGGTGCTGTTATCTGGCTTAGAGTGTTCAGCTTACGCTCTAAAACAACCAGTAAATTCAAAAGAATTTCTGAAAGTGGATGTGGGTAAGGACAGCGGAAAATGGTGCTGCAGAGCAGACATTGAGGTTAAACCGTTTAACCCCGAAAGGTAAGGAAGTGCCAGTGACATCCTGTAACCAGAACAACTTTATTTCCATGAAGTTGTTATGGTTCCCTGAGTGTTCTTTTAAGTGAATAGCTCCCTGTATGTACCGTTCTATTTATATGAACCTGCTTGGATGCAGGAGGGGGAGGCAGGCTGCTGTGATTAAGTTATAAACCACAAAAGCTGTCCAGCAGTATATTTACTCAATAATAAAGCTGCACTATTTTAGTTGTAAAGATTTTAGGGATTAAAATTGATGAATGAAGGTTTATATAAACAGGTCAAAGTTTCCGAAACAAACTAAGCTCATGACCGGGGCTCCTTGAACTCAAAGCTTGCCTGTCATACATTGTATGTTTTTTTTTTTTTTAATGAAGTTCTCATTTTCTCAATTTTTCGAAAGACCCTCTCACAGTACTGACACATGATGACTAACAGGCACATAATAGTGTTATAGGGTGATACAGTGATCTCTCCATGGACACGTCTAGGTTTTACTTTTGATATATTGTGCTGCTTCAAGATGCAGTAATAAATGTGAGCTTCTTTGTAGCATATTTGTAAGAATGTGGTGTTAAATTGGCACTCTGAGTACCATAACAACTACAGCGCACTGTAGTGGTTATGGTGTCACAAGTCTACCGATTGTTAAAATTTGGGCGGTCCCCATGAACCGCACATAACCCATCCTCACATCAGACATGTTAACCAGTCTATATGTTAACCAGTCTATATGTTAACCAGTCTATATGTTAACCAGTCCACATTAGAACACTATGGACAGGCGCATTAAAAACATTATTGTGACACCCTGAAAGCCCAGTCTTACTGGAACAAATATTGTTTACGAAATGCTAACAATAAAAACTATTTCTCAAAATAAAGAAGAACATTTTTAACGTAAACTTTCATATTAACAATGTTTACTTACTAAACACCAAATTGTAGTGAATTGAAAACCAAATTGCTAAATTTTGGGTGAAATACCAAATCAAGGTCTTTTACCTAAATTTACTATTTAAAGTGATAACAATTTGGTTTTGAGTGAATAAACCGGTTAATGCTATGGGATTTTTTTCTACAAACACAGAAAAATAAGGGTTAAAGTAAAGTCAGCACAATATGGAATATATTCTACCATCAATTCTAGATGTTTGAAGGTTATTCTAGAAGAATGGAAATAATGTCTCTGAAAATAAACACAACTCGAAAAATATTTATTATACCAAATACTGGAGGGTGCTATTTGCATTAATGGTTTATTTTGTGTTCACTTAGTATGTACACCATGCTTAGTGATAATATAGAAACTTGAAGGGCCACGCAGCTCTGAAAATGATTAGTTGATGCATTGGATTCATGGTGGCCAGCTAGTGACTTCCCAGCTGTTGTCCAACTAGGACTCTCATTAATCTCAGCCTTCTGCAGATGAGCTGCTTCGGATAATGGTTTTCCATTGATATTTTAGTGTAAATTACAAAATAATCAGATAATAATCATAATCACAAAAAGGGAATTGGACGGTGAGATTGCAGGGGCATGCTCTATACACGAATACTGCTTCATTAAGCTAAAGTTGTTTTGGTGCCTATTGTGTCCCTTTAACAACACGGATTAGAAATCAGGCTTGTGAGGAAATTTCAGTCTTGTCCAACCAGCTAAAAGTGTCTGATGCAGATAAAAAGTTTTTTTCTTGCCGAAGAATTAAGTAAATAATTTCAGATACACACTAAGCTGTCCATGATGAATATGACTTTTTTCCTAAAACAAGCTATTTTGAAAGATCCCAAAGACAATGAACTCTGATCTGTAAGAGTTATTGTCCTCTGATCTAGAAGACAATAAACTCTGAACTAAATCTTTGCAGATAAGAACCTTTCTTCTTCCTTTTCTTACAAACACTAACCCGACAGTACGGTATTGATGCTTTGGTGCCATTTTCTTATTTTAATCTTAGTTTTACTTCCCATCCAGTCAGTCTTCAAATTCTGCCACGTTTATCCCTCTATAAAATATTACTTTCATTTCCCCAGTTTTCGTAAAACAATATGCAATCAATTAATATTGCAATCACCTCTCATCAAATCCAAATTTCAATTCATGATGAATACTGCTCTTATATATATACATATATATACTGGGTTGTAAAGTCTACCAGGAGCCTTGAACAAAAATGCATTAGGAATGTATTGCTAATAACACCTGAAATTTTGAGTAGCCAATATATCTTAGTAAATAGGGTATGTTAGGGTTATTTATTAAAGACCAGATTTTATCCAGATGGACAAAATCTAGTTAAAACAGTTGAATTGTGAATGGAATGGTAATTCTCATATTTACAAAGGCCAATTCCGGTCAGAAATCAGCCAGATGCATTTGGTATCTGATTCAAAATCAGTGTTTTCTGCATCTTAACCTTATACAAAGGATATTTATAAACAAACCTGGGACAAAATGCATCCAGCAGGATGGACATTCGCAAATTATCAATAAGACCGAAATATTGGTATAAGGTTTTAAACTTCTCTTATGCCCCCACCTGTCAGGGGCTGCTCACTGTAATTACTTAAGGTCTGTTAAAGTCTGCGGGGGAGCTATTGCGAGTCCCCACATGGGCATTGTGTCAGGAGCATAAAGTCATTAAAGGACCACTATAGGCACCCAGACCACTTCAGCTTAATGAAGTGGTCAGGGTGCCAAGTCTAGCTAGGTTTAATCCTTTTTTCTATTAACATAGCAGTTTCAGAGAAACGATGTTTATAATAGGGTTAATCCAGCCTCTAGTGGCTGTCTCATTGACAGGTGCTAGAGGCGCTTCCGCTCTTCTCATTGTGATTTTCACAGTGAGAAGACGCCAGCGTCCATAGGAAAGCATTGTGAATGCTTTCCTATGGACTGGCTGAATGGGCGCGGCTCCTGCTGCGCATGCGAATTCAGCGAGGAGGAGGAGGAGGAGAGTTCCCCGCCCGGCGCTGGAGAAAGAGATAAGTTTAACCCCTTCCACACCCTAGAGCCCGGCGAGAGGGGGACCCTGAGGTTGGGGGCACCCTCAGGGCACTATAGTGCCAGGAAAACAAGTATGTTTTCCTGACACTATAGTGGTCTTTTAACAAGGGGTATAGAGAGCCCCCACCTGTGTCCAGCAAACAGTGAATCTATTTAAAAAAATGGGAGAAATATATTGAAGTCCCCCCTTGCCCCTACCCATAGCTGCCCAGTTGCTAGTTTTTGAGTAGATGCTGGCTGCTCACTGTGTAATTGACATGCCCCCATTTGGAGCATGGCACTTCCTTTATACTAATAAGGTCCTTTCCATGGACACTAGGCTCATTGTGGAGGAGAGGCTTTAGTGCTTTGATGATGTTAAGAGCTATGCTGGTGGTAGCATCGCTACCAGAAGGGCCACCCAATTCAGACAGGTCTTAACCGAGAAGTCAGGCAAACACCTTAGTCATGCAAGGTGACTCCTGCATGCTAGCTCTAAATGGGTCAAACTTAGACAGATAATGCTCATAGCCCTGTCAGGCCATTTATCTAAGAAACGCCACTCCAATATAAAACCTACGACCTTGGGTCTTCGCTGACACTGTTCCAGATAGGCCATGGCAGATAAACCCCAGATGTAAAGGGTGGAGCCATTATTGCGCATACTGCCCCCCACCTAAAAACTCCCATTGGGCAGGTTTGAAAGGTATGGCCACATCTACGGTTAATATTACCATTAAGCCGTGCAGCATTGGGAATGGGGCAGACCAGTAAGTGTAAGATGACAATGGAAGCCGCAGTTCCGACCCAACGTGTAGGTGGTCCAGGTGTATGGGTCGTCTGATGTCGACCTCATAGACGATGACATCATTTGGCAGCACCCTGCGCGACCAAGCAGCCTTATCTAGGAATAGCACTGGTTTCTCCACTCAGACAGCCTAGATGCTAATATGGGGGTATTGGTAGTATTGACACCCACAGGCTTTCATATACCATGGGGAAGAGTTTGTATTTCTAGCACTATAGCATTGCTTTAAGAATAAGAATATGTAATCAGCTGGGTGCAGAATTCAGCAATTCTGAAGCTTCCAGTCTGTCGGAATCCAGATCAAATTCTGGCTCATTAAGAGCCTGCTCAGCACAATCCGGGCATTCAAATATTGCGAACAATGTCCAGATTTTGCAGTCTGAATTCCCCTATAAAGAACCAAATGATTTTGCCGCATTCAGACCTTAAATGCATAGCATAGAATCCATGCCTATAGCCCTGTACAATAAATGCGTTGATCAAACTATTTCACAGGGACATTCCATTTTGCACAAGCAATACACACATCTGGGTTTAATTAATTTAATGGCCTGAGGGGCACAATTCATTTAAAGTCTCTCTGCAACTCAATCTTTTACTCAGCATAACAAAATATATTTAACTTTTAAAAACAACCCGTCATCACATTTTATGGCAATCAAATTTACTACATGTATTTTACCATTTGTAAATATATCTTAATTGGAACTTTAAAACACATAGCGCGATATTCAGAATTATACAGGCGGCAATTTTTGTAGGGCTTGAAGAGATGACTTTTGGGAAAAAAATTGCAATTCATCATCTCACTGTCATCAATGTAAATCTAGGAAGACGTTTGTAAAAAGGTAAGGTAGATTGTTTGACTTTTAGTATCTTCAATGAACATCATTTTGCTGATCTGAATGGCAGACACCTAAAATGGGACATAGCAGAGGCAATAAACTGGTTTTAATGAAGTATGGAGATTTAGGAGTTTAGTCAGCAAACTATTAGTTGCTGAGAGTTTTAAAAAATAAAATTAAAATAGTTGGAAAAAATAATGGTGATTTGGAGATGTATTTGGATAATTTTTTTCTGGGGGAAAAAGTCCTGCGCATTTCCCACCTCCTCCATCATGGTATAATCTGATTTACATCAGCTGCTGGACAGAGCGAGATGGGGTGGAATGTCCAGGATTCTGCTGGGAGAATTTTTTGTCTTTACCAGGTGATGATATGCAATGAAGCAAAGTTAAAAGTCAATTCATAAGGCAAAGTAAAATTAAATTAATTAGTTTTGCTGTTATTAGCTGTAGTGTTCTCAGACAGTAATGTCCATGCACAAAGGGAATGACTACCCCAAATGCTGCAGCTATTGTTGCTCTGATGGAGATAGATAAATACCAGGGACAATATCCCAACGGTGTTCACTATGTGACTTAAACATGGATTTTGCTTGCTTTAACAAGGTTATTCACTAAACTCAAACCTTTAGCAAATTAAATCTGAATGTAACAATTGAGGCTAAAATAACTGGTTTGGAGATATTTGTCTGCTTAAACTTGGGTTTTGCCATTTGGATTTATTGATCTAAAATCTGGAGTTTAGTGAATAAACTTGTAAGTATTCAACCAAGACCCACCAACTGTTGTTGGACTCCAGTCATAGGAAGACAGAGCATGCCTGCACTCTGCTTCTGTAGGTTTCTCCAGTGGAGATGAAAAGTTGAGTAATGCACATTTAAACACACATCATATTCACAAACAGTGGCTCTTCCTCTCATTTCTATGGAAAGGTAAACAGGAGCAAAAAAACAATTAGGACACGGTTATAGATTGTGTTTCGTTTCGTGACACATTCGTTTTGACATTTTCTTGTAATTCGTAATACAGTTTCTTTCATCCTGGAGTGTCCCTTTAAATGTATCTCCTCATCCTGGAGTGTCCCTTTAAATGTATCTCCTCATCCTGTAGTGTCCCTATAAATGTATCTCCTCATCCTGGAGTGTCCCTTCAAATGTATCTTCTCATCACTGTTGAAGTCAATGGGAATTTAGTCTTTTTAGAATCTCTGCAACTCATGCACATTGTAACGGAGAAGGGATCCCAAGATGTTTTTTAGCTACATGGCACAGAAGCTAAAACTCATTGCATAGAGAACAAAAGAAGAGCTCTCCATCTCTGCCCTCCTCCCCTCAATTTTCTCTACATTTAGTTAAATGGTGTGGCCTCTTCTTCTGCAATTTACAAGGGAGCTATAGCAAAGTCTACTCAGCTTCCGGGTTTACCGGATTCTTTTTTTTTTGACAATCTTTTTTTTGTTTTGTAATCTTACAAGTTGCATAGGTTTGCAATAACAATATACTAAGGCTCGTAACAAATCAGAGTAGTTGAACAGCGATGTAGCACCATTTAGATTCGGTAACAGTGTAAAATTCCATAAACAGTTTATGCGAGTAGTAAAGCAAATTTATAGTAACCTTATGACAGTTTAACAGTGTTTGTGTTTAGGCTGTGTGGGGAGCAGTATTTAGTTAGTTAATCTTCATTTATATCCTGGGAACCATCAGGGGTTCCAGTGGGGCAGGGTTTGGGTCAGTATACAATAGCTACAGCCGTGCCTCAGCATGCAAGCGACACTTGCGAAGCCAGTATCCCGTTCCAAGTTCTGCGTTTCTGTATAATGCCCTGCTACATGATTTCAGACTGCTACCCTCGTATATACACACTTGTCGTTTACGCCATGTCTTGGCTAGTAGGGTCATAGGTTTACCTGATTCTATTGATCAATGATACATTACATTTTTTTACTCTATTGATTAAGCAGCTTACACAGAATGCCACCTTCTGGAAATGTTACCTCCTCATTGACTATTTAAGAACGTTATCAGGACCAGGCATATGAAACACGGTTTTGATGACACCTCACGCACTGTCATTGCTATGGTAGCTCCATACAGATGTCCGACATCACTGCGTCAGACCCTGGCAATAGTCTTTCACACTGATCTAATTTCCCAAAGTCTATTCTTTTTTAACATTATGAGTTGTGTTACCGATGAGCTCATGTAAAAGGACACTAAGGAACAAAACACCTTTATCTTAATGAAATGATTTTTGCATATATACACTATAGTCTGGTATCATTTGGAAAGTGGAAGCTTTCAGAAACAGCAGACACTCGTAGCCGGATCACAGAGTGCTGAGGCATGTAAAAGTCGCCAACATAGCATTATTGACAGCAGAATAATTGTGCGACGACAGCGTCATGGAAGCTTGGTGTGATGAATAACACTTCTGTTTGGCAGTCTGATGGAGAAGCTGGGTTTGGCGGATGCCAGAATAACATTACCTGTCTGATAGCATTGTGCCAAGTGTAAACTAAAGTGGAGGAGGAATAATGGTATTGGGGCTGTTTTACAGGAGTTGGCTTAGGCCCCTTACTTCCAGTAAAGGGACGTCTAACAGTTTAAACATACCAAGACATGTTGTACAATGTCTCCAATTTTGGAAGAACAGTTTGGGGAAGGCCCTTTTTTTATTCCAGCATGACTGTGCCCTAGTGCACAAAGCAAGGTCCATGAAGATATGGTTTTACGAGTTTGGTGTGGAAGAACTTTACTAACCCGCACAAAACCCTGACCTTAACCCTATCGAACACCTTTGGGATGAACTGGGATGGAGATTGCAAGCCATGCCTTCTCGACCAACATCAGCCTTTCTAGAAGAGTGGAAGCTGTTATAGCTGAAAGGGGGGACCGACTACACAAGGTGTAAGTACTTAGCAATGTCTTCTCTTTTTTTTTTTTTTTCAAGGAAGCTGAAGAAAGCCTGTTTATCACCGCAGGTAATGATAAACTTTTACTGTTGTACAATTTAATACATTTTGACAAATTGTGTTTTATCATGGCATGGTAACTGTTTGGTAGTTGATAGGAAGGCTCTTCAACAAGAAGGGAAAATTGCTCAATACATTATTGGAGCTCAACTCCCACCAATCAAACATTTTATTTATTCAAGAAAATGTCATTCATATACCAGTACAATATAAAAAAACACAAATAATCCATTGTGAATGAATGATTTTTTTTATTAAAAATCTCAAAAGCACCATTTAGATAGAAATCATAAAAAATTATAATAATAAGCGATGGATGCTTGGAGTGGCTTGGATATTACAATTCTACTGTAATTTCACAGGGTTCTCCAATTCATTAAAATTTTTAAATTTCTCTCAACATTATAAAACTGGAGCAGGAGCTGGCAGACCTAGAGACTGGAAGGGTTCCAATAATGCTATTTACGGGCAGAGATACAGGTCCGCCAACCATGCTGGGTTGTCGATGTGCAAGCACTGTGAACGCTCACTTGCATGGGCCATAATAGTCTTGCTCAGCCAAAAGAACAATTAACAATGATATAATGCTGTGATCTTTGGAAGCATAGGCACTGAAGTAGAGCACCAAATTAGAAAAAGGATTTTTGGTCGGTATGTTTTCATCTAATTATCACTTCATACATTTTAATCTCAGATGTGGAGCAGATCATTTTGGAATAAAAAAAAAAAAAAAATACTAAAGGTTAACTTTGTTTCATTCGACCTTCATTAAAAGGACACTATAGTCATAGTCACATTAGCTTAATAAAGCTGTTTTGATGTACAGATAATGTAACTGCAGTCTCACTGCTCCATTCTCTGCCATTTAGGAGTTAAAACACTTTATTTATGCAGCCCTAGTCAAGCCTCCCTGTGACTTATCCAGCCTTACTACACACTTTCTGTAAAGAGTCCTCTAATGTTTATACTTCCTTTATTGCAAATTCTGTTTAATTTAGGATTTCTTATCTTCAGCTCTGTTAATAGCTTGCTAAATCCTGCAGGAGTACCTGTATGTAATTAAAGTACAATTTACAGGAGATAACTTTTAATGTAAGTTACATCTAATTTACTTTTTTTTCATGCAGGCTGTGTCAGTCGCAGCCAAGGGAGGTGTGGCTATGGCTGCATAAACAGAAACAAAAGTGATTTAACTCATAAATAGCATTGAATTGAGCAGTGAAATTGCGGGGGCCTGATCTATACACCAATACTGCCTCATTAAGCTAAAGTTGTTTTGGTGAGTATAGTGTTCTTTTAATGCTCACGTGAGGTCTCTGACCTTCTAAAATAAGGTGCAAAGAAAAAGTCTAATACGAAGGGCACTTTAACACTAAAATAATTCATAAGAGGCATGTAAAAACACATGATTCCATTGTAAGTCTATAAAATGCCCTGATTATACCAGTAAGAGAGGGGAACCTATGCACTTCAGCAAAAGAGGTGCAATGGATCATGGAAGAATAAAAGTGCGATCCAGAAATGTACAATGAAACACTGAATCAGCACAGCAAAAAGAATCTAAGACATAAAATTATAAGCTAGCAGCAGTACAATAGTTCCAATATGCAATATATCCAGGTGAACTTGCAGATAAATTGTAATGACATATAATCTGTTCAAGGAGTCACCTATTCTCTCACATGATTATTTAAGTAGGAAAACATAGCTGGCATGTTTGACTAAAGGGTAGATTAGTACCGCACTTTGATTTTTCATATTTTAGCGATGATATACATAACAGGGATTATTTGAATAACTATGCTTCTAGCTAGGTCTTAAAAGTTACTGGCCACTGCAAGTCATAGTATATCCACCAGGAGTCAGTCTCTTTTCGCTAGTAGCTAGTGGTAGGTGGAAATTTTGAGCCCTGCTTTTGAATGTATTCCTTACCCACAGTGGTTCTTTTGGCCTTTAAAATAAACCTTTTGGAGTGAAGACCATGTGTCAGTAATCTCCTGCACTACTGCTTTCTTGAGTTGCAACTTCAATGTTACATTATCTATTTTTTTTGGCTAGTTGAGTATCATGGACCAAACCTGTGGCAGTTGTAGACTTGGTAGTTAACTATTGAAGGTAAAAAAAAAATACAAACTACAAAGATAATTTTGCTCCAGGAATTTGAACATGCCCCAGTGTCCACTGGTCATTTAAACTCTCCAGAACAATAGGAAGAAAAGGAACAAATGATAAACAGATAACTACTACAGTTCATATGCCAAAAAAGCAAGCAGGGCAAAGTAAGAACAATTAACAGAATACATTATCTCTTTTTTGAAAAAGACAAGGAAAACATTTAATAATAATAATAATATATGAAAAAAAAAGTAGGAGGACCCTCTCCGAGTTGTAGTTCTGACGAGGAGAGGTATTGGTGTGTCCATCTGACCATCCCATTGTTTTCTTGTGTAAAAACATGCAGGCATTCTGTATTATTCCAGAGCTTCAATGTGACAGGAAGAGGACAATTTAGTCTAAAAGGTGGAGGGGCAGTAGGAAAGAATGGTGTCATTTGTTCACTAAGCTAAAGCCCCCATTGGGTCCCAGGCTGGTAGGACAATAGGTTCCTGCTTCAGAATCTCCAACACTTCTTCAGGAATGTGCTTCTTGTCCACCACTACCTCATAGACATATTCAGAGAACCACTCATCTGTCATCAGGAGGTACCCTGGAGAAAACACAAAAAGCATAAAGTTAGATGGAGCTTTGTTTTTTTTTTTTTACAATCACAGTTCTTTTAAGTTATTGGCTTTTTTTGTAGGAAGACTTATCATGTTATAATAATATTATTTTATATATACACTATCAATGCATGCATAGCTTTGGACTCGAAGCTATAAACCACATGCTTAACAGCAATAAACAGGCGGACATGCTATATATGCCAGGAAGACATCTGCGCCTTTTAAGTCTCACACTAGGGATAATAATTTACATAGTGTGTGTTGTAGAATTGCCACAAAATGTGCAGTCTGGATCTTCAAGGGAACAAAGCAAAACTTCAATTTCCAACGAGACCAAAGTCAGAATGATTTAACGCAACATGTCTCTCCAATTACAGAGAAAGAAAACACATTTTTTTTCTTCATGTCATTCATAATCAAAAGAGATATATTCCTGAGATAGGCAAAATGCCTACCATTGTACTGCGTGCTTTCTTGCCCTCTCCGTTTCCTTTTGGAATACCACCCAAAATTCCTGGTGAACTTTATTATTTTCATAACAATGTGTGTTTCTCCTGGGTTGGAAGCCCTGGTGAAGTAAACAGCACACCGAAAACTGCACTTACACTGCCAACAGACCAGTTACTCGAAACTAAATACAGCATACATGATGTAAAAGAAAAGGTGTATTGCCTATGTAAATGCTTCCTCTCTTGCCCAAGGTTCTTCCATAACTCACACTCTATGGTCACAATTTTCCCCTCATTAAAAAATACTAATAAAAAAAAAGACAGTCATACGAGAAAAAAAAAAAGAGACTATTGCAAATACATAAAAAATTAAATAAAATATGCTATTTTAAAATAACATTTAATATGTGTGTATATATATATAAAATAAAAAAATATTTTCAAATAAAAATATACATTTGAAGGAACATCTATACAATGTATATATGTATATTATCTATATAATGTATAGATAATACACTAAAAACAATTACAAATTCTTATCTTTAATGTTCCTGCATTGGTTGCAGTTTATGATGTAATTTTTGCCAAATAAGGTGATTAAGCCAATCATAACACTCACTTAAATGTCTATGGCATTGCTGAGCTAAATCCCATAAGTTATGCTTTATAGTGCCAGCAGGAGTTTCTGGGTGTTACAGCTCAAGATACAGCCTTCTATTACAGAAAGCAGTGTACTGCTTACTTCATGCACAGTGATATTACTGGAGACTAAAGGTAAACACTGCAGGTTGAGAGGGAAGTGTAGAATGGATGGGGTTTAAGAGCAAATAGACAAATAAATTGCACGAGGCATGTGTTGCTTTGATCGTCCGTTTCTACATTTGCTGGATTTCCAGTGTTTGCAGAGATCTCTGCACACACCAGGAAGAGGACAATGCGACAATCATGAAGTGACTTAGCTCACTAGGGCGCTCATTCTTTTCAATGGAGCCTAAAACTACCCCATAAAACCCAGCCCTCCAGTTGTTTATGTAGTGAAGGAATTCCATTCCGTCTAGAAAAATAAAGTTAAAAACAGAAGAGGGGCATATGGAAATCCCGGTGTACAAACTGGCTCCCCATGTGTAGTAATGCTGATGTACGAATTCATGTAATACCAGTTTCATAACTAACAGAAGTCAATGGGAAGGTTGGGATTTAATTTTTTTTTAAATATATAAACATTTGCCCTTTACTCTACTTTCAAGCCACCCATCAAGTGACCGCTAATCTCGACTCAAGAGGGCCCTTGTATCCTGGTCCTGTGACCGAGCCATAGCGCTCACTGTTGCAATTTCCTTTTTCTTCCGCACATTTTGTGGATGAATTAACCACATTAAAAATAAACATTTCAGTTTCCCTTTTCTTAAAATAGCTCTTCCTCTTGGTTTTTATCATTTTTGTTGAAGGTTGTTGTTGAATAGCCTATGTAATAATATATAGGCTATTTGAATAATATTTATGTGAGCTGATAACCTTCTATTTCCAGGTGGAAAAAGAAAAATATTAATATTTGGAATAACTAAACATTAACATATATTAATATATACTATGTATATGTTGAAATTACAAAATTTTATTTGGCAATAAACTTTTAGCAGGAAAAATCAAAAACATGATTTACCTTAAAGAGAGGCCATTTCTATAAAAATGTGTCTTTCTGCATTTTTTTTCTTGGTCAGTAACCAAATTATGAACATTGCTGCTTTAGCTTTAAAACCCATTATTCAATTGGCAAATTAGGTTATGGACATTCAATTGTAATAATAATAAAAAAAAAAAAAAAAAAAGAGTAAAATAAAATTCTGAATAATAACGTCATTAGATTCTAGATTTTCCCAGTGTCAAAAGGGCTCTCCCCTGCACTGGGGAATACATTGCTGCTGCAGTAAACAATCTATTGTGGGCAGCTGTTTGGGGCCCTGCTAATAATTGGTGCATATTCCAACTAGCAGAATCCCACTAACACGCAGATCCCACGCCGCAGTGATGTCCATATAAATATGTAAAACTAATCTCTGCACCACCAGAATAGAGGAGAGGTGGCAGTGTTCTGTATTTTTCTGGCACTTAAAAGGTTAAATTATACATGTGTAGGTAAAAACAAACTCTTCTTGGCAGGACCATCTAACCATGAGCACATGTTTTAAAATACAGGATCTGGCAAAACCATAGAGCACACTAAAAAAGTAAAAAGTAATACTATTTTTTTTTTTTTTATGTATGTATGCTTAAAAGAAAAAAAAATGAATCATTAGCTCTGAAGCCTTGTGACCCTAATCTTCCTGGAGCTTTGCCAAGGTCTACACTAGACAGAATCTAATAACAACCGGCAATTAAAGGGAGAGCTTGTGAATGCTGAGATTTTGGGGGGAACTTGGTGATGATTGAAATGTATCCTAAGAATAAAAATCAGAACAAGAGATCTTACAATTTCAATTCCCACACTGCCCTGCACATTCTACCTCTCCGAATAGCAAGCATCTGCACTAGCAAAGCACAGCAAGAGCTTCTCTGTAAATGAAAATATCCCCCCAGCTCCACATATGCTGCAGTCAAAAGCACTAACCAGCTTAAATGTCAAACGCATCATGTTACATAGCTATATAAACTTACATAGGACAGTAGATTAACATCAGCCTCAATTCATGCTATATTAAACGATAAAGATACCCATCCTATATTTACACTTAGATAATCCACAAGAAGGCAAACCCTTGTGAACTGTGTAACGGGAGTCTAATAGGTCTTGTAAAAGGAAACATACATCCCTTGTTTAATCAAATCATGGCATTTCAGCATCACACCAAGAATATACACAAGTTGCCAACAAGGGACCTGCAATCTGTAAAGTATCATTAAAGCGTGTTCTACTAACGGACTTAGGGTAAAGTACCATATCAAGCTACAGTCTAACCAATGAGAGCAATAAGATGGTTCATGTATTTAATGGAAGAAAAAAGAGTTTTGGTTCAAACTGTTTCATAGAGGTCAGGAAAGAAATGATCAATGCTTTTCATAAAAGAGAGAAATAGAACATTACAGGCAAAGATTAAAAGCAAATACAAGGACATCAGAACATATTTCAGATCATTGTTATTCTTTATGAGGCAGATTTAAACAGCTGGCATACCCACACACTACACAACACTGGCTGGCATGTAGTTGTTCCTATGCACAGTGATACATACACTAGCACATAGCTAGCAGTGGGATAATGAGCTGGTCCACGCTGCAAAATGGACCGTTTGTCCCACTGAACACCTCCATATCAAAAACAAGATTTCAACTGGGTAGTATGTAGAATCACATGGGGAACAACATGCAAGACTAGTTTTGCACGGTCACAACATGGAAATATTATGTACATATGGAATCCTTGACGGATCCCCTTAAAATTTGTAGATTTGTATGAGGTTTATATTTTTTGGTTGCCGTAAACCCAATGGTTGAATCTGACATTTTAAAAGCACTCTCTCATCCTACCTTTATTACCACGATCATCTCCCCAGGAATTTTCCACTCGCCATTTCTCATACTCTCCTTCTTGATCACCCTGCAAATGAATAAAGTATAAAATGAAAGATATTTCACAAGTAAAAATAAAAATTAAAAAAAGTTTACAATACTGAATAAATGTTACTTTCAAGATCTTCAGAATAACGTGTTATGTGTGAAGACCATCTGTACAGCAAAATTTATAAACTGTACCAGATATGAGTACACTAATAAATGCTCTAATAAAAAGCATAAAACAAACACAGCAGATATCTATACATTGTGCTACCAATCTATTTTGAAAGTTAGTTACCCCACTTCGTAGCCGTGTATGCCAAGAATTGAATAACAGAGGAAAGCAGAAGAACCCTCCAACAAACGGTTCTCCTGCTCTCCGGCATATCAACTAAGGGCATTCTCTGAAGTTACAGTGAATACACTTCTAGCGATTGTGTCTCACACTTGTGACAGAAATCACTCAGTTCTTATTGTGATAAGCAGGCAATAAAGAGATCAAATGTAAGAATTCCATGAGAAATAAATTTATGTAGTAAAGTGGGTTACATAGCAGTAGTAACACTTTAAAAAAATAAATAAAAAATATTTAAATCCACAAAGCTCAACCTTTCGCACATCCCAGTTTCTGCTGCTGATTCAAAGGAACACAAAGCCACACATTGAAGTAATTTGCAATTTTACTTTTTCTAAAAGAAATAGAGTTCCTTTTTTCAGTCAGTCCTCTGTCTTAGATCTATAACCTATTATCAATAATGTTTATATTGATAATTGTTATTCAGTATATCCTGCATTTCAAAACTAAATAAATCATTCTATATTCAGACATCCCTAAATGCAAACTCCTTTTTAGCTACTGTCTTCCCCTCCTCCTCGCAATCTCGGGAGGGGCACTGGTACTGGGGTGTAGTGGGTGATACGGGATGTAGTGGGGCACAGAAGCTGTAGTGGAGGGTATGGGCTGTAATTTGGAAGCGGGGTGAGGAAATGTAGTGCAGGATAAGATATGCAGTAAGGGACTTGCGGACTGAAGTGGCTCGTTGCAATTGCGGGGAAGGGGCTGTAATTGGGGTATAGTGCCTGAAGTGTGGGGTACGGACTGTAGTCAGGGAATATGGGCTGTAGTAAGGGATAAGAGCAGAAAGTGAGGTGATAGATGCTGTAGAGGGAGGGATAAGGGCACCAATATCTCCCAGCCCCTCATACCTTCCCCCAAAATCTCCCACCCCCTCATAACTTCCCCCAATATCTCCCACCTCCTCATACCTTCCCCCAATATCTCCCACCCCCCATACCTTCCCCAATATCTCCCTACCCCCATACCTTCCCCAATATCTCCCACTCCCTCATATCTTCCCCAACATCTCCAATCCCCTCATATCTTTCCCTAATATCTCCAGCCCCTCATATTTCCCGCCAGTTCTCCCAGCCCCTTATAGGTTCCCCCGATTCTCCCAGCCAATCATATCTTTCCCCAATATCTCCCAGCCACTCATATATCTTTCCCCAATATCTCCCAGAACCTCATATGTTCTCCCAATTCTCCCCCCCCTTCCTTACTTCCCATGAGCCTCCCTCCTGCACAAGCAGTAATCATCAACCTCCCACAACACCCACTCTGCATACAAAGATTCGAGCCCCCCTCCCTGCTGTTTTACCCGTCATAGCAGTGGAGGGGGCTTTTTGAAGTCCGGTACCTGTTGGGTGTCCTTTCTCTGGCAGTGCGCTGTTCGACTGAGCACCGGTTCGTCATGTGACCCCCGACGCTCCCATGCAGAACACGAGGGGGAGGAGCACCCTCATTAGATAGTGCGTGCGGTTTCCTTATGGAGCTGCCGCAGCGCAATATCCTGGTAATGTTTTTTTTATAGTAAGAGAGTTTAAAAAAAATAAAAAATAAAAAAAAAAGTCGGTTACCGGGATATTATATAGAACTCCCAGGCGTCCGGGAGCCGCTATTAAAATATGGGAGACTCCCGGAACGTCCGGGAGAGTTGAGAAGTCTGCTATATTTCATATCAGGATATATAGGATTCTTGGGTAGAGGGGTGAAGGGCAAACACAACTGCCAGATAAGGACATACAGATTTATCGGGACAAAAGTATTTATTAATTAAATCATGAAAGGAACACTATAGTCACCAAAAAACTTTAGCTTAATGAAGCAGTTTTGATGTATAGATCATGCCCCTGGAGTCTCACTGCTCATTTCTCTGCCATTTAGGAGTTAAATCACATTGTGTATGTCACACCTCTCTGCATGTGACTTTCACAGCCTTCATAAACACTTCCTGTAAGTGAGATCTAATATTTACACTTTATTGAAATTACTGTCTAATTTAGAATTTCTTATCTCCTGCTCTGTTAATAGCTTGTAATATTTATCAATACTTCCACTCAAGACGTCATTAGTCTGTAATATGTGTGATATGCGATGCCAGAAGAATTTAAGTAGATATTTTAATTTACATTTTAACATGTAAATTAGACAAATACAATGTAGACTCTATGTGCTACTGAACTCCAAGGAATTTCATAGTTTGCACAGTAACTTTTAGAAGGCACTAACTGCCTGTACTTAGAAAATTGACCCACACAGGACCCCAAGACAGGAAGAACATGTTACAGGATAAATTGTCCCCTTTAAGTTTTTGCAGCTGCTAATTAACTGCCTTTGATGTTATTAGGCAATGTTCCAAGCTAAAAAGGCAGAATTACAAGTTAATCCTACACCAACAGAACAGGCAAGATTTCAATAACGCTCAAATACAGCTGTGGGTTTCAAGGCCGTCACTGACCCTAATGGGACAACGCAAATTCCAAGCTTTTCATTGTTACATTTTTCCCTCATTTAATCCAGATAAGAACCTCAGCAAAAAAAACCCACAAATTCTGAAATTATCATGGGGATAAAAATCCAAACCAGGAGGTCAGAGAACATTATTTGAATTTAATGAACCAAACTCCCAAGACCTTGGCAGTACAAAACAATCATTAGGTCAGTATTTCGTAAAACGATTTTAGGGATAATTTCTTGTTGCTCACAGATTGTTGAGTAAATAGGGGCCTGCGTGCCAGACAAGGCTCTCTGGAGGGAGTTACCGAGGTGGCAGCTGGAGCAGTTGAGCTGCTTAGAATTAAAAATAAAAAGAAAGAAAGATATTGAGGGTCGCAGGACTGGGATTAGTAAGAGCAACAAAGACAAAGAAAAAAAAACTAAGTCAGGTTCAAGAGACAAATAAGCTTTTTATTCTGTATTGTCTGGACCAATTCAAAACAGAGTTTAAAAGTATAGCACTCCTTTTACTAGTGATGTTATATGCTGAATCCACCCTATGTGAAGCTATTTCTTGGAGCCTCTCGAGGGGTGAAAGGGTTAAAACTGAATTTGTGTAGAGAGAATTATTTTCTTTTCAGTGAGATACAGTGTCTGTCTATGGGACTGTTCCTTTGCCATTTGTGTTTGGTACTTTCCCGGTCTACCAGGCGCAAGAGAAGCACAGAAGTGGCTACAGCTACTGCTGCAACAAAACGCATCAAATGTACATACACAAAATTGCAGAGACACTTCACATAAAAAGGAAAAGAAGGCATAGCACTCTTTTTTTTTTTTAAATATAAGCATTTATATTTTTCATTTAAATTTTTAAATTTAATAGAAATTCAGCTTTGAATTTAGGTACAGACAAAAAACATTAGTCGAAAAGCAGGGTGAGCAGTAATATCATTTAAAATGATAAATGTGATTGAAAATTCAAATGTTACACACCCCCTCACCCCCATTTATTTTTGGCAGAATTATAATAAGAATAAAAGAAGTTGAACAAACTAAGTAATACAGGGACAAAAGACTACAGAAAGAAATCTGAACTGGTGCTCTAGAGAAATTGGAAAAATTGTGAATGGCCTTTGAAAAAAAAACAATGCAATACCATCGAAGGGGGACTATGAGACAAAAAAAGTGGCTTCAGACCCACTTTCATGCAAGAGATGTTCAGTGCCATCTTGAGTGGTGAGTGAGGAGAAGGTCTATAAAATAAAAGACTAATATCTTTGTTCTGTATGCAGTATATTGAAGGGACACTATAGTCACCAGAACAACTACAGCTTATTGAATTTGTTCTGGTGAGTAGAATCATCACCTTCAGGCTTTTTGCTGTAAACATTGTCTTTTCAGAGAAACTGCAGTGTTTACATTACAGCCTAGTGATAACTTCACTGGTCACTCCTCGGATGGCTGTTAGAGATCCTTCCTGGGTCATGGCTGCTTAAAATGCATCCAGACATTCAGTATCTCCTCCCTCTGCATGCAGACACTGAACTTTCCTCATAGTGATACATTGATTCAATTCATCTCTATGAGGAGATGCTGATTGGCCAGGGCTGTGTTTGAATCATGCTGGCTCTGCCCCTGATCTGTCTCCTTGTCAGTCTCAACCAATCCTATGGGGAAGCATTGTGATTGGATCAGACTACCACTTCTGATGATGTCAGCAGACTGTTTTTTTTTTGGGCAAACAGCATGCAGAGTTACAGCTTCAGGCTTGAATACAGTAAGATTTTGCTATATTTATGGAGGCATGAGGGACCCAGGGGGGCTAGATGGTGGTTTTAACCCTATAGGGTCAGAATACATGTTTGTGTTCCTGACTCTATAGTGATCCTTTATGGTATAGATGGACACATGTTTTTTTTACAGGGCTTATTGGGTCAAGTTTGCAAATTTTCTATTGTTCCTCAAGCTTTACTTAGAGGGGCAAAATTATTACTTTTTTTTTACCGACAGGTTTTAAAAAGAAGTACATTTAGAAACCTGTAACAAAAGAATAAGATTCGCATGACAGAGAAACCTATGGTAAACAAACTGTTGAATATAATTACCGATGCAAGAGTGGTAGTTTAGAGGCAGTAAATATCCAAAAGAAGATACATTGGGCTTCAATATAGTTTGTGAACTATTTACGGATTACCTTAGACCTTACAGTCAAATTCATTAATCTAAATGTGTGTAAATAAATCTGGGTTCTAGATTATAAACAACGTGTTTTTGAATACAAGCAGCTGAAAGTAAGTGACATGAATTGAGTAATTTTTAGGTCATACACTAATTAGTGGAGTTTAGAATACTACATTTTACTTTGGGGTAGCAGGCAACAGTGTTAAAAATATTAATACATTTGTACAAAATCTCAGTTTTACCTTCTCTGTGACTGCAGTGAGCGCCATGGCGTGGGTCATTAGCGAATCGCCAAAAATGAGCCTCTCTGCTTTGTTCATGTTCTTGACAGATAAGCCGAACACCAGTTCATGGTCAAAACTGAAAAAGGGCAAAAAAAAAAAAATTAAGCCCGTAAATTCTAATGTACGAGAAATTACCTCCTTTTCCCAATTTAGCACTATCTCTTGCTAAATCCTCTAGTACTGGATAAAAACAAATTTATCAGCTTCAGACGTATTTGTAACATTCAACCGGCCTTATCTCTCAATAATTTCTAATCTCCTGCAAACCCAACAATTATTATTATTTATAAAGCACTAACAAATTCTGCAGCGCTGTACAACAAGTGGACTAGCAAACAAGTAGTTGCAACAAGACAAGTTGGACGTGCAGTAACAGAAGGTGCAGACGTCCCCTGCTCAAATTAACATAAATTATAAGGGGAGTGGAGTAAAGAAATTCACAAATGCTTTTCATGATTTATTCTTTATTATTCTCATTGTTGGCTTGCATATTATCACTAATGTTTGTCAAGGGTCTTTACGAAGAGCATTATACAATTGTAAAAATAAATGTATATATGTTAAGGTCTATCATATCACATGCTAACAAAACAAACTCTTTCAATTACCCCTACTTACATATTCATATCGTTGATGCCTAGCTTTCCATGGAAATGTTTACCAACATCACAGCCAAACCACACCGCCTACAAGATTGGGAAAAAAATTGTTATTAAGCATTCCAGAAACGTGCACATGTATGAAATCACAGACAGTTTAATGAGATATGAATTTTATTGTCAGATGATCAGCACACATTATGAGAACAATCTAAAAACAAAGTTTGTTTTGTCTCCTAGAGAAGAGCACAAGGAACAATAGTAATAATTCCACTGACACTCCAGGCTGGAAGAATCTCTAATTCGTAATGTATTATAAGATGTGAATAGAAGAATGTTATATATGCAGCCTATACAATGTATGCAGTTATCATATTGGATTAGTGAAACGGCTGAATACGCTGACCATGAAAGCAGACCGTGTAATGTGACAGTCACACACAGTTTTGTGAACGGGCTGAGTACAGCATTCTCCTGAGCTGCCAAACGTAAATGTGAGGAGTGGATGTTTGGGCTTGCTCAGAGACAGAAACGACATGCAGGAACACACATAAGCAAGCTGGATGGATACAGATGATGGAGGAGAAAGTAAGAATGACTCAAATTAAAATTTATCACAGCAACTATAAGAGCCCTTTCTCTGTATGAAGTCAAATCATTGTACTAATGAGCAATAGTGCAAGGATGAAGACAGACAAAGAGCCTTTTTGCCCCATAAACTTTACACTGTATTTCACTGTAAGTGTCCTGTTATGGTTTTCAGGTGTGTAGAGTTGTCTACAAAAATCATCAGAGAGTAAGCAAACAGAGAGGCAAACACTGTGTTCAAAATTTTTTTTTGAATAGTCTGATGCTTACCTGTCCACAGTGGTTCTAGTCTCGTCAATATAATTAAAGTAAACAAACATTCTCATTCAGAATTATTACATTTCATTCACGGTCTGACAGTGTCAACTGACAATGAATGCATGAAATAAAAAGTTACATAAAACTGATACAGCTAAAGCAGAATGAGAACTTTCACTTTTAAGAGGAGCAGAAGTACTGTGGGCACCAAGTTAAGTGTCCAACCATTCAAAAACAGTTTGACTTGAAGCCTGGGATGGTTCTCCTTAAACCATAAACTGTACAGCAGGCTATAAGCGTCATTGTGCTTAGAGTTTCTCTTTAAAGCGGCTCTATCTGGGTACTTTGCATAAATTGCCAAGATTCCAGGCAGTGACTCAGCTGTTGGGTTGTCTGGTTTCCACGGGGTGCACGGAAAGGTGGGTCATACTTACCTGAACTTGTCCCTTGCGCCACCAGCATGCTCTTCCTGCTTGTCCTCTTCAGCTGCCAGGTGCCCACATTAGTTTTGTACTCTCGCATTTGTGTGAGTGTACAACACCGAGAACTATGGAGAGTCCTTTGTGATACTCCACAGACTAAGCCTCCCCCCCGCCCCCATTTTCTACTAGTGACTGCTGGGGACTTAACAAAAGGTAGCTCTGCCTTATTGTAAAGCACAGGAAAAATACTAAGACAAAAGTAGTCCCTTCGACTGGGTTGAAATTTCAATGTGAGTATTTAATTTTTATACTTCGATATGAAATACTCATTTTGTAGGGGGGTTTACAGTGCCGCTTAAGGATGTTAAAGGTAAACAAAGTAATGAAAATAATCTATTGATACTATGAATTGAGTCACGTTGGATATCGACATTGAGCAACATGATGGCAAATGCAAGGCATAGTTTAAATCCCTTCACTAGGCGTATTGATCACAGATTTGTTTCTTTATTTCGATCTCTGGTCTGCTTGCTTACTTACACAGTCACAAGCGGAAATAATGATGTAATGATTACAAAAGCAAAACCATTTGTTATCACCAGATTACAACAAGCATGGGGAATGACAATATTTAACCAGAATGCTAAACACAAGGGGATTAGTAGAGATTATACAGTTTAGATCCTTAAAGTGAAATTTGTCATGAAGAAAAATGCCTTCGCATACACTGTTGGATCATGCAGGCAAGTGACATAGAAAATACACAACTTGGGTTTGTTTGGTTTATAAGCTCAGTATTATACACCATTCTCGGTCATATCAACTGCATATGATGCACAAAATAAGTGCAATTGATGAAGGTTCTAAACTCAACTATATGGAGAAATTGACATATGCTTAACCCCATAAGGACTAGGCATTAGACACTGCTTTCATTACAATCTGGTTTCTAAATAACTTACGCCCGCATAGAATATCCTGTTTATCTAGCTCTGGCTGCTCCACGAAGACATGCTGTCATTTATTGAATGATTCATTCATTTTATGTTTGAAGAGTGTCTTTTAAAGGGCACACTAGGCAATGTAACCACAACACCTCACTGAAAAGGCTGTGTTACCTAGAGTGACTTGGCATTGTTCCCCCATCCAACTTGGACTGCACTCATTGGCTAAAGTTATTGGCTATCAAGCCTTTAACACTCTTAACCAATCAATGTTATCCAAGTTGGTGGCAAAAAAAGCTCCGGTTTATGCTTAACTCTTTCTAAATGGTTTACCATTAAAACAGGCAATGGTGTTATGCATGTGCTCCCTTACATAACGCTTGCCTCCCCTACCTTACCGAGCCATAACCTATACCCCCATGTCCTTCACTCCCACCCTGACAAAACACAGTGGGATAATACCTACCTGTTCCTACATTAAAGGCAGATATGCATGCTCGCACGGGGCCCACGAAGGTATACATATCGCAAATATACATACTTCAAGCCTACTCATTTAAACTTGCACACACGCATGCATCATTGCTCTTGCAACATACTTTCTTAACTATGTGACATACCGAAAAGTCTAAGCCTGTTTTTGGATGCTAAAGTGCAAGTTTCCATGCCGCTGCCTCATTAATATGCTAGTATAAACGCTGCAGATTTAATCCTATTGTTGGCTTATATTACTGTCTTCCAACTTGATGTCAAACCAACAGTTTTGCCTTTCGCTAAGCCTGAATGTTTTAATTTAAAAATTGTGCTGATTCAACCTATGCCATATATATGTTAGATACAAGTTGTCGGTACCTGCTATTGTGGCATTACCTGCATGTCTGTAAACCTTATGCACGCAAAAAAACAAAATAAAAAAACAAAACGGGCGATGGTGCCAGGACAATCTAAGCAACATAGCCATAAACACTGACAGAGTTCATCAGGATTCCTCCTCAAATGATTACAAAAATTACACGCTAGTCATCAAAATATATAAATATATATTTCCAACAAAACTGAAGCTGTTAGAGGAGTCTGTCTATCTGCTTGTGCATGTGGGTTTTATCCTTTTAAAGCAGTAAAAAGGAATCACTCAAGAGACTGAATTACTATTTTCACAATATATGAACATTTTAAAGCGGCACTGTCACCGCTTGGGGACCCTGGCAAATTTGCAAAGTCCCCTAACGGTGACATTGATGCTGGTGGTCCAGTGGCCAAGGTGGGGGTAGGTAAAAGTGAGTATAATTACTTGAAACTGTCCCTCGAGGGCTCAGCCATCTTGATCTGGCAGGGTCCTTTTCAGCGCTGACATCACTGCTGTACTTTTGTGCATGAGCGAGAGTACAGCATTGAGGTCTACGGGGGATTGCGCGAGACCCTCTGCAGACACAGCCAATTCCCACAGCAGTCACTGATGACAGCTTCAGGGATTGACACGAGTCTAAGTAAATCAGGCAGAGTAGAAATACTATCTTTAAGGAATACTCATTTTTAAATGGAGGAGGAGGGAGGGTTTATAGTGCCGTTTTAATCTACAAACTGTCAAATTGTAACTATAATTACACTCAACAGGTGGACAGAGACAGAGGAAATCCATTTCAGACCTGTGACATACATGTAGTTGGATGTGCATCCTACAGACCAATAAGCCAGCTTCAAATGCAGTTCTCTTAATAGATACATTTTCTAGCAGTTCCACCAGCACAATGTATGGAATATCTGTAACACGTGACAGACTGACTCCTAAATAGACTTGACTCTACAAATGTATTTCCCCATGCTGCAAGCTTTGATGGTTTTGGGGTAGGACTTACCTCTCCATCTTTAATTGACAAAGCAGCCATCTTTTTTAGAGTTTCAATAGGCTGGTTATTGTATGTGGTTTTCCGTCCTTCCACCATATTTCCCAGGTATTGCACAGTGTACAATTTTCCAAAGGCATTCTGTGGTCTGGGATCATTCACAAGGCAAACCTGCAAGGAAATAATTAACTGTTATAATCAGCCTCAGCAACCCTGAGTACAGAACTGTATATAACATTTACATGCTGAGGTCTGCACCTTTATTATGTATACCCCTGCTTTGGATAAAAAAAAAGAAAACTCCAAAAACAAAACATGAAAAGAAACAAAGCGCTAGAAAATTGACTTTTTTTTCCCCACTTAGCAAAACACTTTTCTGTTCAGGGTATTTTTGTCAATGTTGAAGTCATGATCAGCTTCACTGGATATGCTTAAGTGGTTCATACTTGCTTAAAAGGATACTCCAAACCCCTAAAGCACTTTAGCGTGCGGAGATGATTTAGGTGTGAAGAGTGTGTTCTATTTTTTAAATTTTAGGCAGATGTCAATATAAATTGGAACTTTTAGAAATTATTACACTCCCCAACACTGGCTTTCGAGGAGGCAACTGGTCCGGTTACTGCATTATATTTAAGTTCAGTGGAGATTAATGCGGAAAGTACCTACTTTGCAAAGAATTTTCATTGAACCACCTTTGAAAAATCTGTGATTGGACAGCCACAGAAAGACTGGATGGGGAAGAAGGGGAGGGCTTCTAAAGGCTCTGTATACAATAGATCTGCAGCTTCTGCAAAATGTTTTTAAATATAACCCCAATGAAAAACTGCATAATTAAATGCATGAAAGTTTTCATTTGGGGTATATTATTGGGCAGACTAGATGGGCCGAATGGTTCTTATCTGCTGTCACATTCTATGTTTCTATGTGTCTATATCTACTAAACAGTGATTTTGTAAATTTAGGAAGTGGAGGGTCCCTTTAAGCTTTGTTCAGCTAAAAGTTGACAGAACATTTCAATTTGCCAAGTCAGCCGGTTGGGATATACCATTTACCAAGCAGTCCCATGTTTTCCTGAACGGTCCAGGTTGGACTAGTCATTAACATGGACCTGGTTCAAGAGGTCAGGAGACTTTCAATGCATTTTGCATTAGACATACCAGCAACTGAGATTGTGAGATCTGGCTTTGTTTACAATTTGGGACAAGTTTCTCTTTTGTGAATATTCAAAGATGAGAAGCCATTGCTATAGGGCTATATTCACACCATGTCTGAAAACCTTTTTCAGGATTCTAGTCAGTCAAAGGTGCTTTAAGCTATACCGACCATGATGCTCATAAAACAAACCCAGGTGGGTAGTAGGAACTTTTAGTGTACAGGACCAAGGCATTGTTGACGTAAAATATATATTTTTTTATTTATAAAGAGGTTTTCCATTTTCAAGCAATATTCAAAGACCTTCTCTTCCAGGCTGGCAGTTATTTAATTAAGATTTTTTTAGGTGTCCTTATAAACGGGGTCTTTTACCAATATCATTGTACATGTCCACAGACAGTACATTAATTAAGTAGGATATTTCAGGAAACATTACAACATAGTTACAATATAGCAAATCTTGAACACAATTCGTAATTTTTTATTACGACATAACTTACCCATTTAGGGATGTGCATGAGTAAAAAAAAAAAATTGGGTTTGGTTCTCAAATTCAGGTAAGTAAAAAAAAATTGTCTGCTTCGGCAATTCGGACCAATAGCATTCGGTTCAGTTTGGCACTGCCAAACGTAGTCACTCCGGAGCTTCGGATATTCGTAAGCATCCGAATGGCATGAAATTCATATGAATGTACATTCAGAACGAAATGAATTGCACATTTCTATCTCATTTCATTGGACAGGGAATAGTGAAACCTAATTGGGCAAGCAAGCATTACACTGCAGAAAAGGAATTAGCTTATTGGTCAAGATTCCAGTCGTCACTCACGTAATTTTCCCTCCCTTTCTCTTGTTTTGCCATTTTTCAGAAATCCGAATCACTTCTGCACTTTGGAGCTTCCGAACTTCAACACTTCGGACATTCGTAAGCATCCGAATGGCATGAAACTTGTACGAATGTACATTCGGAACAAAACAAATTGCACATGTCTAAGTGAAAGGCTTTACTAGAACTGACCATGTCGAAAAATAGACCATCTCATTTTGTAATGAACTGCTCTGCCTCAAATACATTGAGAAGTAATACTGCAGTGGAGGCTTCTCTAGAGGGGCACTTGGGGCACCTCAGTTTATTTGGGTTTTTATTTTAAGAAGTTGTTTGTAAACTAGATTTAAAGCAGGTAGTGTGCCTTTAACACTTGTTTTCATGTTGCATTCGGTGTGAACTGTGTGTAAAAATCAAAAAATTATCAGACAGGTAGGCTTTAAATAAAACTACCTTTAACCTTGCCAAAGCAGGTTTACTCTACTAAAAAAATAAATACATTTGCAAACACCATTAAAATTTTGGAGAAAGGAATGGAATGCAGAAAGGAATGCCAATATGTAGATTTTCAATGCAGTACTACATACATTTAGTTCTGTTTCCTTTGCAACAATGCCACACCATTTAAGTTGAAATTGAGAGACATCAAAATGTATAGAGCATGTTCCGTGACAAACCTGCAGGACTTTTCATGGGTCAGAGCGATGGACTTACAAGATAGACTGTTGAACAAACAGCTGAATGGGAAGTGACTGGGTGGGTGGGATATTGTTTTAATCTGGTAAGCAGGAAGACTGATTACATTTACTGAAACCGGAAAGGGGAACTGGATGGATAGATGTAAGGAAGTTTCTTCTCTCTTTTAAGCTCTACATTTTTATCAAATGTCAGTTATAAGAAGGGATGCTATCTGTATAGATACAAATGTGCGGGAATCAATGGATTACGTCTTAAATTGCATTTCGATTTTTAATCCTGTTATAGGAGCAACAAAATATTTACCAGCTTAATGGTGTTTTAAACTGTAAACTAGAAAACATTTAGGGAAGCAAAAATCAAAATATATTTAACATGCAATTAAAAGGAGACATGTTGCATACAGTACATCATGTGACACGTGTGGCAGGCAGATTGGTGTGGATTCATCCTGTAACAAACTGTAGCATGACAAGTGCAGGAAGGTGGCAAAATAATGAGAAAACGTATTGATCTAGATCTGTACTCTCATCCATATCATAAAACAAGGCACAGAGTAGATAGGGAGAAAGCCTTTACTGTATAATGTAGTTTCTACCTTAAGTGGCGATGCATGCTGGGGAAATCTAGGACCAGGTAGGCAGGAAGACTGAGAAAGAGACAAATTTTGCTGCATATGACTGCAGCTCTTATCAGTGTCACATGACAAATGTTAAAGGTAGGCAGACCTCATCTTGTACCTGTAACATGTAGAAAATCTGGGGAGTTTGTTACAGAGAGTTGCTTCTATTTCTATATTATGTAAAGAATCAGTGCATCTCTATGAGGAAAGTTCAGTGGATGCACGCAGAGGGTGGAGACACTAAATGGCAGCACTGCTCCAGGAAGCACCTCTAGTAGCCATCTGAAGAGTGGCCAGATGAAGTATCCCTAGGCTGTAATGTAAACACTGCATTTTCTCTGAAAAAACTATGTTTACACAAACTGGTGACTTTAGTGCCCATTTAAGGTTTTAATATTGGCCTGTGACTATCTAGAACGTTCTTTCAATGTTGTGCCCCCACCACCAATTTTTTAACATTAAATTTACTTTGTTATTTTGTTGCGCTGGTTCTATAATGCATAAACAGTTGGCTGATCCTCCCGAGACACATATTTGATTGCATTCACACACTGATATTAAACAGACAACTTTTTGAAACTGCAAACTGAAGTTTTTTTTCTCTCTTAATCACTATCGAAAACAACAATAAAGATATTGCGTGGGAAAGAGATAACCATGTCTACAGCAGTTGATTCCTAGAAATTTCAACCCTGGATGCTTCAGCTGAACCCACCCATCACATATTGTTTGAATAAGTTAAACTTTGAAATCATCAGCAAATGATATTAAAAGATATATACATCTAACATGTAGGCATCTCTCCACAATAATATAACAAGCATACCAGGAATTACAGGATATTGTTTGAGTACTTGGCTTGAACAATGTACAGATGGAAATGGATGTTCTTTAAAGTGACAACAAGCCATATTAGTTCTAACAATGCCACATGTATTGCAACACAATAAAAAAAAAAAATAAGGCAAAAGCTAGGATTCTCTAACTCAACATAAGTCACAATATATGGATCAATAATACATAGATTCATAATTCTTGTGGTTCGTTAATTAGGAAACATTCAATAATAGGTTTTTTAAAAATTTTTAAAAAAAATCTATATTTCACCCATATTGCCAGGCATATTGCAAATTAAAAGTACTGTTAGTGAGGCTAGTGGAACCAACTCGCCTTGTCTTCCATGTTGTAAATAGGTTTAACATGCTCCCTGTAGAATTCCTGCGGGGTCACTGGTCCAATCTTGTGAAAGATCTTCTCCTTGTCTCGAAACTCCCAAGTGAATGTGTCTGGAGGACTTCCTAAGCAGACACTAACCACTCTGTACACCTGGTAATGAAATGGAATGAATTAAAACAGCCATCAATATACACATTTGGAGCAGTTTATATCTTTAATGTTTTAGAACATACATCCCTGTCTGAGTAAGCAGGCTTTTTTTTTTTTTTTTTAAACTGGTTCTGGTACGTCTGAGATTTAGATTTTTGCTTCTCAGAATTTGCTTTAATAGTTTTGGAGATATCAAAGATGGCATACTTTGTGTGTTAGGTTTCATAAATATCCACTTATCCTGGGTTCATCTCCCTGTGTGTTAATGTCTCAACACCAAGTTATATCACCAAACAACTGCATGAGATTGTGGTTCAAAATCCAATAAAAAGTACAATATTTCCAGGAACAACGCCAAAACCTCATCTCTCTCCCAGTCTCCGCATTCAAATTGGGATTCTAAACATCCACAAAAACCACAAAATAAAATAAAAATCCAAAGGAGCCTTACTAGGCTACTGCCATTAAAGAGTAAGTAACTGTTCTAAATATTTACATAATAAGCTTTATATATGCTTGATTGTGATTTCACTTGTATTTTAAATTTAGACGTTTAATCATGTGCTTACAGGTGTCTGCAGACTACGAAGGGAAGTGCCTTCAGATTGCATTTTATAATTAAGCAATGGGGAAACTAACATAATATCACCTTGTGTAACAGGGGCTGGCAGGGATTGACAATACACCTTATGTTCTATCATAAATCTTCTGATTTTCTTTACCACTTAAGGTAATTTGGTGTATTCTGATATCGTTTTGCAAGACAGTAACCAACGGAGAAGATTCCAATCTTTCAAAAAGACTCAGGCTGTTCCTGTTAAAGTATAATCTTTGTGCCAATTCTGTAATCCTGCACGGTACAATGCACACGTAAAACCGAATAAGCAGCAAATATTTTTAACAAAATTAAAATAATGTAATTATAAATGCGTGTGAAAGCCCCTTGATGGGCTATCAGAGATCTAAAGGGGAAGTTAATGCCCTACTGTTTTTGTAAACAGAGTAACGGGGAATGTAAATCCAGATATTGCAGGGTGCATGTGACTAGCTTGAAGCTCTGCAGAACAGGATGCTGGCGTTCTGAGATTACAGTCAATAAATATTGTGTTATTAAGGGCACATGGGCAGAGGATGAACTTACTAGACAACAAACTGCTGTTTCTTTCAGCTACAGGCAGCAGATTGGGATCTTGGGAGTGTGTCTAAATTACGCCCTAATCATTTAGCATACCTAAAGTCTTTCCTCTAGTATATGAAAACATGTGCAGAGACTAAACATATATAATTGGGTGGCACAGTGCATATAGCCCACATATTATTAGGAATCCACAGACTATTATATTGGCACTCCAAGTGTCATAACTACTTAACTTATTATGGAGGAATAAATTCCTTGCATTACAGTGGTATGTTCCCACCCTTATATCCATCAAAGAGGGCAGCTGTTTCCATTTTGCCTAAGAAACAGGTTTTCTTTGAGAGTGCGTGTACCACAGATTATGTATATACAATATTCCATCTATCAAATAGGGGCGCATTCACTGGTCTTTACAGTGCAGAAAAAACATTTTATTAATACAAACCATACAGATGGAAAGTTTCAGTATCACTGATATTTTATTAATTCTTTATTTTTGCAGTGCAAATATGTAACATAACTCACATGTGGCACCCGAACGGCAATCCACATCCTTTTTCAGGAACAATTGTAACAGTGGGGTACATGTTGATACTTGCACAGTTTTATATTAATATGAGATTTAGCAAGATCGGTCCTGTTTCCATTTTATGGTATATATTTGCAATTACACTGGTGAAAAATAAAAGTAGCAATGGTAGAGTAATTGTCAAATATGGCATATCCTCTTACTGATAAGAGATAGGTACTTAGTGTGATTAGTCATGTTAAGGTAAGGGATACAGTGAGCAGGAGCTGTCTAGTTCGACCTGTCTAGGCTGGGGCACGTGTGTTTGGTGGGACAGACCGGCTGGCCAAACGTGGGGATTTATGTACAGGGTAATGTCGCTATAAAACAGGTTAAGCCTGGCCGTCAGTACCTAAACACACTTGCATGTTAATATGAAGTTGCTTGAAATCTAACCTTGAGTGTGTGATTAGTCAAAATTATATCAAAAGGGGACAACAGGTCAACATAATTTTAAGAGACTGAAAGTCCATGCCGTATTGCAGAAGTGATCTCCCGTGCTCGGGTGAAATTTTGGCTTCTGTCCGCAGAGTAGTTCGAGGTCAGCCGACTTCCGATCTGCATAGCCGCTGGGGCTGCGTATAGGCTGCGTGTGGGTCTCCATGCCCATATGGCTATAATAGTAGCTAGCTTACGTGCATTGTCCAAGGCTGGAGTAGAGCGGGGCGTTGTAGTCCTCTGAGCGATGGGGTTGCTTCTCGGTCTCACGCGATGTCAGCAGCCCGTTGACAGAAGGGTGAGTGAGGCTGCTATTTATGGACAGGGATGACCCCCGCTGGTCCTGGGGGGTGAGGGGGAGGGAAGGATGTCACCGGGGTCCCAGACTTGTTAATTCGCCTGGAGAGCAGCCGTCTCTCCGTGGTTGAGTCTCGTAGGCCGCAAGCCTCGGCGTGTACGGGCGAGTGTGCAGTGGCTCAAGAGAGGTATCGTTCGATGCGGCAGCCTCTCCCGGTTACCGGTTTGCTGCTTGTGGGTGTTTGTGGCTGGGTGTGATAGGCATGGGAGCTTGCTCTGAACACTTCTGGACTGCTTGGCTCCGCCACCCTAGTATCACTGATATTTTAAATTAATGTTCACATATGCTGTAGCCCTCTTTTATGGGTTTCTGTTCATTTTTGATACCTTTGTAATCTAACACTTTCTAGATGGGTGTACCTTAAGTATTCTATCACAGAGTATTCACTTTATGTTTGCACTCTATTGCTCAGCATTTGGTGAATTTTGGACACGGACACCTTTTTCGAGCTCGTGGGGTGTGATGTCTATTCACAATGCTTTGCTTTCCTTTTTTTGGGTTATTTAAACGTTATTGTTCGGTGTATACATGGTCTGGAAACCAAGTGAGGATTGAAACATTGACCTGTATGTGAAATTTGGATTAATACATGATATTATTCTGCATTGTAAAGACCATTAACTGGTCTTTGGGTAATGCTTTAGACTGGAGAAAGGGAGGTTCCCCTAAAAGATTCTCATTCCAGAATTCTGTTAGTCTAATAATAAAAAATAAAAAAATTGGACTAATATCTACAATATTCTGCACTCCCCTTACAAAAATTTATATAATTTTAGGAGTGCACCCGTTGCTATTTTGCCGTTTTTTATAGATTTAATGCGCGTGGCACCCAGACAGAATTTATAGAATTTTTTTAAGTGGAGTGCCGAGCTTCTTTACATATATCCAATATTAGGTGGAGTGTTAAACCTACTTGTGCACCCCTAGAGTGAGCCTTATTGGCAACAACGTGAACTGTTTTTCTATGGACTACCATTGAGGTTGTTTTTTTTTTGACAATCTTTAATTTTTTGTTTTGGTATATGTAGACATAAATATCAACAATAGAGAACGGTCAGTTACAAGGTAAAAGCAAGCATAGGGTAGAATGGAAAATATGTTTGTTGGATCTACAATCTTTATGGCAATCGTTATGCAGATTTTCCAAAACTTACTTCTCCCTCCCCCCACCTCTCTGTTGTTAATACAGTAAGAGTTACAAAATAGAACATTATCTCAAAAACCCAGTTAGCTGTGCGATAACTTCAGATCAGTGTACCATGGAGGATGTTTTTGTCTAGATCTGGTGCTCTGGATGAAACAGCTGAATAGCTCTCCATCTCAGAGGAACAAACCCTGACTGTCCTAGGGCCACAGACCCCAAAGGACTTTTGTCACACTAATACTGCTAAAGATTTATATAACGATCTACTAAAGTTGAAAAAAACTGATAACAGATTTGTATCTTCATGGAGTATTCATCTCTGACTACTATAGAGCTAAGAAAATTCCAAGAGATTTTAGGGTGAAAAATGCACCCACATTAGGACGTCAAAACTCAAAGTTTTGCACGCGCTGGATGAATATTGCAAATAAATGTTTAGACTGGATGGTCATGGTAGTGGAGGAAGTCAACAAGGAACTTTTTTCTTTTCAAGAATTTGAAGCATCTAATGCATTCACAATACAATTAATAAAGATGGCATTAATAAATATCAGAATGAACTGATAAGTTTTTTTTGTTGTTTTTTTAAATGCTTTATTTTTTGTTGTGCATAGAGGCAAATACAGACAGTCTTACAGTGCCACAACAGCAAGCAAGGAGAGCATATAGTATGCAATGAGTATGTGGCTTAAAAATTTCTGCACAATTAATATTATGTAATAGAACAGGCTAGTTACACATGTCTAGATTCAATTGATATCTGCTTTGAAATAAAACTGTAGAGAAGACATGGGTGGAATAGGGCAACCGCTTAGTATACCACCCCAGACTGTTCTGGGACATATTGGAGACATCCTTAACAACCTGTATATAATATAGATATAAACATATGGTATGGGCAAGGAAGAGAAAGGGAAATAGTGTAGATCTGTTACTGGGCAAGAGGGACCATGTAGTAAACAGTGGAAAGGAGCATAACCTGCAGCTCAAACATGGCGGTCAGCCGATCCCCAGTACAGGGAACTCATAGTCCCACATCGTATGGGCCTCCTTCCTCGGAGCCAATGGAGTCAGCTGCGGGTTCCGGTTCTGCATTTGCTTCCCCCCTTTCTTGATTCACCTCCCACATGTCTTCTGAGGGTGCAGTGCTAGCAGGTTCGTCGGCATTCCGCCGTATTCGCAGCTGCTTTTCTGAGGTGTCGCCGATGCGGCCTTCACCGTCTCTGTCGCGTTGGGACCTTGATGGCAGTAGCCAGATGATATGGGGTGTGTCTAATCAGTTTGGAGGGAGCCACTCAGGGCTGCGGTGCAGGTAGGGTCAACTTACTCTCCAGCTTTTTCCAGAAAGCAGCAAAGAGTGCTTCCAGGTGGTGGTGAAGAGTGGATGTCTCTTCATGTGACTCCAGGTGTCCCGTGGCACCCGCCATTATACATACATCTCTGGCGATATCTTCGGCGTATAGTGCAACGCCACAAGTCCATGCTAAGTGTTGGCAGCCGCCAGGGTGGGGACCGGGATCACCCCCACTGGTCCAAAAGGGGGGGGGGGCAGCAGGGCATCAATATCACGCTTGGGGCTATGCCTGCGCCTGTCCGGGAGAGTGGCCGCCTCTCCCCTCCAAAGCGCCTGCTAGTCCTCATTTTGCTTTGGCCACTAAAGTGCTCGAAAGGACTGCCGGGCACGGTCCCTGATCTTTCTGTCACGTCGTAATACGAAGAGTAAGTGTCAGGCTTAGAAATAGTTGCTGTATTGGTACCGAATTTCGATTTTGTACAGTGTGTCTCAGGGCGCTCCCTAGAAACACATCCAGTCGCCATGCTGATTAGGCCCCTCCCCCCCGACCTAGAACGTTTTGAAAGACAAAAAAAGAAAGACTTGACAAAGTCAGTCAGGACTATAAATATCAAGTTTTCGGTTGACTCGGCGGCACTGAAACCACCAAAGCTCAGGTGAATTAGCGTCAGATGCTGAAGGATGAAGATAATACCTCTAAAATCTATGGGGGTTTTTTAGAAACAGGTGCACATTGACCTGGGGCATGTGGATGATAAGATTGCAACATTTTTGCACGTACCAAATCTGAAACACCTGGTCCTGTACACACTCCCTAAAATACATACAGACATGAACAATCTCCCAGGAAGACAGATTGTGTCAGCAAGAGAGGGTCTAATTGAACCATTTGCCAAATATGTCAATTTTTGTCATCAAAGACTGGGTGATATCCCTACCCACATGCTTGAAAGACACTCTGGATTTTCTTAAACATATTTGTACAATAACCCTGGATGATGAGGAAACACTACTAATCACTTTAGGCTCTTAAGGAGATTTTATGCTCCTCTACTTCAGACATAGGTCCCCCGAATGACTCTCTCATAGAATTTCTGTTTGAAAACAACTTCTATCTAAAACAAGCAGTAGAGGAGGGTGATGGCACCCTCATATGTGAATGCCTTTATGTATTGGATTAACAAAAATACATCAAGTACAAAGTGAAGACATTGGAACAACTATGATTCGTGGATGACATCTTCCTCATCTTGTGTGGGACTGCTGTAGAATTGGGTCAGATGGTAGACAAAGTCAATCAGTCCCCACTTCCTGTTAATTTGAAACTTGTTTGGCATCAGTCATCTATACAATTTTGTATGTGACTCTTTGAGACCCAAGGCGAATTGAGGTATAGATTGCACCGGAAGCAAACAGACCATAACACCTTTCTTTTGGCCTCCAGTCTTAATCCAGAACACCTCTTTGCCTATATCACAGTTTGAGGGTTTTGAGGTACAATAGTGAAACTATCACTCGAGAATCACAAGTACAAGATATGTGGAATAGGTTCCTTGCTCGAAGATCCTCAAATCCTGGCGATGACCAAAACCAAACTACAGAACTGTGGTCCCAGGAGAACCAAAAGACAGAGACAAATAATATCCAGCTGAAAAAGATGTTTCTACCAATGGCTTTTCACACTGGAACAATGAAGATTAGACAATCTATTCATAAACATTGGGACATTTTAAGTTTGGATAAAAATGTACCACCAGTGTTTTTGGAATATCCCATTGTAAACTACAAAAGAAACAAAAATCTCCAAGTCCAGCTAGTACGAAGTGATCCAGTCCATTGTTACAAAAAAAATGCCCATCGTGGTCAAGAAAGGATGTTTCAAGTGCAGTGGCTGCATCATGTGTAGTCATATTTATTTATCAAATATTTTACCAGGAAAGATACATTGAGATTTCTCTCATTTTCAAGTATATCCTGGGTCCACAAAACATTGCATTTATACAATAGGGTACAATAAAATACAAAAACAATATAAATACACTAAACAAAATTTAACATAGAAGAGATAGGAAATATATAATCAACCATGACAGGTGCATTATGTTTTGAGATATGTAGAGAGGGATCTCTTAAAGGACTTTAGGCTTGGGGAAGATTTAAAAGTGTGCGGGAGGTCGTTCCATAACTGCAGTGCTCTGTAAGAAAAGGAGGATCGGGCCGCTTTCTTTTTGTATTGAGGCAGACTAAATTATAGGAGGTGAGAACAGCCAGGAAGAGCATTCTGCTCAGGTAGGATGGGAGCTTACCAGAAAAGCTCTTAAACACAAGGCTGGAAAGATGAAGGGTGGGCTGGATTCCAGTGACAGACAGTTTAGTTCTTTTAGCAAGTCACAATGGAGGGTCCTGTAATTACATTGTAGCACAGATCATGATGAGTGGGTCCTCATTTGCACATCCACACAGTGGAAACTGATCCCTATACAACAGTACATTACATGGACCACGACAACATCATTTATATGATCCTTGTGGACTTTCGTAAGTGGGTAATACCAACCTTACACTTAGGGGCCGCATTAGGGGGCACTGTTCAGGGATTATCACAGTTTTTGGAGATCAACGAACTGACAAACATGTGGCGAACATCGTTTGCCTAACCTTAGACTCAGGGCCATTTACCAGGTTCCCCCCACTATCTCGTGGAGGGGATATGTCTAAAATCCTACTACAATGTAAGCGAATTGCATCCAGCGCTTGGACACGGTGGCCCTCAAAGGACTTAATGAAAATTTGATTTACTCTATGTCTGATGTATGGCTGCAATGTTTTTCTTACCTAGTGTTTTTTGCTTAGTATTTCTTTTTTCATAGTTTTCTCTTATCTATTTTTGAGGCTTATGTCCAGACATTTGTATGGTATAAAATAGGTTATGTTTATTCCTAGAGTACTCTCATCATATTGTTTGAACACTTATACTTTTTCCTTTGTTTTTATCCTTCGCCTGGCTGATAAATTTAGTCTGTTGCCAGTTCGGATATTTTTTTGGTTTATTTATAAAAAGGATTCCTTGAGTTTATATCTATCCATTTGGATCTGGTTAAAACATTTAGTCTTTGGTATTCATATGTAATAAATAAATAAATAAATAAATAAATAAATATACACACACACACACACACACACATATAAATGTATATGGTTTGTGTACATTTTGTGTATCCATTTGGCTCTAAGTTTATTTAAATGTTTATTTTATTATGCACACATTAATTGTATGTGTGCATAATAACTTATGTTGTATAATATATATAACTAATTTGCATATGCCCACCCAGAATCCTTTGCGGTTGTTACATCACTGCTGATTTGGGATTTCTGTGGGAAAAGCAAGTCTTATGGCTTGACTGGTGTGCAGATTTTTGTTTAGCATTGTATTAACTATCCACATACTTCAGGTGGAAGGGGTTTTCAATCACAATTTTTCCCCACCATAACCTGTTTGGATTTTAATATATATATATATATATATATCTCCCCAGCACTGTCACAGTGTTTTAGACACACTTACGATTTGTGTTCACTTATGATTACACTTTGTTTACATCACTTATTTATTTTTATGCACACACAACTCACTCATATACCACCTTTACTTTGCACACTCTGATTGCGCTGGGCCCTAGTTGTATTTATTGTTTATTGCAGACTATTCTGTCCCTGCATGTAGTTCATGATTGCTGTTCCATTTGTATACACAAGTCACCTAACTACCACTGACACTTGCCTGGTCACGTAATTACGCATATGTTTGTACATCACATGACCTCTCCATGCACTTCTGGGTTCCACTCGGTGCTGAGAGCTGTCCTCACCTCATCGGTAAGTCACTTATTATCTATATAAATTTTTGCACTGTAACACCTTTCATTGATCTTGAGAAAGACCCTGAGAGGTTGAAACGATCATATCCCAGATGTAAATTTTTTTATTATTATTATTATACACCTATGCTATTTGGAAGACTATTACATATAGCAAATCTACTGAAAACAATGAAAAATGTGGATCGGATGATAAATCCAAACAGACAATACAGAGCTGCAGGGAAATGCATGGGTACTTTTTGCATCCACCTAAAAATGTAATCTTTTCAGTTTATTAATGTGTTATTGCAATTGTGCATTAAAAGAATAGAAAAATACCCCCAAAGTACTAACAGTGATCCTTGGGTTGCTTCAAGGTATGGGATAGAGTGGGAATGTGTACAAATACGTTATGTTTAAATGGAAACAGTTAGTAAAAATATAGCTTCTTGTTTGTCAGGTGACACAAGTCATGATGTGGAATATGTAATAACAGAGTTTCATCAGTCATGTATAAAACAATTAACATTGATAAGCAAGATAATTATCGTGAAGTTTGGGGCTGAGGAAAATGGCGTCTTTGCTGGTGCACTGCTAGGTTCTGCTCCCAAAAATAGTAAGTTTCTTCAAGCATTCATCATGTGTCTTATACAAACAGATTTTCTGTACATTCTAAATCCTTATTTTATATATATATATATATATATATATATATATATATATATATATATATATATATATATATATATATATATATATATATATAAAAAAAAAATAATAATGTTTTATTACAAATCACCCCAGTTCATGCAAGTTGGTCACAACTATCATGGTCACGTGATGTGTGAATAAGCAGCAGATGATTACTAGGCAGGATCACAAGAGTGTAAATAAAGCTACAGACTGTGTGACCCTGGTGAAGAGAGAATGCCCCAGTTTAACCCAAAAGCCTAGCCTACCCAGCAGATGAGCACAGGTTTTTCACTTGACAATTCTTCCTGGTTGCCAAGCAGAGAGAGGCCAGGTGTTGTAAAAATAAGCAGGTTGTATGCTATGTACATTCTTTACATTAGCGTGGACAGATCTCTGCTCACTTTCACGATATATCCTCGGGAAAGCCTGTAAGAATGACATGTTTAACGATATAGGAGAAAACCGTACCTGACAATTCCATAGGCAGTGGGGTAATACTGCAGATGAAGCCAAAACAATCTTTTATTTCATTTTCTTTATGGGATCTGTTCAGTTTACTACTAGAGTGGTGAGATGGGTAATGCATTTATTAGGCTTCTGGCATTTTTCTTCTTGTCAAAGCCAGGAACTATAGTTTACAAAGGACCACCCACTCCCATAAAGGACTTTAGCTTGTTTAAGTACTTTATGGGTGATGACTATCTATTTAAAATTCCACTTTATAAAAGTATAGATTTCTATGGGGGGAGAGGGGGGAAATGCACTTTTATAATGAAATAGCTCCCTGTGGAGGTTTGCATCTCCTCTTCTTGAGTGCACCTACCTTCTCCCAAATTCCTCCTCACAGACTCACATCAGACTCGCTGAACACTGATGCAGTACACACAGGTGCACATGGACAGGTTTAGAGGCTACAGGTTACGGAAAGTCACTACTGACGAAGAAGAGGGATTGCAGAGGCTGCAGTTATAAGAACTGCAGCTTTTGCAAACTCTCCTTAGATAAACTCCCAATGACAACATGCAGCAAAAAATAGAATATATCTACTATTTCTTCTAAACAGTGATCAGGTAAGGCAGTGTACATGAAGATATTAAGTACAGTACACAGCGTTGAGGAACTCCAAGAGAGGTACAGTATGGGAGGAGCCAGAGTAAGACACTAAAGGGGAGACTAGATAGGTAGGAAGAGAACCAGGAATGAGCTTGGATAGAATGGTAAAGCAAAGGGTGAGGAAGAAAAGCAGCAGAACGATCAAGAAGAATTAGTAGCGAATAATGGCCTTTATACCACTTATTCTACATTAGGAAGCCACTCCTGTGTAGCCATGACAGAATAGGGATAGTGATGGGGACATTTGAGAGAGAGCCAGGGACAATTAAATCAAGTAACTATTTTTGTGTCTTGGAAATGTATTGGTCCCATTAAGTTTCTGGTCACCATGACTATGTATCAGAAGAATGGTGGTAGATAAACGTGTTTAAATACATGGGGGAAAAGTTACTGATCAGAACTTTGAAACTAGCTTACAATGTACTGGTTAGATATTTTCCAAGTGATTAAATATTTTTTTCCCTTCCGATGAACTCCCAAGAAATATTTGATGCAATACAAAGTTTATAAAGCTCTTGGGACCAAATCTGGTACTCAAGATAACGTTCCATGCAGGGTTTTGTCACAGTCAGAAACATCAAAATTATGAGCAGCATAAACCCAATTTAGATCACATTGTTTACAACTGAAATGTGGTACCCATGATTAAAATGTTTATTAACCCCTATGGACCAATCACATGCCAAGCATGTCCTGATATATAGGAACATAATCCTGGTCAAGTGGTGAAGTCAAAGTCACAATTGGAAAAAAGAAGTCCTTCCCAGTCCGTAGCAACTTTCCAGTAACTAAGAATACATTTCCTCTGTCCTCATCACTATTTTTCACCATGGTGATATCTACAGATTGATCCTCAGTACTGTGCCAAACATTCTACTATTAAAAAAAATAAAAACTTCTTTCCAACAGCTATTGTAAAGGGTAGACAGTAGGTCATTTTGTTATTACAGCGGTGCCAACAACTTTTACTGGCTGTATTTGCACCAACCATCCTCTACTAAAATCTACTCCCTCCATTATATCTTTAATTTCAGGTTATTTTCACCGCAGTCTTTTGTGCCTCTGAGGCTGATAAAAGTAGAACTATTAATGTGATGAACAAAAAGATCTATTCCCAAATAATATTATTGAAATAAATAAAAACATCTCGGGAACACCCCAGAAGTCTATTTTTCTTCCTGATTATGAAGGTTAACAAAGATTGTCATTTCCTCCAGGCTGCTGGTTCTAATGGAGGAGCATTGGAGACCATCAGCACAGCTCTTGCCATGATTGGCCAAACAAATTGTTACAGAGAATTATTATTATTATAAGTCAATGATTATCTATTACAAGCCATGAACAACTCTGCACAAAATAAATAAATAATACATTCCTTTCAAGGAATAGATTACAATAAAATAAGATCAATATTATTGGACTGCTCTTTGTACCTGAATGATTGTCTCCTGATTTAAATGTGACATCATACACCAATACTAGAAATGTGTAATTGCAAAGAAGTTGTTAATTTAATGACCAGAGAGTTATTTTAAGTTTGTAAAATCAGCTTCTGATGGGATTGGAAATCTTTATAATCTTTTTAGAATAATATAATTGGATATGAAAATAAATGCTCATGACCTGACAGTGATTCCCAAAACCAGTCCTCAAGGCATGCGTGCCATTTAGGATTCAGGGATTACCCAATTGTGTCTGAGGTCCTCAAAAGGTAGATTCCCAGATGTTGTAGAACTACAACTCCCATGAGGCGTTGCATACTTTTAGAATGACAAAACATCAAGGAAGTTGCCGTTTTAAAACATCTGGGGATCTACCTTTTGGGCACCTCTGTTTAGACAACTGGGTAATCCCTAAATCCTGGACTGGTAGGGGAGCCACTGATCTAACATGTTTACACTGTTACTATACAAGGAACACACAATCCTCTCTTTCAAACTAGCCTTTTTTTGTATCCAAAAACACATCATGAAAATGTCTTATATCAGATCAGACAATTCGAATTTAACCTTAGTTTAGCTATGTATCATAGAACTTCTACTTTAATAAAAACTCAGTGGCTTTTCTGCATTAAATAAGTATAGCAAATACCTATTCCTGTACTGCCCTCTGCTTGTCAGAGTTTGGAAGCACATTGGTTACTAGTCTGACACGATACGATGGGAACAAACATTTATAGAGTGCTCAAATTTCCAACTAGCCATCGGCAAGTAAAATAGCCATGGAGAGTAGAAATTCACCTGTGGTGAATGGTATGGCTTGCACTGGCCAGTAACTTTTAAAGGCCTGGCTAGTAGCATAGGATAACAAATATATAAATAAACAAGGTTTTATTTTTATTTTAATTACACATTATACAAGGACTGCCTTCTCTTAGCAGACCACAAAGACTGTTACATTAATAATAATTCAATAAAAACAAGAAAATACAAGTGCGAGTCAGGTACAACAAAATTATAAGACATTCAAGGAAAAATACAGATAAATGCAAAATCATTCATAAAATAAAAGTGTAGGACTTCAACATACCACTGAACCCGACACTTACAACTGTCCTGCAAGATAGTCCAGTCTAAGAGACTTTCAGTTTTAGGTAAGTGATGTAAATTGTGATGTTGAGAAAAAAAAAAAAAAAACCTGAGCAGAAAACTGCCTTAGTTAAAGGGTTACACTTAGCAATCATCTGTCCCCTTACCTAGATCCCTGCTGGGATCCAATGCTCCCTGGCAGTCCAGTAAAAAACCTCTGGTTTCTGCAGATCTATAGAATCCTCGGCCATTGACATTCATTGGCTGAGAGTGTCAGCTGACCACGCTCAGACAGTTAATGCATTTCTGATGACAACCTAATGATGCTTCTGGAGGTGAAGTTACACCCTCGGCAGAAAAGGGATTAAACTCCAAATATGCAGTGTTTCAAAGCAAAACATTGTGCATACAGACTCCAAGCACCATGACCACTTCAAATCACTGAAGTGATCATTGTGTTTGGAGTAAGTCTTTAACCCCTTAAGGAGACATGACATGTGTAACATGTCATGATTCCTTTTTATTCCAGAAGTTTGGTCCTTAAGGGGGTAAGCAGACACCTCACTTCAAATTGATAACTGGTGTAAAAATTTAAATAAAGGGTTTCGCCAAGCACCATGATCTCTTCAGTGATTTGAAGAGGTCATGATGCCTGGGTTCTGTATGTGCAGTGTTTTGCTTTGCAATGCTGCAAATACAGAGTTTAACCACTCTGCCACTGGAAGGGCAACTCCACCTCTGGCAGAATCACTGGGGTATCAGCAGCCAGCCCAAAACTAGAGTTCTGGGATAGCCAATGTCAATTCTGTACAACTTTCATTGCACATAGTTGTAGTTATTGGCCAAGGGTGGACGGCTAACACCAAAGAATAATGATGGCTGTGGCATCCGGTTTCTGCAGCTCTATTAGAAGACACCCAACAAACTAAGCCAACTAAATTGGCAGAAAGATCTCACATCTCCACAAATAGCTCAACCCCAACCAGACTTGTTTGGAGGAAATCATCATTCAAACATGTACATCGTGGTCTTGTTTTCTTTACAATATTTATTGAAAGATGTTTTTTTGGTTTAGATACAAAGAAGAAGAACAGTTAAGAAGTCCGAACAAGACCTATCTAACTAGATATAGAGAACAACAATGGAGTTAGGCTTTATCATCCAATTACATTCAAAAAAGTATATTGTCACATAATATACAGCGATCATGAATGCATACAGTAAGTGGCAATAGTTTAATTTGATCAACAAGAAGCTGTTGGCCTGTCCCATGTTCTAGCAATCTAACTCAAGTTAGTATTTCTGTTTATAATAAATTAACCTAAATTATTTAAGTAAACATTCTAAACAGAAATTCTAATTTGAGTTAGATTACAAGATATTCAGGCCCATTCCATGCAGACCTTACATACTGTTAGAGAGCAGGACACCTTAGATATATATTTGTCAGTAAGACTGTAGTGTGTTTGACCATAAAGGCCTCCAAATTTTGGGGGTGAGGGTTGATTGGAGGCCTTTATGGTTAAACACACTATAAGCTTCTAGTTTTATTTACACCTTGCTTTTTAAAGGGGAAAAGGGGCTTTGTTAATTTTTGCCCTCAGGGCCTAGGATTTCTAGTTACACCCCTCCCCTTACTCAAACTTACCCATATTCAAGTCAACATATCTATAGCACTATACTCCTCCTACAGCACATCGGTCTCTTTCTAGCCAACATGCACAGAGCACTACACCGCCTCCAGAGCATAAATCCCCCACTACAACCTTCAGGAATGTATTTGTTTCTGTGAGCCAACTCAAAGCACAATGCTGCCTGCATTGAAGATTGGATTTAGCACTGATGGGCATCCCTAACTCAAAGGAGAAGCTGCCTTCCAATCCACCACTGTTGGTGCCACCCTAGGCATTAGTTTAATGAGGACTATATATGCATATATAAAAACATACAGCTGAAACAAAAAAAAACTCTGTAAAATAAAACAAATATTACATACATACACCACTTTGGCCAGGTGTATGAAACCTTTGTCATCACTCCAGATATGGAGGACAACATGTTCTCTGATGCCTTGCCTGCATTATGGCTAAAAGCATTATGAGAATTGTAGTCCACAACATCTGGAGTTACGAAGGTTGCCTATCCCCACCTTAGGCATAAAAAAGGCACACATATTTGAGTGTACACATTCTGTAACTTACCACATTTAGAGATACCACAATATAATGAGAATAAATAAGCACATTTCAAAAATGTAATTTATGCCAATTGTTGATGCCTAATGCCACTGGGCGCCTATGACATGAATTACAAGTAGTTCTGACAAAGTTTTGATTTAGAGATGACCTACCTCCTCAATCATTGTGTCAACAGCTGCTGAAAGTTCCTCCTTTGTACTGCCACTGGCTACCATGTTTCTCAGACGTAAACAATACTCCCTCATCTGCAAAGGAAAAACAAAGTTAATTCCTTTTTACATACAGAATTCTATGCAATGTCCCCGGCACACTGGGATACCAACGAAATTTGAAGGAACTGCATTGATCCAGTTGAGCAAACATTGAGTGCAAACAGGGGCTAGCACAATCCCCACAAGAATAAATCCACTCCTCCCCCCCAAAAAATAAAAGTCTAACCACTCCAAAGCTCACAGAATTTGCAAAGCGGACAAGTTCTACCAAAATGTTCCTGAATTGAAGTTTATAACTTGCAAGGGTACATAAATTCACATTTACCAACAACCAAGAAATAAATTGGCATGCCTTCGGAACAAATCTTAATTCTAAATCACAAACTGACAATCCTTGCAAAATCTAGCAGATCTACCACAGAATGGTTGAAAAAGCAAAAAAGTGTTGTAGAGGCCCAGTCAAAGTCCAGACCTCAACCCAACGGATATGTGGCAGGACCCCAAGAGAGCTGTACATAAAGAAATGCCAGCAAACCCGTATTAATGAAAGCAATGATGCAAAGAAGAGTGGGCCAACATTCCTTCTCAACAATGTGAGAGACGGATAAAGTACAGAAAACGATTACCACATGTTATTGCTCCTAAAGTTGTTTCTACAAGCTTTTGAATCATAAGGTGTAGCTAGTTTATCATGCATGGCTTCTCCATTTTGGCATGATTTTTGTTAGCTATATCATGATATGGTGTAATATGTCAGGTCATGTGTTGTTGTTCATCTGAGGATGCTAAGATCTTCAAATTGTTATTATGTCCTGATATGTAAAACCATAGAATTCAAAGTCCCCCCATGATTATATGGGACTGGACATAAATAAAAATTAATATAATAAGTCACACTAGATAGAAAATAAAAATATTTTTGGGGCATATTTTATAAACAAAGCAGTGCACAGCACAAAAAAATATAGTTTTAATGCTGTTGGTGATACCCTTTAAGACACAATATTATTGGGACACTGAGCACCATAACCACTACATAACACTTGTCACATGATACCAAGTAAGCAGACTGATTGTCAGTACACTCAAAGGCAACTGCTGTGCATACTTTGTATGTCCACAATGTTTCTCTATGAGAATCATTTGACTAGACACAGATTATGAAGCTTGATGATCCTACAAGGCTGCTGTGAGAAACCTGCTGGGGTGCTGAACCAATCACGTGGCTTTAAAGCATAGCACAAGTCCAAAAATGTTTGCATTTATGTCATCACAACATCACCTTGTGGTTCAGAATGTCATTCATTCTTCTTGAGGCCTCTGAAGTGTGAGATTCAGGAAAGCATTTCTTTGGGACAAGACCATATTTTTCTAGAGAAAAGAGAAAAAGTAAGGCAATTTCACTATATGACATTTTAAAAATACAACAAACAAAAAAAACTTGTCAAAAAGTCAACTTGAGCATAAAATAATATATGATCAATAATAATGTAGAAATGGTGTCAACAAGTCCTAAGACTTTATGTTCCTCTTGGTAAATATAGAGAACAAATAACGATGCTATATAAAATTGCTAAAAATAGTTGGTGGAATAAAAATGTGTAAACAACTCCACACCACCTGTAAAGTACAGTAAATATTTTAAATCTAAAAACATATAATTAGGCAGCTACACACCTTTGTGTTAGACCCTCACACCAAACATATACAATAAAGCTAAAACCAGATATACATACATTAGCAGAGTGCCCTTAAAAAGGTTACTAACCAGAAACCCAGGATCACATGGACAATAATAGATATGTATAAAAAAAAAATACTGAAGCACTGTAAAATAAAAAATTAATTATAAAAAAAATAAAAAGAAAGAACACACTATATAAATAAAATATACCATCAAATTTATTAGAGTGGGTTTATACATTGATGATAGAGATATATATATATATATATATATATCCTTTTTTTTTTCTTTTAGAACTGATTTGTCGGCTAGAGATTAGATGTGATTTGCAACAATACCACTTGGGAAAACACCAAAGTGAGTGAGCAGATACTTCTTTTCATCTACACAAACAGGTCACTATATAAAAGCCTACATGCATTTAACTTATTACCAATAAGGTTAACCAGCATATCCCACTGCCCTCCGTCATTGGTTGGATTTGACAGCAAAAACTGCATAAGCCTCCCATCAACAGGCTCCTTCAGCAGTGCAGTTTCGATGTAGGCATTAAGGAAATAATGACAACGCTCCACCTAGGAGAAAAACATAATATTTCTCAGTACAATATATATTTTCTCTCATGTTCAGGAAAAGTATCTAACAGAATGCTCTATAGGTCAGGAAATAACTCAATATAAAAGAACATGTACCTGTGTTTCAAAGATAGCACCATAGGAAAGCTGAGGAAAGTCTTGCTAGGTATTGCTCGCTGCCAATATACAGTCATCCTGCAAGCCACCCTCCCAAAAATTATCCCATCCAAATAGGTCATTCGCTGCTAAAAAAGGCCACAATTTAATATGATTTTAGACTTTTGGATACAATTTTTGAAATGATTTAATATTTTTTAAAAAAACTAATAGTTTGATTATATAATCAAAATATTAAAACTTTTTTCTCCAAAATATTAAAGTAATTTCAAAAATGTTATCAAAAATATAAAATCATTTGAAAATCTTATTCAGGGATATCACAGTGTGGCCTTTTTAGCAGAGAATGACTTGTTTGGATATTCTATAAATTATAATTGAGGGCTTGGCTAGAGGGTTGCAAAAAAAACAATTTTCTAATATATTAGGAAAGAAAAAATATGAAAAAGAATGGTCTCCCAGCATATAGCACTGAAAGAGCTACGAGATGAAATATTAAACTGGAAGTGTCACATCTTTGATTTTGCATAAACCAAGAGCCAACTAAAAGTTAATACACTATTTTTAAATTCCTTTTATGCCTGTGCAAAATAAAGCTTCACTTTAAGCCTCATTATAAACATAACACGGGCTGAGCTTTCTCCCTTCCCATTCCATTAAGGAGAAAGCGCTGAGCTATGGCGAGTTGTTCTGCTGAGAGATGCATATAGCCCAGTTCAAAGTATGTCAGGCTACGGGCAATACGGCGGAAATCAATTAAAACAGCAGTTTCACTTATGTGAAGTTATAAGTGGAACTACTTCTTGAGATAAATGACATATTACAGGAATGGCATAATAGTCTATTTCTGATAAGGGGGGAGACCGTTTGAAGCAGACAGACTCTACTGTAACACTACTCACCCAAGTAAGCATTTCTAATGTGTTTACTGGGGTGAAAGAATGTAGTACAATTTTCAAAAAGTGAAGATTATGAAAATATTCCAACAGGGCGATAAATTCCACCAAGAAACTCTAGCAGCCACAATCACTGTGATACCCAAACCAGGCAAGAACCCCGAAAACTGCAGTAGCTACCGACCGATCTCGCTCCTTAACGCGGATGTGAAACTCTTCACCAAGGTCATCGCCACAAGGTTGCAGGCGTACGTGCCGCGCCTAATACATCCTGATCAAACAGGTTTTATACCAGGCAGGGAAGCCAGAGACTGCACACTCAGAGCGTTCTCAATACAGGCATTGGCGCTTAAAGAGAAGACGGAACTACTGATGCTCTCCACGGACGCTGAAAAGGCATTTGACCGGGTGACTTGGAGCTTTATGATGGCAACACTGCATAAGGTCGGCCTGGGGAGAGGAATGATAGCCTGGATAGCTGCGCTTTATGCTGACCCTAGTGCCAGAGTGAGGGTGAATGGTGCGCTCACAGACACCTTTCCCATCCACAACGGAACCAGACAGGGCTGCCCATTGTCGCCGCTTCTATTTGCCCTCTCATTGGAACCATTTTTGGACAGGATACGGCAAACCCCAGAGATTCGAGGGTTTAAACATGGAGACCAGGAGCACAAGGTAGCAGCATATGCAGATGATATGCTTTTCTTCGTGGACAACCCGGTCGACTCCATGCCGATCTTGATGCAGGAATTCGACATATATGGCCAGGTATCAGGTCTGAAGCTTAATCAAACTAAATGCGAACTGCTGAACATACAGACCCCAACGGCAGTGCGAGAGCGGATCGCACGCGAGTATCCCTTTCACTGGTGCTCAGAACAGATGCGATACCTGGGAATCTGGATACCCAACAATCCGAAAGAGCTATATACCAGGAACTACGTACCCCTCCTACGAACAATCCTGCTCGACCTAAAAAACTGGAATTATGACCATATATCCTGGCAAGGACGCATAGCGGTGATTAAAATGAATATCCTACCACGGCTGCTTTACTACTTTAACACCATTCCCTGGCACATACCATCAGAATTTTTCGCAATTCTTAAATCGGCAGTAATAAAATATGTCTGGAAAGGAGAGAGAGCAAGACTCAGCTACGACAAGCTATGCCTACCAAAGAACTGGGGCGGACTAGCGTTACCCGATATACGCAAATACTTCCAGGCCGCGGTCTTACAACGGATTAGGGACTGGCATGTAGCGTCTGAAAACAAATTGTGGGCTGCACTAGATAGAGAAAGCACAAACAAAGCCCTTCACATGTATACATGGCACAGCTCGGCAGATGCAGCATCAAAACTAGGCAACTCATCACCCATTGTACAAACACTGAAGACATGGTCATCTTTGAGACGGAACCAACACCTCTCCCCACAACCAAGCCCATTGATTCCGATAACACACAATACTGCGATAGGCGGGGGGCTACACCGATCTGCTTGGCCGATTGAGGGAGAAGGAGAGTATATCCCTATGTCCGAGGTCCTGAGCAATACCGGACTGCGAAACCTGCGAGAATGGAATACGATGACACAACAGACGCTGATGCACAGATTTCGGTACACACAATTGCGGCATTTCTACTTCAACCTCCCCAACAGGGTAGCGATTCACAGAGAACAGACTTGGTTTGAAAACATCTGCGTGGCCAACACTGGCGCGGATGGTAGGGTATCGCTCATCTACCAACAATTGATAACAGGAGACCTCACACGGAAAAATGCGTTTAAGAGGCAATGGGAAGAGCTGACAGCTAGGACGTACACTGAGGCACAATGGGAACAGATATTAATCCTGCAGCACAAGAGCTCCATAAGCACCAGATATCAAGAGGTTAACTTTAAACTAATCTCTCACTGGTATAGGACCCCATCTTTACTGCACAGAATTTTCAGAGGAACCTCAGATACATGTTGGAGGTGTGAATCCCAAACAGGCTCTCTACGGCACATCTGGTGGGATTGCGCGCTAATCAAGCCATATTGGGAGGACATACAAAGGGAAATGATGATAATTCTAGGAGATCTGCCGGACTTTAGCATAGAAATGGCCCTACTGCATTACACAGAAGGCTCGATAGCCCAATACAAGAGATCGATATTACGGCACCTGCTTAACGCAGCGAAAGCAGCTATACCAGTCAAATGGAAACAGACCCAACCACCGACCGTTACGGAGTGGCTACAGAGAGTTGAGGAAATACACACTGCCGAGGCGTGGTACGCAGAACTAATAGGAAGAAGCACCAAGCACGTCGATATCTGGACCCCATGGTATCTATACCTCTCACGTCCCGGAACTAGGGAGGCGCAGCACACACCATAACACCAGGGGTCTGAGAGGACCCGGCGCACCCCGACACGTGCTGTCCTTCTTGTCTCTCCCCCCCCCCCACACCTGACCCCTCCCCCCCCTCCTCCCCTCCTTTCCTTTTCCCCTCTGCATCTAATCAACTCCATGTAACTTCTTTTTCTTTTCTGAGGGTTTGGGCGGATGCGGCTTGACCTGCCCCCGAGGAGGCCAGAGTCGGGAGGGCCCGAACGAGTCGCTAAACGATATATAGCCACGACACGAAGCAGCTCCCATAGATACGAGTCACCGACTTATATAACAGCTGACTGAGAGAGATGGAACGGGACCAGACAAGCAGAGAACTAGTTCTCAAAACAAGACACAATTACCTGCTGGGAAGATGGGAACTAACACCTGTCCCATGACAGACTGGGGCGACTAGACGCAGGCATAACGTACAACTGATCAGGGGGATACACGAACGCACAGAACCAGTCAAGCCAACGTTTTTTACGCAATCCTCCCCCGAGGCAGCTTTCTCTAAGAGATTCCTGGCTAGCGCTAGGATTAAGGGAATCACTGTCGCAACAGCAACATGTGAGGAACTGGAACCCGAATTATGGATTCCATTACAATAGAATTAATACAGCAAATCATTCCCTATACTAGGTTACATAACCTATGTGCCAACTATCATTACTCATTGACGCAATTGCTCCCCTGCTCCACGTGTCAAATATTCTTAGTAATACACCTATTACCCCATCTTTTCCGTCAGACCAGTAAGCTTAAATCTACAGCAGAATTTTAAAGTTGGGTAGAATGTAGCCGCTCGTTTCTAACTAACTAGCTTGTCATTATTGCTATGGCTTCAGCTTCAGAAATGCACACTCACCTACAGCTGTTCAACCTACCTGCATCTCAATGATTGCTGTTATGACATTTGCAAATGTTACGTAACCGAAAGATACCAATGCTCATTATTTGTATCGTTATTCAAATTGTTCATCTTATTTCTATGCCCATGTGCACTGTTTTGGTGTATGTATGTATATTGTACTCACCTGAGCGACAAATAAAGAATTTACAAAAAAAAATAAAAAAGATGAAAATATAATCTACATAAACCAGACAAACTGAGAAATATGTATCAGTCTCCACAAATATATACCTTGTCCCAGAAAAACAGGTAAGACTGGCTGAACTCAAATTCCTCAATGTTGAATTTTTTCATAAAAGGAAGTCGTATAACATTCAGACAGGAAAATATCCAGCACCTTCCTGTAAACCAATAAAAAAAACAGAAATTTAAACACTAAAACAATAATATTAGCACATGGTTTGCTACAACAGTTTCTTACCCCAATCCCATGTCTCTAGATTCACTAATCTATACCTTTTTCTTCAGTTTGCAATCAGTATTTCAGCCCTTTTATCACAGTGCAACCCCTCTCCATCACTCTGTCTCACAACTCAATACTGCACTTCCATCCCATTAAACATAGTCCTCACGTTTTCCCCTGTATCTTTGTCCTCTCGTGTCTCAGTTACATCACCAAGGTATCTGAGTCAATTCACAATAGAGCAGGCTAGTCCCTCTCGTTGCTGACTTGTAAGACACTGTTACTTCTAACCAATCCATAGTGAAGGGGAAGGCAGGGGAGGTGGGGGGAGGGGTGGAGATCTGACACTTTTGACCACTGCATTGATACACATGACAAAAAATAGATTTGTCAATGAATGCTTGCTGGCAATTCGGCCATTACAGTGTATAAATAAAAGGTCACGTCCTTTTGCATGTCAGGTATATTGTAACAATTACAGTAATAGGTCTAGTGATCTACTCAATAATACACAAAACAAGACAGTGCAATAACTATATTCTACTATAGGAAATACCTGTGTTTTTCTGGTTGGTGATTGGCTTGCCTTCAGCAGGGATTGTGTGCTGGAAAACATGCACGCTGTCCTGCACAGTCTGCCTCTGCAGACAGACTTCCAATGGATCTGCACAGGTTGCCACATTCTGGGCTAGTTGGAATCGTGGTTCAGACTTAAGCTTTTTCCTGAAAGAGGCAGTCTTCTCTAAGCTTAAACCTAGGAAAAGAAGTATATTATATTTTCAGATAAAAAAAAAAACAAAAAAAAACTTAAGAGTTTTAAAAGATCTTGAATAACATACATTCAAAAATTACTATTGTGAATAACTTGCAGGACAAAAACAACAAAACACAAAAATAGTTACACACAGTTTTTTATAATATATAACAATTCTGAACAGCAGCTTTAACACTTGTATGGCTTTCCCTCCAATGTTCCACATCTAAAAATATAATCATCTAAAAAGTGCATTCTAGTGGAATGCTGTTACTATCTTTGTAGGGTTCCAATAAACTTGTGCCAGTATATAAAAATAACATTTTATTACACTATATTGTTTTATTTATATACATACATATATATATACTAGCACAGTTTCTATTGGAACATTACAAAGATAGATCTCAATTTGGACATTGGGCGCAGTAATTCTGGTAAATAATGTTGACACATATACATATTTGATGGGCAATGAAAGAAGAACAAATGTGTCCTTAGCCTCTGCAATGCCCAAACAGAGAGCCCTGATAGCTCAGTAAGTAGAGCCTTCAACATCTAATAACATAATATCCTAGAGGATGCACTTGTTTTGGGCACAGGGATGGAAGATTACTTTAATATTTGGTAGAAAAGAGGCTGATATATCTTTAGAATATTTCCATTTGTGCTAATCACCTTCTGGATGGTGGACGCAGGTTGCATTTACTTATTGAAGATCAAATTAGGCAGATTATTTACTACCATGACAGTCTGGAAATATCATCACCCATGAAGGTATTAAAATGTGCATAAGTCATAGCATGTGGTGTCCCTGTTTAGACAGAAGCTGTATCTCTGTGAAGATCAAACTCCAGGATCTCAATGTGCACAGTCACCGATTTATAAACCAGTCTGGTTACATTTTAATTTGTTATGAAACGTCTGAAGGAAATAAACTGCAAAGAGTAAGCCACTTTTGTCACTGTAGCCACTAGTCTCATGCTAGAAACTGGCTACTAGCCAAATGTCATCACTTTGCAAGTTTGTAACAAAGGAATGAATGGTCAAAGGGCAGAATCCCATTGATTTTACAGAATTTGAACTCCTATCATGCAAGGGCTGGGTTTCTATCTTCTAGTCCATCCCTGTATTATAAACATTCTAGAACATCAAAACAAATCCATGTTATTGGTGAGAGATGGCATTTTAATGATGAGCTATATTAGCCAGTCCTAGGTCACAGCAGTGATAGATAATAAATATCAGAGATGGACAGCCAGCCCCTGGAAGCTCAGATTCTGAGGACTGCCATTCACATGATGCTCAGCCAGAGGTCAGCTGCACAGGTCCAGAAGCCCCGCCCCCAGGCAGAGGCCCCGCCCATGACTCAGCAGTAGCAGACACTGGCTGTGTATGATGTGGGGGGTTCTCCCCGCTTTATTAATCACAGTACGACCCCCTCCTTCCCCCTCACCCGTGCTCATGGCGGCTCCGTGTGATGTGAACCCCGGTCAATGTGTGGCAGGCTCCTAGTCTGTAACCGGCACTGTCAGCTTCCGGTCCTGGCGCAGGAAGTGCTCAGTGAGCCGCTGTGGGCGCTGATTGGATAGAGCAAAGGGAAAGGGGGCGGGACAACAACAACCCCCCCCCAAAAAAGAGAGCGCACAGGTAACCACGTGACCCGCTAACTCGCCGCAGGTGGGCGTGGCCTGTGTCTGAGCGTGTCAGAGATAGCCAGAGGCAGACTCCGCCCACCAGCTCCAATGTGACTGAATGTGAGTCTGACAGAGCTCCATAGCAGTTACAGTCCTACAGCAGCATGGACTGACAGCTACCTGGGCTCCCAGACACCCCTAGTGCAGTGTGCAACATAACATGTAAAAATACTCACAGGGTTATTCACTGCAGTGAGAACTCAAAGTGAATTTCTGAATTAATGTGAAAAAAGCCAGACTGGAAGGATTCTCTGATCAGCTATCCATAGGCTCCCAGACCACTTCAGCTCATTGAGGGGCTCTGGGTGCTGTGACCCTTTTGCACTTAGTGCTGCAATGTAAAATAAAACATTACAGTTCCAGAGAACGGCAGTGTTTACATTGCAGCTCTAAGCCTGCCCACTGTGGCTGTCTAACAGACAGCCACTAGAGCGCTTTCGTAATCCAAACTGACTTTTGGTCCGTTATCCGACGCTGGACGTCCTCACGGACCTCCAGCATCAGATTTTTTCATAGGAAAGCCTGACCACGCGCCGGATTCAGGCAATCGGCGCTGGATTCAAGAAAGTGGCTGAAGGGGTTTTAACCACTTTAGCCCCACGGGAGGGGGCGGCGCGAGAGAGAGCGGCACTCCAGGAGCCTATAGTGCCAGGAAAACGAATTTGTTTTCTTGGCACTATAGGATCCCTTTAAAGCGGCACGCTCCTTCCTCCCCCTGAAAAATCTTGCTGCGGAAATTACTCTTCTAAAATTCACCTACAAGGTTATGGAGAATAATTTTCTGCAGCAAGATTTTTTTTTTTGTCTAGGGACCTTTAGTCATTTTAACTTTATTCACTAGTTTGCATATAGGTGCAAAATAGAGAGAATATGGGTGAGCTTGTTTGTGGTATTTACGTTTAATATTTGGTTTATTAGCACGTGGTTGTTCTTATTTTCCCTGGGTTCTCTATGTGCTTATTTATTTCTGTCACATTGCGTTTTATAACAAGTTCCTGGATGGTGGATAAATGCTACTGAATGTCCAAGTATCAAAACACCATTTGATACTATTTCTGACAGTTACAAAATTATGTTTTACAATTGATACTTTTTTGAAGGTGACAGTCTGTTTTTAAAATTTGTCAACAAGTAGAATTGTTTTATGTGTATTGTTGACACTAGCGTTCTAAAACAACAGTTTAGGCCACTGCCCCTCCCCCTTACCACTGGTTTAAAAAGTGAGTTTATTCACATTCTTAATCACCAGCCTATGCCAAGTCTAGAGGCTACATTTAATCTGTTTTTTTCACATATCATTTTTGTGTGGAATTTCACAGGCTGCATGTTTCCTCCCTCTACCCCAGATATGCTGCAACTCCCACAGAGCAATTGGGTAGATAAGTGTGTGTAAAAAAAAAAAAAAAAAAAAAGATACAGCTGTAGTGACCTAAAAGACAATTAACAAGACATAGTGTGATAAAGTATTAGGCATGTATAAAAACACACTACTGGAAGCACTCAAAAGATGCAGCAAATCAAAGCGCCTTCAAGATGCCACCCTTAGTCCCCTAGGGAGGGTTGGTGTAAAATCCACCTCACTCCTTAGACACAGAAACCGGAATGGAACAGGAATCAAAATGTATAAATGGTTTATTCATAAAAAATGGCAGCGGTCCTGCACGTTTCATTCTAAGCATAGAACTTCCTCAGGGACCTTTGCAAAAATAAAACACTTTTGTACAATACAAATATGCAGTTAAAAAACCCGCTGCGGGTTTAAATCAGCATTGCCACTTGTTAGGTTTTTATGAAGATTTATTGAAATTCTAAGGCAAAAAAAATAAAATATGTTTAAGACAAAGTTAAAACCACTGTCACTGTTTAATTTACCACAATTCACTGTTAAATTAAACAATTGTGTTTATTGTTTTCTTTCACCAGAACACATTTTAGTTGCATTTACTCACAACTAGGCAACAGTGAATGAATGCAAGGATTCACAAATTTGACAGCAGATGGAGCTCCTGTTTCAGAAATAAGGCTTTACTTGCATAGCTACTTCATTAATTGAATTAAGTTGATTTGTTACATTATTATTATCAACATTTATATTTTTATTATTATTTTATTATCTATATAGCGCCATCAGATTCCATAGCACTGTACAAAGGTAGCACCAACATATTCTGTAGTGCTTTACATTATAAAGGGGGAAATGTAACAATACATGAAACCATCACAAAATGTTACAGGAATACGTTGATTACACAGCTATGTTGCAATGCTGCCGCCCATCCTATGTGTTTCCTATTAAGAGTTAAGAATTATGTAGGGATGGATATAAAAAATACCCCTCTGTCTCATTAGAGATATCTTTGCCAGAAACTCAAGGAAGCAAGGCGAATGGTTAGTGTAGGAGCCACCTAAGAGGTTTGCCTTGACGTGGCAGGTGGCATACCATCTCATGGCCATTGGAGTAACTAAATATGTATATGACAGGCTGTTAAGGCATAATGTAAAATCACTTTTAGAAATGTGTTACCCAATCTCTTCTGAATTGTGCACAAACACAGGGTTACTCACTAAAAGAAATGTCATATTATTAAAGTAAGCCATGTTTAATTTCAATTTTTGGACTTCACTTTGAATACATACAATTCACACTTTAGTGAATAATCCTATTAGTGACTGAAGAATACTGGTAATACTGCCAGTTAGGGAGTATGCTACGGCAATTCTTGTTATTATATTTATGGTTATAATTTGAGGCACGGTTAGGATTAAATCTAGCATAAATCAAAATTTTTAAACTAATTCTAGCTCTAAATATAATTCAAGCCCAACATGTATCCCCAACTCTCAATAATCGTGTACTTTTAGGAGCACATTAGGCTCCATTAAAAATAAATAAAGAGTTGGCAGCCAATGACAAAGTTGACAAAAAGGATGATATGCTTGACTAAAGTTCCACGCCTTGTCAACCTACAGGTTCTACATAAGGAAAAGTAGTCCCTACTTTTCTTTATATATAACTTTTCAATTAATCATTAGTTAGCAAAATAGAAAAGCAGAGGCCCAAGGAGACAATGCACCAGTAAATACACACACAAAAAAGTGACAGACACTTTTAGAAGCTTCAAGCAAAACATGCAGTACTTGTAAAGTACTCCAAGACTAACCATTTTGTGCAGCTGTTAGCCATGGATTATATTTCTCCCATCATGCATAAACCCTTTAGTCAAGTACAATGAATACCTGCATCTTGTAGTAATTGACAATGCTCACTAGAGGGGGAGATGTGAAAATGGCACATAGTGCTATTGTATCAAGACATTATCCAGAACATTTGTTTTAAATGCATGGTATAATCATTGGGATTCTCATTGACCCTGTATTAAAGGGACACTTCAATATCCATAACCATTAAAACATAATTAAGTGGTTACAGTTGAAGACAGCTATGGGTGCAGCCAATTTTGTCAAGCTGTTTTTAAGTGGTTTAAGAAAAATAATATTCCCAAGCAGTGAAAGCCTACTACTTTAGCCCGAGATGACAAAGTGATTAAAAGTGTCACTACCTCACAATCTGTCCTAGTGTTCGTCTGTCATGTGCACATATTGAGTGGTTACGCTGTGCAATGAGAGGCTCTACGCAAAGGGGAAATGGAGGATTTGGCTATGATGAATGCTTTTTACATAGACAAAATATTTGTAACCCTTGTGATACTGCATTTCTGCTAGGTACAAATATGTGATGCAGTGAGAGGTAAAAACTGGCCACTGAATTAATTTTGCATGGAGTGAGCCTAATGATGCAATCACAATGTGCTTATTCTCTGGCATCAAAAAAAGCAGCACATCTCAGAACCAATCCAAGATGGTTAAAAAGTATTCAAAATTGTTCTGCTTATTCTGAGAATATTGTAAGGAATGGTACTGCCGAATTTACACAGGGACATGTGGGACTTCGTTGCAGCAGCCTCTTGAGGACATAATGCGGTTTAGTTCAAATTTTACTTTACCAATGTAAGATTATTTTTAGCACATTTAGAGATAAGAACCAGTTAGAGATATAGTCTTGAAACAGTGGCGTACATACCACGGTCGCAGGGGTTGCAGAGGTCGCAGCTGTGACCGGGCCCATCACTCCAGGGGGGCACGGCCGCCCTGCGACCAGGTGCACGTCTCCATGTGTTGCGGCCCCGGCCCGCACAGTAAAACTGCCGGGGCCACACGTTAAGGGGCCCATCGGGTGGCCCATGCTGTTAGGGCCACCCAACGGCTATGGATTTCCAGGGGGCCCGGTCAGCGCTGTGGCTCTTTAACAGCACAACCAGGCCCCCTTTGATGACATCACAGCTGGGAGGAAGTGACTGCCCCGTCACTCCACCAGCTTACAACAGGAGCCGCGCGGGAGGAGGGAGTCAGAGTGGGAACTGACTTCCATTAGGCTGAGCCACCACTGGACCCCAGGGAAATTACCCTCCTGCATCTAAAAAGGTAGGAAACAGGAGGGTGATTAAAATATTTTGTAGGTTTGAATGTTTCTCTCTGTGTATGTGTGTGTACAGTGGCGTACATACAGGGATTGCAGCTGTGACCGGGCCAATCACTCCAGAGTAGTAAGAAGAACATAGGGAGAGGGGAGGAGTAAGACGAACATGGGGGCAGTAAGAAGAACAGGGAGGGGGGAAGGAGTAAGAAGAACACAGGGAGGGGGGAGGAGTAAGAGGAACACAGGGAGGGGGGAGGACTTAAAAGAACACATTGGGGGGAGGACTAAGAAGAACACATGGGGGGTTGAGGAGAAGGGGAGATGAGGAGAACACAGGGAATTTTCAATTGTTGAAAATTTTCAAATTTTATGCAACAGCAGTATTTGCAAAGTAAGCCTTTTTTATTTATGTAATGTGTGGGTGAACTTAAACTG